AATAGTCATATCTCAATAATATATACACTGATATATAGACGTAGCGATTACACATATGTATTTTCATATGCTCTACCACACCAATGCTCATGGCCGCTTATTTACAATGACTGAATCTGTTTCACACAAAAGTTCCTGTAATCTTTCATCTACTAATGAGATTTGACCTCTCATGAAGAATTTCGCATTACGTTTAGTATAATTGCCTTTTGTGTACGAAAACAATACTGTAATAGTTTTATAGTCAGACATGAGCCGATGACCTGTTAACGTTAGTGTTAAGTGCACATAAACTCAAAAATATTAATTTAGTCTTGTTATCAGGTTTTTGTATTATTTTTTGTTTATGTAAGATCGGAAATCGAAGATACTACTCATGTGTCACTAATATATTTATTTTAAGCAGCCAAACAATTACATACTCGTATTTTACCAAACGTATCTATATATATATATATGTGTATAAAGTTGCTGTATACTGATGTATTTGTAGAACAGATAATTTTTTTGCCTATGGTCGGTGAAGCCGTAAAGCACATTTGCACGCGACATTATTTAAAGAATCTGTAATCAATAATACCTTAGTAAATTACTTTTTAGTTTATGGATTTTTAGTTTACTTCTTAGTTTATGGAATTGAAATAAGTATTCTATTATCCTGTATTTGCAAATACCCTTATTAATTATAGGGTACGCCATGCTATATTAAATAAAATTTAAATTTTAAAACTTCTGAGATATTAAACAATTTTATATGGAACTAACTGTATATTGTAAGCACTGTATATTGGTATAAGAAACCGTAAATTCAGTTTCTGTTAAGATATCACATAACATACAAATATAAAATACAGTTAAATTGATGATCTCCTCTGTTTGGCATACGATTGAACATAATAAATATTACAGAATAATGACACTTGATAGCAATAAAACCATATTGCCGTTACTTGGTTGAAAACTTATCTTAGGAGCATGGTTATGAACTGAACACGCATGAGTGACAATAATGTGATCACGATACAAGGTTGTAATTATTATTATGATGTCATATAATGTTCAACCACTATAGCTGTGCCTGTGACTTTGTTCATGTAACTCCGGATAAAAAAGGACTGTGTTATATACTGGAATAAAAAAGGGCTGTGTTATAATTGTTTGAACTGTTATGACTAACATAATATAATTATTAAACTGTTATGACAAACATAATATTTATAATGTAGTTGAATTTCTAGTGTAGTTGTGTAAAAATAAGTTTTATTCGCTATTTTTTCCACCAAAAGACAAGTAGTATATACTTAATATAAATTTACTAATATTTGAATAAGTAATAATAACATAAAAATTACAAAAAATGTAATGAATTTACTGATACATTTTATGAGGATTTACTATTTTACTAAACAAATTAACATGTAGTATTAGGAAGTTGGCATACCTTCAGAAAAATAAGCGCGTGAATTGCTATATCTTAGTGTCTAAAATGATATATTTTTATATTAGGAGCAAATATATATAATCGTAAAATTAGGAATAAAGTCGTACATTTCAATTCGATTCATTTTTGGTATGAGGTTAATTCGATTTCATAAACACTAAGTACATACTTGTTGAAAAAACAATAGAATAACGGAGAATTGTTTTAGTAGGGAAAATAAACTATAAGTAAGTAAGTAAGTAATAATAGATCAATATGCTTCAATGATTAATGAGAGTGTCGTGCAACAAATTGCACTTTGATTAATGGGTTAATACTCGTGTGATGCATTTGAAATTCTCTAAATATAAAATCTAAAACCCTATTTAACATTTAGCGAGTATAGAAGCAATAACTGTATAATAATAAACTATGTCTCAATGATAAGCGAAGAATTATATATATACCGGCAGAATTACTTTAGATATCGAGTAAAATAGTCACAAACATACAGATATAATGAAAATCGTCGTCTCCTGAAGTAAGTTGAAGAAAAAATATTCGAATGTAACAATTTCATATATGTGTCAAGTTCGTTAATTTAATAAGTTCTCTCTGGATTATTAACAGATACTTTATATCATATCAGTTTAAAATAAGATATTTCCAAGTTAGTATCTCATATACTAATTATGATATGAGTAATACCTATACTATTGTGACACAAAAGAAAAATTAGTTTAATCATGAAGAAATTTGAAAGTATGAGGAAACCCTGTCGACTGCGATCTTAATTAGAAAAATTTCAAAATAAGAAACTCGTGCTTTATAAGCTATTTTCTACTGAAAGAAATTTTACCAGCCTATACTAAGTATATTCATTGGCGGGGCATCCGTGAAAGATGATAAAATGAGCATGAGGTCAGACCAACTGGTCTGACCTCTATAGTCCAACTGGACTATCATGAAAAATTTTCTAGAAATTAATCATGATAAATCTAAGGGGGAGGGCTACTTGATTGCATGATGTACAGGTTGTGCTGTTCATGTAATAGGGCGACGATTACCACCAGTAGAGCAGTCCGTTCGTTTTCCATACCAGTGAAAAAAGACCTATATTGCACACACATCTTAATTTAATTACACACATTAATTTGTCTGTCATTGGAGAGCTTATGCTCATGAATAATATTCCTAAGTATTACAAATATTTCATAATTTTCACTTAGCAAAATATTAAATGTGTTTGTTATCTGTGCTGTTGGAAAAGCTTGACATAAGGCGTACATACCATTTAACTTTAGGTTACTTCGTCGTTTTACGAGATTCTTCATAGTTATTCTATTGTACTATGGGCGAGATAATGTTGCAGTCAAGGGCCGCACTAAGCGGAATAATAGTATGAATGCAGTTTCTATGTACATATGTCGATCTTATATGTAGTATTTAGATGTGAGTGGACAGCAGCTATGTAGGCTATTATAGGTGTTATCTAAATATATAAACTATTGTTTAAATTACACTGTAATTTTATGATTATGATATATTATATGATATTATAAAAAAACTTTATTAAATAACATTATTATTATCAAAGTTTGAACATAAAAAAAAATCTTTAAACTATCTGTGTAATTAAGTACATATTATATTTCAAGTATTGGAGGTATATCCATATCCAAATCATAGATATATTGAATTCATTGTTTTATGTATATTGATTAACTTCTCTGAGCGATCGATATCGTCATACTGCGGTATGTTCGTGTCTTCATTTATCTATGCATCTGAACAAAATACAAAAAGGTATTTATGAAATTGTTACATTTGTGTTATTTGTAAGATAGCAGAATATCTAAAAATTAGAACGAAGAATAGATAATCCGTGATGCAGTGTTATATGAATTTGAAACATTCTTTTTATTTAATATTATTAATATGATAAGATAATATAATAATATATATAGAAGTCCCAGTAACATGTGGTGTTCCTCAAGGGAGCATCCTCTCCCCAACTCTATTCCAAATATATATAAATGATTTATGTCAGCAACAATTATACAATGGAAATATTGTAAGTTATGCTGATGATACGGCCCTAATATTTCATGGAGATACGTGGGAAGAAGCTAAACAGCATGCCGAAATGGGGCTTCATAGGGTTGCTCATTGGCTGAAAGCAAATTATCTTACGCTAAATATATCGAAAACGAAATACTTGCCATTTTCTATTATGAAATCTAACTAAGTCCATGAAATCTAACATAGATCTAAAGATTCACTTTTGCGACTTAATCGCATCCCAAAAAAACTGCTCATGTCTAGCTATCACTGAGACATCCCAGATACGCTACCTGGGTGTGATACTGCATAGTAATATAAACTGGCGACTACATATTGACCTTATAACTTCGCGCATTAGGAAACTTGTATGGACCTTCAAAAAGTTGAGATATGTGACAGATTTCAATCTGTTACGAACAATATATTACTCCCTGGCTCAGTCAGTATTCGGTTACTGTATTACAGTCTGGGGTGGAGCTTGTATGTAAAACGCATATGATATCATTAGAGCGAGCTCAAAGATCTCTTCTAAAGACAATGACTTTCAGTCACTATAGATTCCCTACAAAGGCCTTATACGAAAAATGTCAGATACTAACAATTAGACAACTATATATATTTCATCTGACTTTAAAAAAGTATAACATAACTCCATACAATACAAATGACAACAAAAAAAACGCACTATAACTAATGTTTGCGTTCCTATCAAATGTCGTACAGCCTTTGCAAGACGCCAACAATTTTTCATGTGTGTATATATATATAATAAAATTAACAAAAAAATAAATTTTCATTGTCAAACACACCATATAGCCAAAAACAACCTTAAGAAATGGTTATTAACACTAGATTATGAACAGACAGAATTATTGATACGGTAATAGCACTTCTATAGGCGTTTCTATATTATCACCAATTTCTCAAGACATACACATATACACTCGCACTCACACACACACATACACACACACACACACACACACACACACACACACACACACACACACACACACACACACTCCTATGATTACACCAACCTACGTAAATTGTAATATCATAACAAACAAACTCACTTAAATTACACCTCAATATGGAAGAGGACACTGACTTCTGAAACACAGGTATTTTCTATACCTACCTCAGAATTCAGGGACTTCTTAAGTATTTGTATTAGTAAAAAAAAAAAAATTTTAGACATAAAGATTATGATAAAGATTATGATAATAGCATTACATCTTTAGTACAAAAACTTAGCTTACATGAAAAGATTTCATTGCACTTATATGGTACACTTGTTTGACATGTGACAAAAAAAAAGAATAGTCACAATCATAACAATATTAGTTATTTTCATGATTGTGTCGGTTTTTTTTTTGTAAAACAAAATCTTATATTTATAATCCCTGCATCCGGTCCTGTGCAACATAGCGATTGCAGTCTCCCTCTGCTGCAATGGCTAGACAAACCCGCGTCTCTATAAAAGGGACAGGTGATTAAACGGCTAAGTACTGCACGGCGAATACGCCACTGACTTCCACCACATGGGATACACATTTGCTCATCCTCTGTATTATTAAACAATGGCGATGGTGAGTGTTTATTTTATAATTTTATATCAATTACGAGGATAGTGTTACTGTGTTATATGTACACATAAAATTAACATTAAAAAAAAAAATAGTATTTTTCATTTTTCTTCATTTCGGGTTTTTATGATCTATAGGATTTTAATAAATAACTTATAGACTACGTTATCAGAATGTAGACATACATAATGAATATATTTCAGCATTAAGTCTTAATTTAATTCATATTTCCTTTTATTTTTCGGTGCTGTTGATGTTATTTCAAATTATATTATTATTACGACATATAAACAATATTATTAGTTTTAGATTTTTTTTTATAATATAGGACTTATTTGAATAAATTTCTCAAGATGAAATTATTACATTTAGATAATCAAATATAATACAAATAAATAAAAGAACTACTTGAGTCATTAACAAACACAGTTAGATAATCAAAAAATAATAATACTAAATCCAATTTGATGAGTGTTGATACGCTCAACTTTAAAGTTTTTAAATAAAAAATACAAATTATAAATAAAGAAGTACATACTTAAGTACCTGAGGTACGTAATAAATATAAGACATACACCTACATTTTATTCTTTTTTTTAAGTCAGTTAAAAAGAAAAAAAGTTACTATCAGATAACAGTTGCTTTTGGTAAACAATATACACTTTTTAGTGCCTTATTGATAATGATCTTGATTTGATCTTAATACCTTTTGTCCCGTTGTAACGGCTTTCATGTGAGAACGATTGATATGTTTTTTTGCGTAATTAGATAATTTGATTTCATTGTAATGAAGGTTGTTATGAAATATTATTTCTTTTTAATCACTGATTAATAACGCCTGCGTTAACGGCGTTATACTAACTGACCTGATTTCAATTTAAATGATAGGGTGAACTTCACAATGACCACGATGGTTTCCAGAGGCTAGAACGTTACTAAACTATCTCTACCGATGTATGAAATTATTATTAATGAAAAAGACTCCAGTTTCAAGATGCCCATATTTATATCTCCAGACATTAATCACAGTATGCAGGTGCGTTATTGCTAACAGTGCCATTCAAATGCCCATAAATCGTCGTAACCTTTCGTCCTCCAATTAAAGTGCACTTATTCCGTTTGTTACTGCAGTATCTAATATATTAGTTTATGTTACTTATAATATAAGTAATGAACATGGAAATAATTCTAAAAGAAGTAAACCTTGATATATAGCAAAAGTACAGGACACTTAATATAATTGACTGGGTTTAATTAAATTAATTTAGATTGTTATTTTACAGAAATTTAACTAAAATATAATAAATTTACTGGTACAATACATATAATTTATCTCACATATATCATTACTATTGCACCATTAATAAGTGTAGGCCTTATTACTCAAAAAATGCTTACAACTACCCTGCTGATTACACATCTCCTGAATTCTACTTCTCGATAAGAATGTATGTATGAAATTGCAAGTAATTTATTTCAAATAAAATAATTAGCAGGAAAATTGTTAGGGCAATAATGTATTAGGATACTGTTAAAATTAAATAATTTACTTAATTAAAAAGGGTAGGGTGGCACTTTATTAGAAAAGAGAAAAAATATAAAGAGAAATGTTTTGATCTAGTTTTAGTCTACTTCAATCTTAGTCTTAATGTATGGGATAGCGCAACCTGACAACATGAAGAGGATCACAAAATATAATCTATCCGCCCGTCTTTTGTGACAAACACTGTTAAATTATTAATTTTATAAAAGTTAAAGTTTTATTTAATACTCTGTGCCTGTGTTTTCAGTAAGTATATTTACTTATCACCTATAAGCCATGACACCTTTAATATTATACTAAGTAAATTTAATATAAAATGACATCATTTTCAATAAACTCGTTAACTATAAAGAGATTGTATGTGTCTAAATTGTATGTGTAATTTCATTGGGTATCTAATCAATAAATATTGATGTTGATGCGTACGCGACTATATTAATATCAAAGTTACCTGTAGAATGTCTACACAGGTTGTTTTTAAGGACGAGACCATAGTTGGCGCATAGGGTACTTATAGGTTCCTCGCCAGTATCATCTCTTGCAACATCTTGTGCATTTATTACACCTACAATACCTAACCTTTACTAGATACTTCGGCTTATTGACATGTATGCTACTAAGTAATTTCTAATATTCAATAATGTAGAAAGTAGATAACATATGAATATCAATTAAAGTTAGTAATTATATTAAAAATTGTCCGATTTTTCGAAGTTTAAAATTTCAATTGGATTATTAGTTTTGACCTCCAGAATCTGACTGAGACTGGTAAGCAGGTACAAAGATTACAACAATCAAAGGTCTAATTATATTTGAGAATCTGCAGAATTCAGCCCTGTAATACGCGACCCGTGCGAGAGTTATGTGTGCCTTTTGTTCTTGCATATCTCGTTAACTCTAACGCGAATTCAGTGACAATTTCCCACAACTCAATACATCTATCTTGCAAAACATGGTGATTTAGTCGAATTAATCATTTTTAAAACTGTAATATGTTTCTTGCAAGAACTTTAAAATTTAAAACAGAACATTTGTACATATACCTAGTGTTGAGATTATTTCAGGAATGTTATTGCTAAATTCTGAAAAATACATATTTTTCAGAATTTAGCAATAAAATTCCTGATGGCACATGCCATATGCCATCTACAATGATTGGCATGCATATGGTATAGTCTCGTCTCTACCATTCCATGACACCCCATAACAGATCGGCATCAACTTATGAAAAGTCATTTATCAAGTACATGTACACGTTTTAAATGCGTCATAAGTTGACGGTAACTATAAATTTTCACATTAGTATATAGGCGAAAAACTGCGACTTATGTATATAAATTAAAATGTCAATAGCGGTAATATTAAAGAGGGGAATGTGATGAGGGAGTATGATGTCAGTTCACATTACTAGCAATGTAACATGTCAGGACAACTTTCACGCGGTATCCCTTGGAAACCATCATGATAAATTCCTTGTCAATTCGTCACGATAGGCCATTTGATTTGACCTTGCTGCTAGGGTAAACCGTCACCACAAACAGAAACACCATAAAATGAAAATATGCTACATTAAACGAAATAGCGGTTAATATATAGTAGTCATTATAGAGATAGTATTAAGTACAGAGAGTATTGCATATACATATTAATAGGGTTACCTATTTCTATTCCTGTTTTTATCTTATTAACAAATGTGAGTGTAGATTAATTAGTAAAATCTAGATCCTAATAGTATTGTATAAATTGAGCCTCCACCATTATAGAAAACTGAGGTAACGTGTTAAACCGTTAACCAGGGTTGTCAACTTTAGAATATAAAAACGTACCACTTATAATAATATTGAAGTGCAGAATTTTTCTGTATTTGAGATTTTAGGATGAAAAAAAAACCATTATTAAAACCGGTTACTTTTTTAGTAATTTAACCATGGAACCCTGAAGACATTCAAAGAATGTCCATAAAATCGTTCACACCAAGTTTATGTCAAAAAAAGTTCACGGCTTTCGTTTAATAGCCGGGGAATGAAGATTATCTGAAAGGTGTACCTACTCTGCTTTAAAGTAAACATTAATTATAATTTATTATACACGTTTGCCCTTTTATTTTTGGACAAACTCGTGTTACATTTAAAGTTCTTTGGCCTTTGGCAGATCATTTTAAAATTCTTAACTTATTACGAATACAAAAGTCCCTTCGATGGAAAATAATAAATAGATACGGCATTTCTGACCTTCTATTCGGGTAAACAAAAAAATTAAATACGTGCAATATAAACAGATTCTCTCTTTCCAATTTCGCTCCACAATATCTAGACACATTTTTAAATAGACGAAAAAAATATGAAACGGTTTTATAGAAAATATTATTAACGGCCTGGGTGGTCTAGCGGTTTTACACATCGCTTTATTTCCGATGGTCGCGGGTTCGTTCAATTACTTGCAGTGTGGAAATATTTGCATTCATATATTTTTTCAATATGATTGTCGGTGTCGGTCTGGGTATTTAATATGTTCTTAAATATATACATATTATATGTATTTAAACAAAATATAAACCAAGTATTTATGTCAGTTGTCTAGTACCCATAACACAAGATCTACTTACCGTAGGGATAGATGGCGCTGTGTTAATTGTCCATGGTTATTTATTATTATTCATTACTTTACTACTTATACAGTAGCATAGTAAACATAAGGATAACTCATACCTATTCTTCAGCACTAATTCTATTTATGTGTTATGAAATGACTTTCTTATATGATATAATATGCGTATTTGTGCCTTACTTGTGTGTTCGTTGTCTGAAGGCCGCGTACCATTAACGGCAATCGTAGTAGCTAATTGTATTTGTCTTGTAGATATAATTAGCAAGTGGATATTAGGTGCTTGTTTATGAGTAGCCGCGTGCCTGACCTAAATTACCCATCATGTCATAGGTAATGTTTTGAACAAGGTGTTCCAATCATTACTTAAGACATGATCGGATTATTCAATCATTTCAGCATAGAAAATGTATTTTAAAGTGATATCTCGAAGTAATAAGGAATTTATGTATTAATATTATGTCAGTAATATTACTGACATAATATTAATACATAAATTCCTCACCATCGTATGATGAAGAATAGATGCATCATCGTTTCCCGCTACTTCAAGTTTTATTATATTACTTGAAAACGTTTACTAGATCAATAAGACCTTCATATGTCTATAGAACAGATAATTAGCAGTTAACATTATAGAAATGTACATATTAAAATGCATAGTTGATAGAGATACTACGTGGTGATAATAAACTTATAACCTAACTATAATTTTATCTTGGAATTTATCAATAAACTAGCCCCAGAATCGTACGGATGCATTACAAATCTTTTAATTAGTATTCTTTTTGTAATATAATATGCATAAATTATACATATTCATCATTCTATCTATTGCCGAAAACTAAATTAAATTTCGTGTTTAATAGCAATGCACCTTAAATGTAAAATTGCAAAGATAAATTAAGCAGGCACCGTTGGATTTTAATTTCGAATAATATTAATAAAAAGTAACATTTTATCCTTAAATTTCCTTCATATTATTCGAACATAATTTTTATAATATAATATGTACAAAATTTAATAAAGTCATAATAATGAAGTCACTCAATAATAAATTACACCTAATAAGACGATCATTCCGGTCTCGTACCCGGCCCAAGGGTTCCCATAACTCATGCAGCATTTCCGCGCTGAATTGCCAGAGAAATCCTTTGAGACAGATAGGATCCGGAAGCAACAAAGAGGAACATGGTCTCTATTCACAATGTGTTTGCCTAGTTTTATAAAATTTTTAGCCTTTGCATCTTCTGTAGTTCAGAAAGGCACCGGGCTAAATAAGATGTTTCCAATGCCCCGTACCTACAATGTTTCAACTTGGCCACAGACTATACTGCTGAATCCTAGGTTGACTACCACTTATTACAAACTTTCTACAGTGTAGGCAATAACGAAATAAACACATTTGCATAATAAAGCTTTACAGTTCTCGCTTAATTATAATTGATAATACTATCATTTTTAAACTAGGCAGTGTATAGTCACATAATACAAACTTTAAACAAGTGTTACTTCTGCATCTGTTTATTATATTTTCAAATGCTGTTCTAAAATTTCGGCGATTTTTCTTAGTCGAGTTTAGTCTCTCACTTCAGAAAATATTTTCTTAATAAATATATTAGAGGGAGTATGTCCACGCTGTAAAATTACAATGTTATTATACTATGGATGCACTTCATTTAATAAAACGAATAGAGATGAAACTAATACTGAAAAATATCTAATATTATAATACCTTCCGCCTTCCCTTACCCAAACGCGATAGCAATAGTTCAATTGAAATTTTGCCGTAAATATTTACGTTCCGCTCTACTCGGCTTACTCTATATTATAGTACATAAAAAATATTTTATTCGTTATTCTGAAAATTAGTTACTAGTCTTGCGCATTTTTTTCAAAATGTTATACTAGTCTTATATAGTTTTATATAGTCTTCTTTTGGTGAAAGTTTTTGGCGACTTTTTAATGAAAACCAATTTTATAATATTTTATGGTTTGTATTTGATTACTCTTTTGGTTGCAATTTTCTAAACGACTATAGTAATTAATCACACGAACTATACACGAGAAATAGATACCCTCTATCAATTGCTTGCATTATTAGAGGTCAAATTCGTGCGTTCTTATACCATTATAAACGTCATGGATGGCACCATAAAATCACGCTACCCTAATTTTTTTGCATTATTTTCGGACAAGAACATATCCGTAAATTAGAGAAACATTTTTAATGTAACTTATTAATAATTATCGCATTTTCATAATTCCAGAGAGTTATATTACTACTCGGAGTAGTGACATTAGTCATCTCAGCGCCTCAAAAGCCGGATCAAGTGATTGCAATTATTAAACAAGACTTTGATCAGCAAGTCGATGGCTCATATAAATACAGGTTAGTAATACTACCTTGCATATGAGAAATATTTATTTTACATTGAAGTGAATCGTGTTAATGATATGTGTTAAATTAGGAAAATAAGATATATATATAAAAACGTTCCCCTGCATTTTTATTATCATAATTCTCTGTGTGGTATTAAGGATTGTGATGAATGTACTAAAGCATTCTTATGAAGAATTATTTAGGATATTAATAAATGTACATAAATTTATGATAATTATAGATTGCTTATACTCAAATATGGGAAAAAAATTAAATAAAAAAATGTTTTTTAGATTTCTAAAATGATGTATAATCTATTCTCAACACTTTTATATTGTCTAATCGATATATATATATATATTAATACGAAAATATGTATTTACTGTGTTATAGAGCACGTTTGATTAAGTTGCTTGTTTAGACCTCTTCTGGTTTAAACCAATATAAAGTAAAAAATATAATTTCTTCGATTTGCTTCTATTTTTTAAATATTATCACAGCATTTTATCGAATCTGATTTTTATTATTAACATATTGATTTCTTGATATTTCTATAGTAATTACTCGGTAAAATTTAAGCAAGCAAATATTGATTTTACAGCGAGATATATTATTTAAATTTTTTACCATATATTAGTTAAAAAAAAATATTTTTAATTCTTAAGAGTGGATTTTTACAAAATAGTAAGATAAAAATGATGTTCTATTTATATAATCGCTAATTTCAACTTCATTGAGTAGTTAAAAAGGTAGCCAATCAAGCTAGTGACACCTATACAAAAATACATTCAAGATATTCATGGAAATACAGAAGATAAATCTAAAATAAAGAAGATATAATAAATCTACTGAATGGCCTACAGATAAGACAGATTTTTTTCAATATTGGTTTAAACTCTATTGCATTTAAAATTATTTAGTTTTGACACATAGTTAATATCAATATAAGAGAGAATACTCTCTTTAAAAACCTCTATAGTGTGTGTTGTTGTGTTTATTAATAAGTACATCAAACAATGAATAAGTATTTTTATTCTATAGAATAATCTTATCAAATGAAAAGTAATTTATTTCAGTTATGAGACTGAAAATGGTATCAAAGCTGAAGAGACAGGGACTCTCAAAAAGGCAACAGGACCGGATGCAACTGATGTAATCGTGGCTCAGGGAGGATTTAGTTACACTGCTCCAGATGGCACTGTTATCAACCTCAATTATATAGCTGATGACGAGAGCGGCTTCAGACCAGAGGTAAGATTAAGCTTAAAACCCAATTTAAGTCAAGGCGGAACCACCATATTTGAAATCTGATGTATACTGCAAACAATTATTAACTTCAGACTTTGTTAAAAATATCTGTCACTACATCTTGCCATAAAAATAGTATGAGTAGCAGTAGTCCGTTTTGTAAGGTTTTAGATTATTTCACTTATATTTAATTGATTTATAAATTGTCTTTTTATTATACATATTTATACATATTTCAATTCGGATTTTTCATAATTTATATAAATACAAACACTAGAGTAGCTTAATATATCTAATAATAGCTTAATCACATCATTACATTCACTTCCATACTTGTATGAGTTACTTATTTTCACATACGCCTTTTACCAAGGTCGTAATTGTGACATGACCTATTAGAAAGACTTGCATAATTTCTCTATGACAAACTAAAAGTGCAAAGTAATATTAAGAAATAATTATAGGTATTTTAATCTGGTGTCATGTAGTATGTCATCGCCAAGATTAACAGTCATCCTATTTCGCATGCAGGTTGTGTGTAAACTCAAATCTGCTTGAGTTATGTGTTCCTTTACGTACATTTCTATATACCTATATTGTTGTAATTTTTAAGTCGTTCCAAGTTCACATTTCAGATGTACCTACACGTTTTTATTTAATAGTTTCCTTTAAAGTTATGATTTAGTAAATAAAACCACCGACAGGAATTTTACTTAAGTGTACGCTATTCTCACCCTCATTGTCATTCAGTCCACGTTAAATCTATAAGGTAACATAAGGAAAAAATTAATGTAAACTTGCATTAGTGGATCATGTGTTGACATGACGAAACATTTTATAAAGTCCTAACAATGTTCAAAACCAGTGGTAAAAAAAAACAGAATGTTTGCAACCTGCATTTGTTCTTTTCTGTATCTTTGTAAAATATATAATTTACTATATGTCAATATAGACTAAATGTCAAAGTTATTTTAAATATATGTCTATCAAAATGACTTTGACATTTTCTTCAATATCACTGTTTTAATTTTTATATAGACATTTTACAGGGACATAATTAAAAAAAATATTAGTCAACTATACCTAACTTAGTTTATGTACTGAATGACATTGCATTATAGTGGTCTTTATCTATTACAGGGTGCGCATTTACCAACATCACCACCTATTCCTCCAGCTATACAGAAGGCACTTGACTACTTAGCAACTTTACCACCTTCGTCATCATCCAGAAACTGATCTGCTGGTTTTCCCACTTGATTAAAACAAATGTCTGACGTAGCTGTCAACTGGACTTACGCTGCTTTGAAAATAGCATTGATATGTCAATTATGATGGTTAGTAACGTTTGTAAAAAATACCTTAAAAAAGGACCATCAGAATTAACACGCACAAAGGTTTGTTTACAAAGTAGTACATGTAACTTTATATACAAAGCAATAAAAATATAAAAAATAAATGTATATATCCACTGAACTGTGATAGATAGTTAAGTATTTGAAAGAACGAAGCCGTTTGTATCAATTACTATTTATTATATAATAAAAGCAATTTCAATGCCAATGATGCATTGCAAAATATACTTCGGTTTTTCTCTATACCTTTCCGATCGATTTCTATGTATATACCATGGTGGATAGTGTCGTGAGCTATAAATTAGCACTAAACGGTCAATTTATAGTGTTTTTCATAATAGGTGTTAAAATGTTGATGTCACTTCCTATAATTTATGAGAATATCCCATAATTATCCATCCAATGATCAAACAATCTAAAGGATTTTGTTTACTTTTAGAACATATGTACAAAACAAAGTAAGTAATCTTCTTGGAATATCTAACTGTTAATATTGTTATTTGGCAATCCCCAAATCATACTACATCTTCTAATATAGAGTACTTCTAATATCAAGCCAAAGTAAAGGATGTTTTAAAATAGAACAATGTCATCAGATTTTTAAAGTATGGCTATTTATTATTATAAGTGAAAAAATATTATTTTTTGCATTTGTTTATCATGGATAAACTCAAAACATACTATAATGCATGATTAATCAGTCATTATTTTAAATTCTTTTACCGATTTGCAACTAATAACATAGACTGTTCAACATCAGCAGTGCTGTAGGTTATGGTTATTCGATAATAAAATTTCAAGACTTTATTTTTAATTCTTTATCATTGCTATGAAATGACATGGATAAATGGGTATTTTATATTGCATAGATAGAAATTATGAAGAAAATTTTCATGTATAATATAAACATATATTTTAATACTCTGTAACTCTTAATTATGGTTTCTGAGATTTTTTATTTGGAGTTATATTAAATTAAATAATACAACTATGGGTAACCTTGCTAAAATAGTGGTGTTTATCAACTTTCTGTTCGTGTTTGTGGCTTTGAACTTGAAAATAACAAGATATCGAAATTATTTAAATGTTATCAAGGATAATGTACATCCGTAATCCGTTCAACCTTTATTCAGATACTAAATAAAGGTGATTTGATATTGTTGATCTAAGTTTATTAATGATTAGAAGTGAATCTGAGTAAACATACTGTATGAGTAATGAATTCAGAGATAAGGGGGAAGTGATTATAAGTAATGGGGACTATTGTCTACGTTGTACCCATGGACCATGTCAGGTTGACTTCCATGCGGTCCCGCCTTGAACTCATCGTGGTTAAATCCTGGTGAATTCGCCACGATTGATTGACCTGACCTTATGTTTATCCTATCCTGCATCTTCTGTTACCCCGCAAGGGTATACCGTTAGCGCAAAGGGGAGCGTCGATCTATACTTAGTCATAAAAATCTAGAGATAAGGAAAATTATGAAATTCGATTTTTTTTGTAAATTTCTGCGAATTTGATGACGTGAGTAGAAAGCAAAAGTGGTCCCAGTGAGCTCGCCGTTTTAGCATGCCGACGTTCCTCTTACAACCTGTTTATTGAAGTGAGCGTCGTCACAAGGTCATCGATGAGAACACCGTCTGAACGGTGTGAGAGATACACCTAAATAGGAAGATGTTATTTAATCGGAATGTTTGTCATTCAAATGATGAAACAATAGAGGTTCATGGAGATTTAAATACAGTCACTGACAATGATTCGTTCTTGAAATACCAATATTAAATAATATAAATAATGAAGTCTTCATAATTATATACTTTAATAGAAAGTAATTAACATTTATAAATTATTCTAAAAGATTTTCGGTATACGCATAGAGATACCTAAGTGAATTAAAACTTAAAAACGAAAGAAATTACATGTTTGACGACAAGAGAAGTTTTTTAAATTTCTTACTAAGTAAAAGGTTCCCTTTTAGTCAAGTTGGATTTAATATGTTCATCGAAATGCAGTCGTTATGTTCATAACAATGTATAATTATCGGTCTTTCTCAACACTCCTGAAATTATCAGATTTGTATTTATAATAACAAGAGTTACATGATAACACATGCCAAGCTAATATTACATATGTACCTACATTTATTATAATAATATATGTCAATAGTTATAGATTATATTAGTTATACGTATACTATTTTCGAAAACATACAGTATTCGGAGAAACAATAACGGTATTAAAATTGATTTCTATGCACTAAGTACGTAAGTATATTCTGAGATAGATTATTTAATAAAATTACATGTAATAAGGACTAATAAAACCTTCCAAGTCAAGTTTTATAAAGTACAATTTAAAATTGAATATATGTATAATCAATACCGTGTAATTATATTAAGCGTACAAAGATTATTAAAAATATAATTTTGCGTATCAGTTCTAAATAAGTAGATATATGATTATAAATAAAATAATGGTCATAAAATTTATTTCATATAACAATTTTATTATTAAATAGAATCTGTAACAGGTTCGGGCGTGGTTTTAGTAGCGAGGTACTTTAATGCACGTGCTATTGCGGGCGGTATAGGGGGTGGCGTTGGCAGATGCGCTCCCACAGGTCTGTAGCCATTTTCATCAGCAGTATATGATAAACTGTAATCTTGTCCATCCTTATCCTTAATAAAATATAAATTTACGTATATAATATATGTGTATGAGGCATCTATCTAACACCAAAAGAAGTTATCTATTTATTGATCGTCTTTACTATTTTAACTCTTAGACAACGAAAGTCATGAGTTCAAATTTAGTAAAGAATAATTTAAATGACTAACAAAATCTAAACAATAGTTCATTAACAAACAAAATTAATCAGAAATACGATACGGTCTATAAATTGTATGTAATAAAAGACTATGACATATCCATTTTAATTTAAAATCGATAGCAAACAAAAAGACAGTTACAATTAATGGGGATTGTTGTTATCTTTAAAATCAATTGAAATGTGAACTTCTAATTCTTACTTTACAGATGAGTAAATCCGTGTAAGATAATTCAACTGACATAAAGTATAAGTCATTGAATCTGCGTTGTATAACCCTGCTCATAATGTATTGAGCAGACGTAATGCCTATACTCATCATCATGGAATGATTGACCTCTTGTCAGGGCACAGTTAATGTAAATTACTAAATTTTACTGAGTATAATCTTACCTTATACGAAAACCCACCCACAACGGCTTCGCCAGTCTTTTCGTCATCATATGTCTTTAGTTCTCCTTTTTCAAAAGCTTTGGTACCATCGCCACCTTCATAACTGCAAATAAAATAATATTTTGTAGCAAATGTGTATAATAAATATTGTTATATATATATATAATTCTTCTTTATTTGTGTTAATCGCCTGACTCCTCTTAAACGGCTGAAAGGATTTGGATGCATTTTTGTGGACGGTGTAGGACCAACGGCTTGCGGGTTTGCTAGTATTTATATAATATATAAGACAAATTGACTTACCTATAGTGGAAAACACCATTATGTGAGAAAACTTGGTTCTCGGATTGAATTATTGGCACTACGGGATCACGTTCTCGTGTTCTTTTCTTTGTAGAATTATTTTCCGAGTCTTTTAAACTATTTGGCGTTGTACTTGTAGGTTCTGTTGTTTTTAATTGAGGTTTCAAAGTAGCATTTTCTGGTTTATATCTAGTTTCTGTTGATATAGGTTTATTCGGAATTGTAGTTACGTTCTCAGTGCGTCGCCGATTAAGAGATTGTTCCTTGGTTGTGACTTTTCTGCGTAATGTAACTTTTCTGACATTATTCGGGGTAGTTGGTTCTTCGTAAACTACAGCAACAGGTATTTGTAGGTCAGTATTAATGTCAACCTTCAGTGGCTGGTCAACTCCTAAGTGTTTTTCTTTATTTCTATTTGGATTCACAGCAAAATTTTTAGAAAGTTTGAACACTTTTTGATCCTTATTCTCAATTGATGTTTTCTCAGAAGGATTTATATTTATTGATTTACTTACTGTAGAATCAATTGCTTTTGCTTGACGAGTCTCATCAGAAATAACAGCTACGGGAATGAATATTGATGACGAATCATCATTAACCTGTCTCACGTTCACGTTTATCTTATTATTATCTGCATAAATATGTCCACTAATTAATAATATTAAACTAACAGTAATTCCTAACATTATCATAATTTGTATTTTTCTATTAAAAGCACACCAGCTTATCACCGAGACGACTAAATTTGTAATGCATGTGAGTCAGCCGGATAAGTTAGGCAAAGCTTGTTTTTGTATTCGTCATCAAAACACTAGTCTGACAGGAATTCATTGTTTGTGTGTAGGATCTAAATATAGAAATAATAAAATAATATTCATTGTGACATCAATATTTGAGTAATTCGTGTACACGGAAGTATTTCGAGTTATTTTATCGTTTAACTTTCAATTAATCAAAATCAATCATATAACTTAACACATGCGTAATATCTTGTAACGAACCTGTAAATATCATCTTCGTTATATGACAAACGACTGAGCTGCTAATATATTTATTACTACATACTGTTAATTGAATATTGTGTTTTTTGTCATTTTATAACTACGCTTAATATATGTATGAAAAATAATGATAGTTATAAAAAAAATACTAATAAACTTCATAAATTATAGACTGAAAAAGCATTGAATCTTTCATATTTATATACACTACGTATATAAATATGAAAGATTCATATTTATATACGTTGACTTGATCTTTTAGATATCTATGATAACATGTTTCCATGAAGTATATCTTTAAGGCAAACGAAAAATAGTAGTTTCATGAACTATTTAATAATATATCATAAATATGTCATACATTTGTATATATGTAACATATGTATATAGTTTCCTAGTAGTAAATAATAGAACGCTAAATGCTCTGATGTCATAGCCCTCGTTCATTTCCCTTTAACATCTTATTCTGTTTATACAAACTTATCGCTTTATGTTAGTTTTCTTTCTTACTTACAAAAAAAAACTTACTTTATACTTATAGTTATGTTTTCACGATTGGAGTAATTGGGATAAAATTTCTACATAATAAGTTGTCGAATATAGCATAATTAATTTAAATTTATAAGTTTGGACATTATTAAGGTTCCATGGTCAAATACTTGATAACGCCACGGAAACATGCCTCGATTCGCTGATTTGACAATTAACAATATTAATATTATTTGCTATTGATGTTTTGTCATCAGTTGGGTAACATAACGGTAGTGTGTATGTATAATATTTTATATATTGATATAATATGCACTCATTCTCCATGTAAACTATAAGTGTGAAATTTCATATTTCATCATCGAAAATCCATACTCCTCCGTAGGCGCCTACGGAGTATTCATAAAAATAGATAGAGTTTATGTTCCATGTATTAATATATAGAAACTTTTTGCAGAAGGCTTTTTCATTAGTATAATATATACAATATACATATTTAATAAAATATTTAAATGAAATACATTTACCTTATTTTCTATGTAATTACCATATGACAGACTGCACGGTGTCTAAAAAACATTGATTTTAATTAACTGGCGCTTATATCTATCTAGTTTCGGTATATATTTAATTAAAAATATTTAAAGAGTTTAGAACAATAAAAATGATTTTCGACCAATTTTAGCTATATTATATATATATTTGATTTTGTTATGAACAAATAGCAAAATTTCAGCACCAGAAGTGTTGAAAATGGTTGTTAATTATTTAGTTATTGAGAGCTTCCCTGAAAAAGTTTCAGATATTGGTATTTCCGAAGAAATGAATAGTGAAGTTTTCAGCAGATTCCAGCTACGCAGTATAAGACCTTGTTATAGCTAGACTTAATCGCTACGGATCGTCACCGATAATGTCTCATTGTTGACACTTTGGCGATTGTGCAATTTTCCGAAGAACACATCAGTCAAGCGCTAAGGTTGAAGTATTTAGCGTCCGCTGAGGCTCGTATCACCGGAAGGCGGGGGGAGGGTAGTGTAAATAGATGAGTGTTACTTATATGTGGTCATGAAGTCTGGAGTATCACTCAATAGTGAATTTCTGGAGTGGACATAATCAAAATGTTTTATAGATTGCTTTGTTTGTGTTGGGCTGCGACTTGTATATTAGCAGCACCATCCCCTAAAAGGGCAGCTTCACAACAATCGGAACCTACTGTAATACCAATAGTTTCACAGTCTGATGAATTGGAAGAGAATGGAACATACAGATTCAGGTAATAATATTAAATACGAATGTATCACAGATAATACTTTAATATTTTTAGAAATATAGAATACAGATATTCTGTCCTAAGTACTGACATTAATATAGCCGATGCAGTAATTTATTTCATATTATATTGAATAAAGTATTCGTATTCTAAGAATAAATAAATAATATCACCTTCTATATTATCCATATTCATATCAATAAACTGCAGTCTTCACATTTAATTTACTAGTAATTAGCGCATAGGCTATTTAAATTCTAAAAAACTATTATTTTAAAAAAGTGACTGATTGTACCTGATTCTTAAATGCCTGTAAAATGTTTCAGAACAGTAGTTGTACCTACTTCAATTATAATATTTAATTGTGAATAAAGACTGATATTCATAATTTTTAAATAAATTCATCATAAATACACTTAGTACCTATCTATTAAAAAGAAAGTGCTTCGGGTTATACAGGTATTGATACTTTACATTCGAACGAATTCAATAGTTAATTGTAAAACTGTAATGAAAGCTTAGTAATCAGGTTTCATATAAAAATAAACATTGAATTCTCTATTTTTGTTTATATTAAATTTAATACCAATCACAATCAAAATGGTGGCAGAACAGCTCCTGAAGTGGAACATCAGGTTTTGGCCTTTTTAAGTATTAAGTGGTCATACTCTCGAATAATAAAACACTTTAAAGGTCTGAAAATCAAATTGCTTAAGAGTACCATAACTGAGATCAAGAAGAGAAGTGAAAATGTTAACCAAATCAAGCCAAAGGGTAAACCGCCGGGTCGTAAACCACCACTAACGGAACGCCAATTCAAACAACTGGAAACTATGGTTAATAACCCAAACCCTCCGACACAACAAGCGATGGCCGATATCTTGAAAGTGAAGAGACATGTTGTGAAGTATCAAATAGACAAAAAACTTAATAAAAAGTTGGCCCAAAAACCGAAAGTACAAGCATTGAGTCCAGGTTCGGTGCAAAAGAGATACTGCTGTTCTTGGCCTATGTATATGAAATTGAGATGTAATCGTTGGAAAAAGTTCATCACTACTGATGAAGCATGGTTTTACCTTGCTAACCGTAATCGTCAAACACGTGTCCAGTACAAATCCAGAGGACAAACTCGCAAAGACCTAGACGTATACCAACAACAGTCACATCCTAAGGGTGTTATGGTATGGTTGGGCATTTTGGCAAATGGCTGTACTTCTCTCAGATTTGTGACACCCGGTGCAAAGATCAATACAGACTACTACATAAAGAAGATCTTAAAGCCATTTATTCGACACGATATACCAAAGTTGTACCCAAATAAGGACTGTGTCTTCCATCAAGACTCAGCCCCAAGTCATATGTCAAAAAAGACCCAAAAGTTCCTTAAGACAAGCAGAATTACTTTCATTCCATCTCATCAATGGCTACCAAACAGTCCTGATTGTGCTCCTATGGACTACTTTTGTTGGGGATCTGAAGAGGCGAATGAACAAGCGAAAAGTGAAGACAATATTGTCGCTTAAAAAGACTTTACGGGAAGAGGTCAAGAAAATCCCACAAATAATGATCAACCGAGCTTTAAAGGCATGGCCAAGAAGATGCCGTATGATCTACTATAATAAAGGCTTTCATATTGAAAAACATAATTAAAATTTATTTTAAAGTAATAAAGTTATTTAACTTTGAATTCGTTCGAATGCAAAGTATCAATGCCTGTATTTATAAAAAAATTTATTATTAATCATAAGTGTACTTTAATAGAAGTAAGATTCTGAGTGGAGTGGCTTCCTAATACTCTTTATAATATAACTAGCTGACACGCACGACTTCGTTTGCGTTACATTTTCCCTGTTTTTGCAAAAAAAATCATTGCAGCTCCTCTACTATTAGTCGTAGAGTGATGTCATATAGCCTAAGACAGTGACAAATAACGTGACTTAGTATTGTTAACAGAATTTTCAAAATATGTTCAATAGATTACCCTGTACAATCTCACAAACTAACAAACTTTATCACTTTATAATATTATTATAGGTTATATGTATAACCTGGTTACAACAGTATTTATGAGAGATAATTTCTAATAATTACCTACGTTTACAGCTACGAGACCGGTAATGGTATAAAACGCGAAGAAGTTTCCTACGACAAAGTTCTTCCTAAAGCTAAGGGACGTTCCTCCAGCAGCAACGAAGGTGGTGAAAGTAATGAGAGTGATGAGAGTAACGAGATTCATGTACAGAAAGGTTCTTATTCTTATACAGCACCCGACGGTACTGTCATCACTGTAAGGTAATTACAAATTCACTCCGCTAATAACATACTTAGTAACTTGCTAATTTCTTTGTGGTATAAGGAGTAAAGTTATAATCTTTATTCTTGACTGGCTACTCACCCCGGTATCGCACGGGTATACATGTATTATATATTCCTTCCTCTATAATTACTCTATCTATTAAAAAAACCGCTTCAAAATCCGTTGTGTAGTTTTAAACATTTAAGCATACATACGGACAGACAGCGACAGCGACTTTAATTTATACTATGTAATGATAATGTAATGAGATAATGATTCTTGTACTATAAATTGAATGTTTCCATATTTAATTTTTTAAGAATAATATTGTACATATAATGGCAGTTTAAACTTATAAAAGGAGATTTAATTTAGATTAATAAATTTATTATTTAGTAACTGTATTATTAGGTCAGTGAAGACAACATGAATAAATAATTTAAGTAAATTTTAACAAGTTGTGATTTGTTAAGACTTACTTACATTATCTATTGAATTATTATTAGTCTCTATATTACTGTACTAATTATATATAAGATAGACTATAACCGTATATAATTGTACCGTTGGCAGATTTTATATACCATAAATTGTTAATTCATATTGTTTTTAATAAATATTCATTAATTGTGGCTTTATAAAGGAACTTAATTTTCTTAAAACAGGCATTAGCTAATTAATAATGGATGTGCGTGCTGTGGGATATATAATATAGCATTGTTGTTGTATAACACACACAATTGACATGTTATTTATATTTCAATAGATATATTGCCGACGAGAATGGTTTTCGACCAATTGGAGAACATATACCAAGAATTCCTCAAGCAACATCAGATAGTGGTAATAGCCGTGAAAAAACTGGAAGAGCTCTAAATCATCATTTGAATGGCCAATCAAAACCTGCACCGGCAATTAGTGCACGATCAAGTGGTCAAAATCAGAGAAAATCAACATCATCTACTCCCTCTTCAAGTTCACCAGAGTCAAAAACCACACCCGTAACTGGCGTAACTACAGCACCTGCATCTTCTAAGGGTAATGATACAAATAGTGCAAATAAAACAAGTACTAATTCAGGTGAAAGTAGTACGACTGAAGCTCTTGATTTATCAACAGAAGCCTCAACAATTGCTTCAGACAATTCTACAACAACAACAGCAGGTGAACAAACTACACCTTCTGAATCATCTACTACAAACGCTTCAGAATTAATTTCAACTACTACAGCGACGACGTCACCTACAGATGGATCTACTACCACTACTGAAGCAGGATCGACGGAATCTTCTGGTACTGGTTCTACAGCGGTCTCAGAGTCTACAACGACAGCGGCTACGGAAACAATTTCAACGACTGTTGCTGAAAATACATCAACAGCAGCAGATCATTCGAATCCATCTGAATCAGAATCATCGACTACAGAATTATCTACTACTACTACTACCGTTGCTGCTTGATGATAGTATAGACAATATTAATTTAATGTGTTGACATAAGTAATGAATTGGTGCCATTGTTTTTGATAGGATATTTAATTATAAAATAATCGCCATTAATATAGTTTTTTTTATGTATATCCGATAGTGCTCTATAGAAAATTTCAGACTAATGTTTTTATTAAAATAATTATAATACAAAATGTATATTGAAAATACATTACGTTTTGTTGTACGGGTTGATCGTATTTTAGTATTTAATTCCTGAAGATAAATAGAAAATGTGATTATGAATGTAACTTCACTGTCGTCGTTGCATATTAAACAAGTTGTTGATGTCTTATGTTTTATTTAGAGAATATATGCACAGATTTATATTTGTTACTTTTATTTGTTTGACATTATTTACATATTATAAAGATTTAAGAGTTAAAAAGATTTCGTAGATAGACCTAGATCCAAGATACCAAGATCATTTCATATTAAAATTTTCATTTATGAATGAAAAGTTAAATCTTAGGCATATAAGCGTAGCTTTTTGTTTTTAATGACTACTTGTCTGAAGTTTGTTGGACCTACGAAAGATCTTTTTAGTTTTACTAAACTATTCTCACTGGTATTAGATACATAAAAATAAAGACTTATCAATCTCTGGGAAACATTATGGAATCACTCAGTTTAAGACGCAGGTATCGTGAGTTATGTATAATTCATCGTGAGTCATTGTCAAGTTTATCATCAAAAATCTAGAGATTTAATTTTTATCTGATGAAATAACTCATAGCTCGCTTCTCATGGCTGAAATGGGTCTACGTTGAAATAACAAAGGACATATTTTTTTAGTAAAATCGCGTTCAATACTCTGCTTTTTGCAAAGATTATCAATAGATAGTAATGAGCCATAATGAATAATAATATTAATAGTAACAATTAATGACCGTTGTGAATTATCGAGAAACATCAAAAACTTTCCATGGGGTTATAAATATGTTCCAAGTTATATAATAGTTTGTATTATTTCTATATATATGAATACGATATATATATACATATATGTATTATGTACTATATAATGTATAAAGGAAAGTTTCACTTTACCGTTACACACATCACTGGTAAATATTTACCTTGCATGCCAGAACTCAGTAGGACATTATAATATCTATTCAAATGTCAAGATCAATTCATTCCTTTACGCTGCGTACAATTAGAGAAGTGTTCTTACTTGGACCGGCTTATTGAGAAATCACTGACTTGCGTTAATAACTACAATTACCGTATTTTCAAAAACTTGATTATATATAAAAACTAGCTGTTCCGTCAAACGTTGTTTTGGCATATAAATTAATAACGCTATGTAAAAATAGGGGTTGATGATAGAAGGGTGAAAATTTAGGATTGTATGTATTTTTGTATATTGTATCATAAAAAAATGGAAACTAAAAATTTTGTCTAAAAAATAAAAAATAAAAATTTGGGGTGGACTACCCCTAACATTTAGGGGGATGAAAAATAGATGTTGGCCGATTCTCAGATCTACTCAATACGCTTACAAAATTTCATGAGAATCGGTCAAGCCGTTTCGGAGGAGTAGGGGAACGAAAACTGTGACACGAGAATTTTATATATAAGATAAATGTGAATGGTGGTTATATGGTAATAATGGTTATAACGCCTTTTGTTTATTTCTTTGTTTCTAATATGATTTTGTTTATAACGTTAATTTTTTGTTTATTAAGTAACTTGTTTTGATATTGTTATAATACGTATAATAATAACTATAAATAGTTAAATATTAGGAATTTTAGGTACTTATTGTATTTTAAAATAATCTAAAATGATTTCCATGATTACATAGCAAGCTGTGGACGGATGGACAAATGTCTTTTATTATGAGGAAGTTTGTGTGAAGTAGTAGTAGTATAGTGATCTAACGATTAATGATGCTTGACTGAGTTTTTATATAGTAAAAGACTTTGCAACGCAGATGAAATCACATCTGTTGTAGACGATCTTCCTCACGAGAAAACCAAGGCAAGCGACAAATAAATCTATCGACAATGATCCAAGCCGTAAAGCATCTATGAGAAAAACCAAGACGGACACGACTCTTATTTCATGGACGCGGTAGAAACGATTTCTTTGCAAATTGTCAGGAATGATGATGCGATGCGATGAATGAGCTGTGAAACAGCATTAGACCAGGGTCTAAGTCTATACGTCAGTAGTTATGCTTTTAATACTTAAAAGCATAACTACTGACGTCAGGGTCTAACCAAATGTAGACGAAAGAAGAAGAAGTTTACCAAAAGTAGACTGTAAAAAAATATAATATCAGCATGGGTACCTCAATCTCATCTGTTTAATTAATTGAAGGTTCCGATCGGCAGTGAAATTACAAGATATGATATCTTAGTCTCGTAGTTAGACTCTGGAATGGCAACGCATAAGTGGTAATGCCGGTCACATGATAACGTAATATCCGTAGTAAGTAATAGTGCTGTACATGTATGTAGCTGACGGTTACCGCTTGTCATCAGGTAGGCTGTCAGCTTGCTCACCATTCCATTTACATAAAAAAGATTCTACTACATTCTTCTAAGAAATATGGTAATCGAACAGCAATTTACGTACACTAGATCTAATGATTCTAAATAACTAGAATTACGGGAAAGCTATTTTTATACTTCTAAATATTGTAGACTATTTATTAATTATATTACATTATTTTATTTGTATTAATATTTATTTTTGTTACTAATTACAATCATGTCACCTATAAGAAATTATAAAATATTTGCGGTGTGGTTTAAAGTGTTAGAAGTATTTTATGTGGTCGGCACGCGCCGGTGTCAGTAACCTCGTGATAGTCGTGTTATGTAACCGCATCTATTCGGACGCTGTACGTAGACACATCTGGTTGTATTCTTAAAAACATGATTAGTGTATCAACTACATTTCTTACAAGGACTGTCAGACAATCTGACTGCCCATCTGACAGAAAGTGATAGCTACTGTGACATTGTGACGACCGTGATATCCTTCAAAGGTTACTATTGCTGAGGACTAAGATGTTATCTTATCTTTAGTTAGTAGTTTAATTGTCACGATTATGCCAACCTATATATCAGCATGCTAATAATATAAGCTACTTATTTGTATAGAATTAAGTAATCATGTAATCAATTTAAAATGCTAAGTCATGGACTATCAATTAATAAAATTAATCTTATTATTTGCCACAAAATATATGTGCACGCTATGGAATTGGTAAGCAATATAAAGGGAAAGAATAATACAAAGCCCTATATTTTCTTAGGATTTGCTCAATTAATTTTTTAGTACTTAAAACAAATATAGTACTTAAAAATGGATTTATATTATTTAAATTTTTCTGCTAACCTTTTTAACTAATAAAATTGAGCTGTCAGTAAATACTTACTACTTAATTTTGTTATTTTTGTACTAAAATAGATTTCAATAGCACTCAACGCTATTTAGGTATAATGTCTAATAGTAAATTAAGTCAGGGCTTCAAATACTGGTACGAGTTATGTCATAGACATATTTAATATTTTTTATAAATATATATCTAGTACGTATATAAATAATATTATTTAAAAGATATAACCATGTATATTTGTATCGCCGAAGGATGAACAATAGCCAGACGAAGTACGTGTAACCACTACACCGACAAAATAGGCTATTAGTGATATGTATTATATATCACTAATAGCCTTTTTTCCCCCCATACTAGTAACCCACCCTAATATATATATCAAAATACCATAAAAATATTATAAGAGCATCAAAAAAAAATTATACAATAATAATAATGAGCTGTACGTCAAATTATGTATTTATAATTGGTTGTTATTAGGCGTAGTGTAAAAACGGCTTATCCAAGCTAACTAGGCAAAAAGCAACGGAAATCGTGCGGATGGTAACAGGCGTGGCTTCACATTGCACGCACCCTTTTGAACTTATTGCACAAGTTGCCTTGATAACTGATACTAACATGTTGCTACATTGACGAGCGAAAAGAACGCCTTTATATTCTTTATGTAACTGGCTAATGTAAACATTGCTTGAATCATTGTAAGCCTCCACGAAACTGCTACTGATTGATATTACCATTATTATTTTAGACAAACTATTTTCCTCGTCTTCTTCTACCTATAATTTTCGAGGAACCTTTTCTTAGCCATTATGATTGAAAAAGTTTGATAATAAGGATTTAACTTTTAAGAAGAAATCATTGTATAGATTATATGCTTACTGCAATATATTTATATTTTGCTGAGTTTCCCTTGATTTTTCTTTGTCTGGCAGTTATTAAAATTTTCAAAACACTTTAGTTTAATATCTTAGTTGTAGCATCTGTCTATGAGGAACGGTAGGCTATTATATATATAGATGAACAGCTAGTTTGTAATTCTGACATTAAAATGTAATTTAAATAATTATACCATGTATAAAAAGCACGAATGTCAAAATAGTACGTAATATACGAATATAATAAAGTACATCAACTAAAAAAATATTCGATTAAAAAATATTTAATATCAAAAAAAATAATAACAAAATCTATATAGATTTCTATTATACTACAGAGATATCTCTGTAGTATAATAAAACTCTAAATAGATTTTAATCGTGATTAATATAAAAATAATAATATTTTCTTAATTTAATTTTATTAGAAGCTACTCCAACTTATTTGGAATATCACCTTATTCAGAATTATACATCTACTACGTATAAATCTTCATCAGCAAAGCCTATTGAAGTCTTATTATTATTGCATATTACTTGCTATTGCTTGCTATTACTAAATCTATACAATATGTTTTGACGTAACAGCAAGCCATAATATATCAATACACCTAAATACGTATTGGTAACCGTGACGGCCATGTGATACCAATAATAGAGCACACGAACAATGCCATCTTGTTTCATATTATTATGGTGTCATGATTTTTTGATATCGAAATTGAAATCAATGAGAGACGCCGCAGATGCAGCGTATTGCGGCGGCTGTACCGGCATGAAAGTGTGATGGCAGAGCATACGGCGGTAAGTGGCAGGGGTGTGGTATATAAGTGAGCGAACTACTACCACTCTGACATAGTTCACTAGACTCCACGTGCCCCGGCGCCGCACGTCACATCATATAAACAACAATGAAGCTTCTGGTAAGTTCGGAAAGTTCAGTGACAACCCTTAAAAAAATTATAGCCAGTCCCGGATTTCTTTCAAAAACATTTATTTTCTGCAATTGTGAAAGTAAAGTTTTTATTGAGATTATAGATACGAGAGACCAAAACTAGAAGGGACAAATTGAACTTTGACATTAAACTTATATAGTATTCTAGATCTAATGATTTTCATATATCTGTATTACAATACAGAAATTACCTGAATTTGAATAATTATGAAGAAGTACATGTTAATTTATTAATAACCGAGACTCGTAATCGTTATATATTGTATCGTTTCGAATGATAATAATCTAATTAATTTGTTCCGTAAAATGTAATTTTATTAGAGAAAAATATTATTAATAATAATTTGATATAATTAAAATGTAATACATAGTACTTACTCTATTTCGTCAATATGTCTTGTATATAGTAGTTTCGCAGTTACTGTAATAAACATATTTAAATTTAAAATTATCTCTTCTGTATATTTAAATTCCCTATAATGAAAGTACGTTTCGCAGTTGTCAGACCTATAATTTGAAGACATTGCTATATAAACCATCTTGTTCGTCATGTCTACGAATTGTGTAATACTATGCTTACTAGGTCAATATATATTTGGGCTCAGAGGTTAAGTTACGTCTACTTAATGTCGGTTAATGGTTTATTGATCATACATGATATATAGAAAATAGGTGTTCAGGGCAAAGACGAAATTTATTTTAAAAAATACACCCCACATTTGTATATAGAATAAAGGAGTAATTATAAAAATAGTGAATATAAATTAACACATACTTTTTTATTATTAGGTAGCAACCTGAATTTCAACTCTATCGTTAAAGTTAATAATAATAATATTCGTTATTAATTTTAAAGAAACAGATGAAATTCAGGTTAATGTTTTACTCTTTAATTCCGTTTTATAAATACAACTATATAAACTACTACTAGTAGTGTATAAACTGGTTTGATTTCAATAGACTTGTACATTTGATAACCATTATAAGTCCTTATATCATTTACTACATACCTCTCTATTATACAAGTCGTATTGCGTAGTATTACTAATCAGTATTGCCATTTTTAAACGAGCAGCACTTATATAAGACCAAACAATAAACATCAGATTTAGGATGCACTAACAAAGCATGTCAAAAGTTGAAGTAGATTTGAATGAAAACAATACCATGTGGACATATATATAACAATACCAATACATATTATGTTGGAGCCCACTTTCGCCCAACCTGCGTGTCGAATGAGCCGGTTTCACAAGATGCTGCTATTGTACTCGCTGCATCTTATCTTGCGACATTACGAATATGATTAAGCTCTTTTGTCTGCTATTATTCTATGCAAAATATTTTACTGAGTTTACTCAAAATGGAAACTGATTGAATTTCAGGTGGCTTGTGCAGTGTTATCTCTGGCGACTGCTCTCCCGCAAAGGAGAGTATCGTTAAAGCCTGAGCAACCGCTGGATGATCAGCAGCAAGCAGAACAGAACTACAATGCATATCAACAACAACCACAACAACAACCCCAACCTGATTATAGACAGCAACAAGCTGATTATAGACAGCAGCCACAACAGCAAGAGTATAGACAGAAACCAATTGAAGATTTTAGACCTAAAATTGAGATAGATTCTACTACCTTTATTCCTATTCTCCGCTTTGACAAGGAACAAGGTACAGACGGAAGCTACAAAACAGCGTAAGTACTTAATATTCTAGTTACTATATGATAGTGACAGGTAACTGCAATTGTTCAACAATTTTATTTAAATATTTATCCGAATTTTAAATATTTGATATAGTCAACAACAATAAGTAATCTTTTTTGTTATTGTTATTTACATAAATTAAATGCTTGACATAATTAAATTTTGTTCAATTATCATAATACTGTTGTTCAACTTAAGATAATTTTACACAAAATTCAGAATTAATACTAAATTAAGAAATTTAGTAAAGATAACGCTTTTACTAGAATAAAAGTATTAATAATATTTTCAGATATGAGACTGGTAACAACATCCAGGCAGAAGAACAAGGATTTTTGAAGGCAGTAGGTGAAAATCAGGATGCTCTTGTTCAACAAGGAACATACACATATACAGCTCCAGATGGTCAAGTTATTACAGTTGAATACACGGCCGATGAGTTTGGCTTCCGAGTTAAAGGTGATCACATCCCCACCCCACCCCCTGTCTCCGCTGAAATTCAAAAAGGTTTAGACCTTATCTACGCTGGAATTAAAGCTAACCAGGTAAGTTATTTTTATTAGTATCAAAATTTCCTTTTAATTAAAATGCAGTATAGTTTTTAAATGTTTTTTATCAATTTTGCAAAGCAGTTTAAAACGTACATGTTAAAATGTAAATCTACTTTTGAATTAATAGATTTTCACATGAATAATTATGTAAGGCTTTATACCTAGAATATAATAATACAATTATATAGTATTACATAAATAATATTAAAAATCTAATTCACGTAAAAAGTTATGTTTACTCAATTTTATGAACGTTTTCAAAGAAAGCATGATAAGTTTTACCTTGATCTACATTGAAAAGGTTAAATGTTGCATAATCAAATTAATAAAATCTGTTTAGAGAGGAACAGATGAGTTTACATCAAGGTTATTTCATTAACTAATGTTAAATGTATCAACTATAGGTAATGCATAGTTTTTATTTTTACTTAAAATAGGAAATTTATTTACAGGAACGTGCTGCTTTAGAGGCTAAGAATAATCCTGAAGCTGCCAGACAGCAAGAGGAGAGGGCAGCGCTTGATTATAAAGGACAATATTACCAACAATAAGTAGTAAACTTAATTCATAGTTTTGTACTTACTGATATATTCAAATTAGAATTGTGACCATCCATCGTTGCCATCAATATTAAATTAATAGATCATGCAATCAAATATGGTTACTCGCGTGGTCGAAACTTACATGGTCTACAATCAAGGTTGATTATGTATTAGAAGTATTTTAGCAAGATTTGTAGGAACTAATTTTATAACTGACATCCAAACTTTCTTTGTTGCGTTTAGAGAAGACAGTATTAAATGTTAAATAACTTTTGTATTTTCAAGTCAGCCATTATGAATAGTATATAGTAATGTATAGAATAGTCTAGAATTTCGGTAGTACAGATATATATATTAGTTTTTCACTAGATATTAAAGTACTAAAATTTCGCGAAGCTTCTATAAAAAAATAAATTAATATCATTACTTCTAGCAATTTTAAATTTTCAATATAATATAAATTCAATATTAATTGGATTTTTTTGTCAGGTATGATTACATATGTATCGAGTAATGAGTTACCGTTAACTTATTGAATTAATTTTAACGGTAATTAATTCAATATTTTAGCGGTAATTGGTATACGCTTTAATTTTAATATGGGTTGATTTATTAACAAAGTGCAAATTATGGACGTCGGTTATAAATACTCAAGAAAACAACAATCATTACACAAAAGTACTGAACTGTTTATATCTTGAGAAATGCCTATTAGTAATATAATACTTTAAAAATATTGCTATATCACTAAATAAAGAAATATTTCTTAAACTAAAATTTTGTTAGGTTCTACAAATGTAATGAATTCAATATTGTCAGTAACTAAGTCAATGCATGTTTTTATGTAAAATGTGATAATTTTAGCGTACTTGAACTAGTGTTAGGTGAGATTGTTAATTTTTTCATACTTTTGTACTTTTGTATATACCTTAATAATTTATCTCTATTTTTGTATGAATAAAAGTGTTTGTATTTGTTATAATATATATTTATATAATACTATTAAAATAAAACGAAATGAACTTTAAGAAAAATACATATATGTATTTATCCTCTATGTGATTTTATAAGAATGGACATTTTTAATATTACTCTATGTCCTTGTTCGCCATTTTTCAAGCACTCTGTACTTGAAAAATGGCGAACAAGGTGATGATTCATAGCTCATCATAAATCGTAATCTTCGCCATGGACATGAACAAACTTTTCCATTTAAGAATGCAAGATCATCTTATAAAGAGATTGCTCCGATTATTATGACCTTCACTTTGACTAATAACTTTAGAATACAACATAGCAATAGATATACTGTTACACTATAGCGAAATAGTTAAGCTTGTAATACAAATCCAGGTTACACAAATCTGGAACGCCAAAAAGATATATTAAATTAAAAGTAGGTACAGTAATATGCATATATTTACCAAATAATTGATCAGGTAATAATCCAATAGTACGTTTCTTGTCATTCCTTGATAATTACTTTCGTTACCTAACCGTCGCGTGTTTTGTTTTTGCTTATTCAATTACTTATACTGTAGTTTGTAATGTCTACATAATGTTTCAACTAAGCTACGTAACGCAATATTTAAACAGTAGTCGAACTATAATAGCCTTAGGCATCTTAGTTTTTAGACACATTTAAAACTGTATGCGTACTGGTGGTCAGTATAATAATATAATCTATGCATGGCACGATCATAAGACAACGTACACATGGTATAAAAATCAGGGACAATATTGGAGCAGTTAGATATAATAGTATATAGCTATATATACACTCGGCGAGCATACTATAAGAAGTCAGCCCTGATTACACACAACGCAATCCAAGGCGCTCTACACTCCGATATATCTTTTGATTTTAGGGTCGTAGTTAATAATAATGAAGAAATGAGTACCTACCTACATTCAATCCATAATAAAGCGTAATGTTGATAAATTTGTGAAATGATTGAAACATACAAACTTAAAAAATAACTTTAAAGGCGCACACGAAATTCAACGAAATTACACGAAATTCAAATTTGCTGAGTCATAACGGCGTTTCGCTGGCCTAAATATGTCAGTCTTCTAGTTGCTACATTGTTCTACTATTCTGGATAATATCTATGTTCATAGTATCTATACTAGTCACCGCCATCTTCCAGACATGAAGATTCTGGGCGCATTGAAATGATAGCAACCATCACCTACACACATACTACATAAGCATTGAAAAGTGGGTTGGCGGTATCGTGACAAAACAAGTGAAATTATGAAACAAGTGGTCATCCCACACTTAGACTTAGTTTGTTTTTCATAGAAAAAATTCCATATAATATCATATTCAAAATGAGTTTCATAAAATGGCTTGTGTAGTTTTGCCGTTTTGGGGAACATAACATCGAATTGGCGTATCTATCTGAAGATAGCAATGAAATAAGAGAGGATTATTTGTTTTTTTTTGAAGCTAATAACCAGCGCCACCTACGATGACTTCAGTCAGATTAGAATTTGTTAGTTGTAAGCAGAATCTTTTGCGTAAAGCTCTTGACAACTCAATAGGTGCCTATTGAGATATACGTATGTATTATATATACTAGCTGTACCTGCGACTTCGTCTGCGTAAAATAGTGACCTTGATCACATAATGAAACATATTTAGTAATCTAACCCAATAAAAACGTTTCATCGTTTAGCTTTAAAATAAAAATAAACTTCCTTTCAACCTTTCAACGCCACTTTTAACCCTTATAACTATTTTATTTATTTATATATATATATATATATATATTTATAAATAATAACTACTTTTAAAAATGACGATAATTATATACATCCTTTCATCTCCTCTTTTAACCTCTTACAACCGTTTTTCGAATTAAAAAGTAACCTATGTCTTTTCTCAGGATCTAGACTGTCTGTTTACCAAATTTCATTTAAATTGGTGCAGTAGTTTTGTCATGTAAGTGAGACAGATAGACAGAGTTACTTTCGCATTTATAATATTAGTAAGGATAAGGATTATGTTTTAAAGTTAACTAACTGTCCTGACTTCGTTCGGATTGAACGATACCTATATAGGAAATATACATATATTGTCCATCTATAATGTATGTTTCGTACAGTGAAAATAGTGTTAAAACAGGTGAAGTAGTTCTAGAGACTACCTTATTCATAGATAAACTTACATTATTCGTTTGTAATATTAGCAACTAAATATGTAATTAACTGATCTACTTAGTTATATTTTTATAAAAGTGCACAGAGTTGTTTCATATTAATTATTACATTATTCTCCTACCCAAATTTAAATTTTGATACTTCATATCGTGCACTGAGATTAAATTATAATCATACAGTATCTAGTGCCTATCGTGACATTTTACGAGCTAAATTATAAAATTTTGCAATAATTTATAGGATGTAGGATCCTTTAATTAGGAAATCCAATAGTAGTGGAGGCGATATAAACTTTGCATTAATATTGTGTAGAATATGGCAACATAAAATTGATGAATAAAAGTTTAAAATGTAGGCATCTAAAAAAGTATAACATTACACAAATGAAGGCGAAGAATTCTAATTATTATAAATTATAAAAATACTCGCAATAATAAGAGTTATGTTATATAAATAACGGAATAAAACTATAATTATAAATTAATGTGGAATAACATAAAATCTCACAAATTAAAAAAAATCTGCAATGCTAACCGAAAGGGCTTATATTTTTTATGTTTGTTACCTAATAAGTTCTTAATTTTGAATTGAATTGAAAGTCTTCTTTTATTTAAACTGACAATGCTTGTAATTTGATCTCATAAAAATATCTGTTTCAGTTCAGCAAGAATTGGCAAAAGTCATTTATGACTTTTGCCAATGATGATTCAATGATGTTCATTGTCAAATAATATGAACTAAATAGGTTACTACTACTAGGCCTTTTGACTTTATCATGAGATGATAAATCATGATGAAATCGTAATAAAACAAATACATACGGCCGTACTTCTAAACATTTTTTGATAAGGTTGAATAACAGTAATTAAATAACTTAAAAGATTAAAATTTGCAAGCAACAAGTGTGCAAATTCTAGTTATGTTAATAGCTAGTAAATATTAAAATTCAGTAAGTATTCAACGAATTCAGGAGCTCAGTTTATTTTAGTTTATTTGCTAGGTACTCCATTAGTTTCATCAAATGCCACACGTAGAACAGGATTCGCGGGGTCATCGGCGGTTACGATGAACTTACATATTTTGCAATTACCCCGTTATTGGGCATCTGACTGTCCAGTTTCTGACAGCTTTGTGCAATTTTAATAGAACCCTGTTTGTTTAGTATTTGATCGATTTACGCAAACATAATTAGAGACCTCTCTCTTATATTAGGTCTTAGAAGGCAGAGTTGCAGTCTGACGTTAGAATTTTGCATTACACTCTGTAGTTCTATACCTCAGAGACAACAATCTTTTAGTTAGTAATACAAATGAAAATATTTATGAAGATGTTAAGAGGTTTGTTTGATACTCTGTCGTATAAAATGACTGATTGATTAGTCATTAATAGATAGTAAACCTTATCACTGACACACTATTTAAATATTATTATAGTTTCCCTTTAGCTTATCCCCAGGCAATGATAATTTTAATATACTTACAATATACTTATATAAAAATTTGTAATATATTTATATTGACAAGGTATTGTAAATCCTAAATTTTCTTTTATCTAGTATTAGTAAATAATCCATTTTTTTATTTATGATTATGGTCTATTTATAACATTCATGATACTTCGAATAATCTTTTGTTAAAATATGAAGGCAAATAGTTGCTTTGAGAAAGCATGCTTACAGATTGCGGAATAAAATTACAGTCAGATAACACTAGGTCAAAGTTAAAATTGCATTAAAACGTCAAATCGTATATATAAATGTTTCATAACATCACTTTTATTAATAGTATAATTATCCTATTAATAAGGGCGAAGGGATTGCTAGTAATGAGGAATAAAATTACTTTACCCCATTCCTAACAATCCCTTCCCCCATTGCTGTGTTAGGTTGACTTCCTGGAAAGCGACGTGATTAATTCCTGGTGAATTTGTCACGATGGGCAAGCTGTCCTGACTTCATCCTATCATTGTTCACTAGTGCTCCGCCAGCGCATAGCACCATTCCATTATTATCATCATCTGTTTCTTCTTTATCCCATTTATTTGGTGTCGCCGCAATATGTTTTTCTATTCCATTCATGCCTGTTCGCAGTCATCTCGTTATTTACTCTCTTTCTTATCATATCATCTTTCCCACAGTTCAACCATCTCTTTTTCGACCTTCTTCTGCCCTTATAACCATCCACCCTTATAGCCAGGCAGTATTCCCTTATCTAAACATTATAAGTAGTTTTCCACACTTGAAAGTGACTATGTAGCTAAATATTATTTTTTTACTTCAGTTCTGAAGACACAGTACGTAGATAACTTAGTTTCGGTGTTTCTCCGAATAATATACACATATTTCTATTTCCTTAATTACTCATTCATATCGTATCAAATGTCAACGGTACTAGTAGTACAACACAAGTGAAACTGAAGATGACTGATAATATTATTGTATTATATAATAAAATAATACATAATAATTAGCGAACTAAAAACTCATCTAAATGGGTATCTCACCTATTATAGCTACCAAACTACTTCCTTTGTTAGATTTGTTTGAATTGATGGGAGATTGTGATAGACATAACTATAAACTTTTATGTTTAGTAGAAATAAGTTTAAACAAATTTCGGTAGCATTACTCAATAAGTGTACAGAAATCGTATGTCCCGATGTTTCTTGCCGACATTGACATCGCTGTACCTACTCCAGTCGGCTCTGGTTATATACATTGCAGAAGACATAGTCACTGTCTACTGCAATTTTATCGAAAAATCGAAAAAGTTAACTATAAACTTAACTTCATTTACTATAAACTTATTTATATTAAGGCCCGATATTTCTTTATTAATATAGTTAATATTAATAAAGAAAGAAATTCTCAGGTCGATAATAAATTTGTAGACCAAAATAATAATATATTATATTATTATATCCGTGGACAATTTACACAGCGCCATCTAGTCCCAAGCTAAACAGAGCTTGTATTATGGGTACAACTGAAACAACTACATTGGAACTTTTTTTTTAAATACATACATAATATACATAGAAAACACCCAGACCGTAACAAACAATCATATTCATGAATATAAATAAATGTTGGTATACCGTGCGAGGAATCGAACCTGCGACCATAAGAAGTAAAGTGGTGTGCTAAACCGCTAGAGCACTGAGGCCACTGATAACAAACATGGAGTTAAGATAATGGAAATATTAAAATGATATTTCGAAATTGTTATTCACTGTTATGATATCTTTGTATTCATCTACGTGTGTTCGAGGAAAATCAGTAAGTTGTCGCTGTACGTGCATCGTCTGACCTAAAATATGTCTTCCTGTGTAAACGGCATCATGTGTCACATTTATAAAACAAATGTGTATGAGAAAGTCACGACCCGACTCAAATTTTGCAAATATTCGAAGGTGTATGAGAGGCATTATTTATTTGTTACTGTCATCAAGTAGCTACAATGCTTCTAAAAACAAAAGTGGCAGCCAATTCATTAAACTCCTGTTAAAAGTTGAGCAAAATATCAGCTTAGTATTATATAAATATTTTGCTGACAATTCCCTTATCAAATGGATTTAAATTAACAGTTTAAATATTGTTCTCCTTAGAGAGGAGAGAGGGGTAAGAAGGATTATTCAATTTATATGTAATTTTTTAAGTCCTAATGATCAATTTCAAATTGTTTTACGTAAGAAAGAGCGAATATTTAGTTATATATTTTTACAAAGAGCTATACGAGCAATTGTATTAATGTCATCTTGGAAATCTTGCAAAGTATATTTTGGAAAACTAGAACTTCACTTCAAAGATATAATTAAAGATGAAATTGTGTAAAACAGATTGATGCAGGAGAATATGTACAATGGAGAATAGACGTTTTCAAGTTGGTGGAGCACTGTTTGCATCATCGACCTGTAAAAGCATGTAATAGTTTGTCTGTGGATTTAAAGGACAAGAAGCGTTTCAGTATTCAAAAATAAATTTAAGTTATTTTTTTAACAAAAAATATTATAGTTTAAACTAATGTTTTTATATACTTCTATTTCTGTTCAAACACAATTACAATATGAATAAATGACTATAATTATGACATTATTACTATTTCTTTCAAAATACAGTGATATTTATTCATTTAGATTTTGTAGACTTTTAATACTAAAATTCCAAAAATCACTTATATACCAATTTACGTTGTGAGTAAACAGTAAAATGTATTTCTTTATGAAACATATGTCAGAAAAAAATAGTATCTATAGTTCTTATATGCTTAGCTTTGTTAAGCGTACTGTAATACTACTTTTACCTAGTGAAATTTATTGTAAATGGGTACTGAGATTTACGTTATCTTAAAGATTGCACTATTATATAATCCCCTGACAGAAACACAACAATGCACAACGTTGCTACTTCACTAGCGAAATAGTTAACTACTACGTATTTATACTCTAAAAAAAATATTTACATGTCATCAGCAACACCACGTGTCAAAAAATGTCTACAAAATCCAAAGAGTACTTCATAATACAGGTTATTCTTTAAAAATATGATAATAAATAATAAATAGATACATTTAGTATATTAGAGTAACATAAAATCGTAAGTCACTTGTAACCCTACAATCTTGTCACAGTACATTACTCGTTACAGTTCCTCAAGTACTAGGATTGTATAGCATGATAATATTAGAAATTATTTATAATTCAATTCTATTTTGTGTTTCTGTCATGGTAATTTCATACAATAATTATTAAAGTCAGCTTTTTAAAAAAAAAAAAAACATTTTTTATTAACTATGTATAAAATTATTTCAGTTGTAACTACTTTAAATTAATATAATACTTTGCATATTTGTAATAAACAGTACAATTATCTGTCCACAGATTACTAATACTGTAAAGTAATATCAATTGTGTACAAATTGTCTTAAATTGTCAATTGATTGTTTTATGTTCACGTACGATCATTTTATTGTGTGTGTTTGTTTGTATGCAGGTAAGTGCACGTTAGCGAGATGAATCGCCTGGATGCGCATTCGCTGGGTCGCACGAAGTTCATAGGTAAAGATGCAGGTATATAAACACCATGCAGTGTCACCGAACACACACCCGTTGTGATTGTGAGTGCATCCAGACCCCCTGTTACATCCTGCCCTATTTATCGCAATGATGGTGAGGAATTTATCATAATCATAAAGTAATAACTTTAATCGATTTTTAAATATTTAGGACGAAATAGTACAAAATCGAGCTTCTCTCACAATAACAAAAATTTAAAAATACATATTTATCAGAATAAATTGCATACCTAAAACCAAAATCTACATTCAAATAAAAATTGAGTCGTTCGCGTATTAAAAATATAACTACGACGGCTTGAGCCGAGGTGCGAATCCCTAGCTGTGCCCTCAGACTTACGTCGTATTTGTCGGACAGAGATTGGCCTTAAGCTGCTCCAGAATTATTCCACGTATTTGGAATGCATCTGCACTGTTCTTCTGTCGTTTGGTGAAGGTGTAATGGCCAGCTGCAGCCAATAGCAGCAGAGTAGTTAAAAAAAAAATACTGACTTGTAAATAGATTGTAGTCACATGGATACAATATTATATTACAGTTATCTAATACTTCTCATTATTCTAATGTTCCATCCATTCATTCATTCCATATTATATATTAAACGTGATATTGTCATGTTATATTATATATGAATCTATTACTAATCTTAATGTTCTTGTTGTAACTGGCTAATCAGATATGTATTTTATATTCTAAATTTGTATTTGAATCTATAGTTCTTTTATATTACATTCTTGTTTTTGATACTTCAATTTCTTCTTTCTATTTCTAATTGTCAATATGTCTATATTAATATATATTTTCTCCGTTTTACCTAGTCTTTTTTCTTATTACTACAACAGATCTTTACGGGAAACGATATACGACAAGATCAAGAAATGACTTGAATATTTAAAATAAATAAGGGTGTAAACTTCTATATTTACCTACAATTAATTAATATATTGTAATTTTAATATTAAAGTTAATTTCTTATGAATGTTCGTTTCAATTTGTGAGAAATAAGTAAAAAACATTTTTTATAAGATTTGTTTCCCATGATTGTAAAAATTATAAACCTTCGAAATATGAATAATGAATTTATAAAAGTCCAACAATTTTAATATTGGAATAATTACTTAATAGTCACGTCACGAGTAAAGCAGACACGCAATGTATGGTTAATACCAATTAATTTCTGACATTGTGGTATCTATAGAGACAAAGTACTTGGGCTGCCTAGGCTAAAAATGTCAGTATTTCACATTTATGTATATATGTATTGTTATAATTGTATTCTAAATATTCTGCTAAGGATGCTTAACTTAATTATATAATAACTTAATTAATCCTCTAGAATTTCAATGCCAATAAGGGCCATTCGTGGCACCGTAGTAACTAGATTAAATGCGTAACATTTATAAATTGATTCATGCCGAATATGATGTACTTCTACATAATACAATTTGTCAATAGTATTTATTATTTGTACACAATGTAGATAACGTTTTTTTCTCATTTCTTTTTTTAATATTATTTTACAAAACAGTTTCGTATTTGTGGATATGTACCTACTACATCCTAAGGCGCGGTATATTGTCACCAGATTTTTGTCAAGTCACGGAATCCTTTCTTTACTTGTCTCTGACATAATTTTCTACACCCTCACGTTTCGTTTTACCACGACTGATGATATAATAATTTTAGCTGAGATATGAAAATAAAAAGTCATCATGATGTTATTAATATTATTTTTCAGCTATGTTACTTTAAAAGTGTTCTCAGTAAATCATCCATAACAAAATGTATTTATTACTATATTATTAATAATTACTGTATATTATGAAGTGAGGTCAAATTTATCATTCCAAATAATGTTTTAATGTAAAAGTTTTTTAAATACGTTGATGTCAGATAATAATGAAATTTCTAGAGGAAAATATAAAAGTGTGAGTTTAAAATATTCTTAAAATGCAAAACTAAAATATAAAGATAGATAAATATCTAGTAAGTTAGCTTAGTACGCAACATACATATTTACATAACGGGATACGAGTGCATGAATCTCATGTGGTTTGTCGTTTCGACACGATTCCTTTATGGTTGTTTCATTGTTAGCGCGGAAAGTACCAACTTTCGACTCTCGTTCTTCCGCTCCATTGCATTTCCGCATATATTGCACGCATGTTATGCCATCATTTTCAATAATGTATGCAGCCTGAATATGTTTCCTTTCAGCTTCAGACGTGTGATTGATACGTACTATCATACACGTATTTTATAATATTAGATATTTTGCTAGAATGAATAAACATGTGCGTTACCTGTTACCCGCTCTTTTATCTGCTTTTTATGAAATAAAAGATAGCGTAGCGTATATTTGTGCACGTGCACACATCAAATTTAATTAATATGGCACAGGAAGGAACCGGTATATGTCTGTTACTTCCTATCTGTTATTTCCATTTTTGCATTTATAATATTAGCACAGATAAGAGAATATTATATAATATTAGTATGCTTTACTCATAATTGTATATTAATAAATATTATTTTTATTAATAGCTTTGTGCTTATATACTTTACCAAATCAATTTTCTTTACGAGTCTTTATTGTAGAAATCATTAATACGTGAAGTAATAAGATACTCCTTTTTGCGAAAATTACAGCGATGGAGGAATATAAAATTTGGAACGGTTAAAGTTTATATATAGTAGGAATATAAGAGTTATTATTTTTTACAAATTGCATTTAAAAAATCTCCTAAATTGTATTTCTTATTGATCATTTATGTCAGTAAAAATCTATTTGCTCTATATAAAATGTTAGGCAGCTCCGCAGCAGCAGTCCGTTGATGATTCTAAGATTAATTTTTGGTTTATTATCAATGTTTCCATTACCGGAAGGTTAGTCAGTAATAGAAATTGACCCAAAGTTTTCAATGGATCAGATTTGAACTAATGATCTTTGGGGTTTAGTCGAGTTAATAAACTGCTGTGTCAGAATGGTTTCTATCACTCATATTAATATTATATACCTACTCATTATATAAAGCTATTATCCTATCGTATATATTGCTATTATCGTAGGTTTACCATTCAGAAATAGAGAAAATATTTCCTATCAATGACTTTCTGATGATATCCCTACTAAAATGTTTGCGGCAAACAACTTAAACAGAACAATTTGCAATGAATTTTGGACAGTAAATGTTTCCATATATTGTTTTTTTATCTTTTAACGTAGATGATATTATAGGTACATTAACCTTTTTTAAAATATTTGCCATAAATACATAATCATACATGGTGTAGGTATATTAAGCCCTACGAACTTTGCAGTAGGACAAGACGTGCATGTCTTTGTGGGATAATATAAAGATAAGAGTATTTGATTTGTCGGTAATAAAATAGCTCCAATACAAATGGACCGATGTTGATGCGGTTTTTTTAATAATTTCAGATCTCGTTGTTTTTAGCAGCTTTGATTGGGTTGGCCGCAGCAGCAACACAGCAACAACAACCTAATGACCCTATTCCAATCGTACGTTTCGAAGCAGAGGGGCCGAATGTTGATGGTTCTTATAAGTGGCTGTAAGTATGACTTATTTGTTCATTCAATTCAAGTGCTATAAATAAATTATATGGTGTAACAATGATATATGACATAGGTATATCTAGATAGCTAAAATCAGAGATTGTATATAGTACCAGGGATCCTATTGTCGATTAATAGAGTATTTTTTTTAAAGATTAAATAATTAGGAAATTATTTACCGAGTTTTATGATAGTGGATACTAATATTATATTAAGTATGCCCTCTATATTATATTATTAAATAAATATTATTATTTTATGGTTAACTTTAATTTTTAAATAAAATGTAAGGATATTTTGTGATGTAATTTTTAAAGATTAGTATAAATATATGGACTACACGCGACACTAAATTCAGGAATACTATTTGAGCAGCTGTGTTTGGGGTAAATATGCGTGCATAATATGAAAAGCCGATTTGGATTTCACTACACACAAAGCGATCTACGGAGGGACGAAGAGTACTCTTCACCAATGCACCGATATTACCCTCGAATTTAGGTCTGTGTGTAGCCCATCTACATTTAATACTCACGACATGCTGTACCTACTGTTAGTAGATTAAATTTCCTAATTTTAGATATGAAACGGGCAATGAAATTAACGCTGAGGAGTCTGGTTATGTCAAAAATTTTGGTAAAGGAGAAGGCGAGGAGGTACAGGTTGCTGAAGGAAAGTTTAGTTACAAGTCGCCAGAAGGCAACTTGATCGCACTCACATACATCGCTGACGAGAATGGCTTTCAGCCACAGGTATGAGTTTTGTTATTGTATCAGGTGAGCAAGTATTTTTTTTTTATAACACAGGGGACAAACGAGCATGCGGCTCACCCGATGGTAAGTGATTACCGCCGCCCATGAGCACCCGCAACAACAGGGGAATTGCAAGTACGTTGTCGGCCTTTTAAAAAGGAATAAGCTCTTTTCTTGAAGGTTTCAATATCGTATCGGTTTGGAAATACCATTGCTGGAAGGTGATTCCACAATGTGGTTGTGCGAGGCAAAAAGTTTCTAGAAAACCGCACTGTGGAAGACCGCCATTCATCCAGATGATCAGGATGGTATTTCAGTTTCTGGTGGGTGGTACGGTGATGAAACTCAGCAGCTGGTATTAATCGGAACAATTCCTCAGAAGTATTCATTTATATTAAATAACTAACTAATTGACCCGCGCAACTACTGCGTCACATTTTTCCCTGTTTTTGCAACATTTTTCTTTGCACTTATCTCATAGTTGTAGCATTATGTTATACAGCCTTCTTCAATAAATAAGTTATCTAACACTAAAATATTATATGTAGATTTGAAATTTTATTAGTACTACCGAAAATTACTCCAAAGTTTGGATAGTAAACAAATTTTACCAATTTATAATATTAGTATAATTTAACATTCATTTTAAAATATCCATGTTTATATATGAATTCTACTTAACTACAAAATTGATTTAAATACGATATTTTTAGCTATTATGTCTTAGCTATTAGTATGTATGATTTTTTATCATTTTGTATTTTATTATAGCTAGGTAAACTAGTGCTAAAAGCGTTAACAACTGGAAGAAATTGTTTGTTATCTGGGACCAACCACATCACGGGGATTTATTGTCTACATTTGAAAAACCTGCTGAAAGACTCTAATAGATAATTTAGATTTTTACGTTTATTATTATTACTTAAAAAATATTACGATAAACTATACGATAAAATATATTATATATAAATTTGATATTGAAAATACTTGCTTTATCGATTTATTTAGGTATCGTATACAAATACGGTATAAGTTACCGTAAAATTTGCCCGACATATCTTATAATTCTTATATCGGTGTGATGTCGCAATCAACGTAGATTCAAGCAAAAAGTTGCGATAATAAATAATTTTATTAAAAACTTGATTTTCCTATGGTGTTTATGGAATTCAAATTACATAATTATTTCCTATTTTGCGAAATATTTTTTTTACATTATGTTGATCAATTATTTTTACATAGCAGGAGCTTTTATTATATTCGGGGTTTAAATTAGAAGAAAAAGCAAAATTTAACGATGATTACCAAGATTAATTAGTAAGGCAAGCCACATAACGGTAAAAAAATTTGAATGTATCTCGAGTCGCAATTCCAAATTCATTGCATAAAAAAATCCCATTTTAGATGGATATCTAATACATAATATTACATGTGGATATACACTATACATTATATACACTCCAGTGTTGGTTGTACGCATGATTAGCAGTAGAATATAGGTCGATAAGTACTGACTTTTTAACTAATTTAAAAATAAAACTTGTGTCCATAAATTTATAAAGTTTAGTAATCAATGTAACCTGAAACATATTTCTGATGTTTCATTCATTATAATAATATGTAGTTTTGCATATGGTCATATTTTTTTTAACAGATATTTTTTGTTAAAGGTTTTCTTAAGTTTTTCTATAAAGTAGGTCTATTCAGTTAACTTCAATTTTCGTTGTTTTAAGGAAAAATCTGGTGTAAATTGCTTTAATTAAAGTCAACAGTTTTCAACAACTAATTAAATTTCAGTAGAATGCAACCATTAATAAAATTAAACATATATTTTCTCCCTTACACAACTTATCGTTGATGCAATTACATCATACCATAAAAGGATCCGACGACACTGTATCGCATCACACTTGTCTTATTGTGCAACGCCACACTAAATAAAAATATATTTCATTAATACGTACTAAAATATTATTATTCAACTCATTTTGCTGTCGGCGCAAAGGAACCTTGACATTTTTCGAAATCAACTACCGAATAGCTTTCTTCACTTGCATATTTTATGAAATTAATCGTAACTGAGTCCAGAATATTTAAATTACAATACGGTAGTCACTGGTAATACCAGTCACGGTAATTATTTTCAAATCAAAAATATTACATAGAAAATTCACATAATTTCTTCCCTACATATGATAATGATACTCTTATCTAAAAACAGAGATAGTTGCAGGTATACTACTCATAAAAATTTTTGAAGTTAATAAATTTTCTATGTTATTTTTAATTTCATCGGTATATCCTATATACATAGTACATATAGTTCATAGGTAGATTTTTACCATTATTTTTATGAAATTGAGCTTATGATAATAGTTAATAGTTAAGCGGTGAATAACCCTTATTAACTGATTTCAATTATAACAAAGTGCAAAAAAAATCCATGTATAAACATAAATTTATGATACATCTATAAATACATAGTACAATGATACTATGTGTAATAACTTTAATTGATATAACTTCTACTCACTTCTATTATTACCGATGATTTATTTATTACACTACTAATCCATAAGCTATATTGCAATACCATACCGGATGGTCTGCTTCGTACTTCAACTTGCAAAATGAATATTATTTTAAACTTGGCCTTTGAGTTTCCATTTTCAACGTAATGGATATATTAAAATATATAAGGAAAATATATGCACATTTGAAGGCAAAGACAAGCATCAAACAATGTGTTGTCGGTATCTTCAAAACTGTTTTAAATGTTGTCATAAAATTTACATTAATGGCCTCTAAAAGCGAACTAAAATACTAGGAGTGGTCGTGTGGTTAAATACTCAGAAAGTGTCTAGAATCTGCCTGAATCATTTACATTGCGTAAAGTGCCATGGAAGATGTCTGAACTGCGCGGTTGGTGTTTGTTGGCTAACGCATACAAATGTCGATGTAAAATACCAAACGTCGACCCGTGACCTGCTCTTGAGAAATGGGATGGCTTTTATCGGCATCTATGTGACATTGAAGAATCAATAAATATAATTGTTACATATATGTTGCACTGATTTGATAGGTCAGTGTTACGCTATAGTAACATGTATCCAAGAACCGGTAGCAATAATTACGAAAAGCATTTGAATAATGATTCCTGATTTCTGTGTTCCATAGGTGATATATGAACTCAATGGTTGTATGTTAATTGTTGTATAGTAAAAATGTTAATCTAGGAGTAATATTTTACTATAGACAATAAATGAATATTTTTAATACAATTTAAATACAAATAATATTATTAAGGTTTAATAATTAAACCGAATTATATATTATAAACTAGCTGTACCTGCAACTTCGTCCGTGTGGAATTTAACAAAAAAGTTAATAAGAGAATTTTAGAGACTAGCCGGAATAAACAGACAGAAAGAGACACAGATAAAAATTGTAAAAAATGTTATTTTGGTGTATGTACCGTATTTATATTCATATACGGTAATTTAAATATTACAAACAGACACTCCAATTTTATTTATATGTATAGATTATTTAGGTTCAAATTGCAGTTCAAACATCATAATTTCAGAAACTCTAATTAATAAACTAAAACTCGTTCTATCATTTTTTCTGCTTCCTGTATTAACCCTTAAATAAATATAAAGAAAAAAATATATTAAACATTCATTAATACCCTTTTAGTATAAATAACACTGGATATATAATACTAAAACAGATAATATGCATTTTCGATTTTTTAAACTATCCTACATAATTTATTTGTTCTTTAAAAAAATATTTTTATAGCGGCAATAAGAATTATCAAAATCCATTTAGAGATGGACAAGATGTTCCAAATAATAGGTAATAAATACTATATCCATTCTTCATTATCTACCCAATTATAAATCATCTCAAGTATGAATTGACTTATTTTTATCACTACTAGTAGTAAAAAAGCGCTTATTACAAATATATGTTTTACATTATAGTAAATAAAAATATAGCATTTTTATTATTTTTTTTACAGGGTGAACATCTACCAACGCCGCCTCCCATTCCACCGGCAATACAAAAGGCCTTAGAATACTTGAAGACTCTACCACCTGGTGCAGTGGGATCTCCGTCTAATATTCAACCTCAATATCAACCTTCTCCCTTCAAACAAAGAGGAAGATTTTAAATAATAAAAGAATATCAGATTGTTATAAACATAAATAAATAATATTATAAAGCGAGGCAAATGCCTAAATGACAAAGCAAAAATTATAAAATGTGTTAAAGCAAATTATAATGCACGTTTATGAAATATAACTAGAACAAAACATAATTTATTATGCATTTAAATTGTATAATTATAATAAATTAAATATATTGATTTGAAAAAGAAACAATCAATCTAACTTTATATCTTCAAAAGACTGTTAATTTGATTTTAATTATTAAATCTAAGAAATACCGACAAGTCTGTGAAGATACTAGGAAGCTTCTTAGTTTCTCCGAGGATCTTCGCTGACTATTTTATTATTAGTAAGTAGAAGCTCTGCTTCTCTACAATTATAATAGCCTAAAAGTGAGTCTAAGTGTAACTTTCAATATGATTTCATAATTATCTCAAGTATAAGGTAAGTGCCCTTATTTGTAGATTCAATGTACATGTATTATTTGATAATTTACTCACTAGAATATAAAGTAAAATAAAAATAAGCAAATTATCGTGTATTTCATTATATGCTTTAAAAATTAAATAATGAACAATAAGTAAAGTTAAAACTTGAAAACAGTCCCTACATTATGTAGGATATGACATAGACAGTTATATTTATTTAGAGTAGCAAAAATGAGACAAATTACAATGCAATTTCACCACAATTAAACCACAAAGTACAACGAGAAAAGTAAGAAAAATCTTTACTAAGACTACATGATACTTTAAATTTCAGCCGCCATTTAAGTTCATTATCAACCTGTACGCGTCCGTTTATGATTATTCGTTACGATAGCTTCATTGTCACTGTCATAGTCCCATTTATCTAAATGCGAAACTTACGAACACTTCGTATGTGAACTGCATCCTGCAGCAGATTTCTTTAACCTAGATAAAGTTATTAACGTATGTGTGTAGGTATATCATTAAATAAACAATGATATCTATTATCTCCAAGATAAGTAATTGGAGATCGTTAACGACCAAGTGAAATAGTGATATTTTTATTTAAATACCAAATTACTGATATTTCTATGAAGTGCATCTCACGATTTACGTGAATAGAAAGAGAACATTTTCAAAACTAAACAACAGATATTTAAAGAACGCCTTTTTTTGAAGTCTATTGAATTATACACTAATTGATTGTTGTTGTGTAAAACTCAGTGTTATGTAGTGATTTTTCAATTGAAATGATTTTCAATTGATATTGAAAAATTACATAGCACTAAGTTGTATAAATAACATTATGATTCCTTCTTGTATATTAATAATAATAAGAGAGGAGATATATAATATATATATATATATATATAAAGAAATAATAATAATAAATTTGATTAAGCCACAATCATGTACTGGTATTAATTCATTTTTATAAACAATATATTAATCTAATAACTAATAGTTCAACTCAATAATAATGTAAATGAACTTTCATTTCATTATTATTGAGTTGACTGCGATTCACTTCATACCCTATACAGATTGCTTAATCTGTATAGGGTGTGACGTGCATCGCGTCTTTTATGTTAATTTGATAGCAATGAGCTATAGAGCATATTAATTAATTTTCAGATATTTATAAAAGCCCATACTTCATATGTAATATCTGTAATAAGGTCTAAGGTGTGCAACATTGTTTATCTATACTATGATACCTATTGTTCAGCTAGGTGTCTATGTAAAGGTGTAACTTTTTATTTCATATTTTAAAATTGTTAACACATTTATATCAAATACCTCAAGGCTTTGTTAAATTTCATAATAGTTGCATAGTATTAGTTGTTAGTTCATTTCATAATACTAAGTTCGCATTTGGATTTTAAATTTATGAATCATATGTAAAAAGCAACAGTTTATAGATCATTTTAGTTATAAATTAGTATAGAACAATATGGCAAACCTCTAATCTACATCTGATACCATGACCTTCTGATTCGATTCCAGTTAGGGAATTTTAAGGTGATGGACGTTGTCTTGGTATCTTATAAAGAAAAATATTTGTGTAGCAGATATGGTATACAGTGTATATATACCTATATGTATTTATATATGTATATTAATGACATATCTTCCTCTCTACCCTCTCCATCTTCCCTCTCTTTGCGCTGATATGTCTGAGGACTAAGGTTACTGTGACACCGTGATATCTATGATCATTCCCATATCTATCACACATTTCAGTCAGAGACAGAGTTTTTCAAAGCAGTCTCCATAGGCTACAATAGTATCTATATATAGATATTTTTATATAAATAGAGCATGTATTCTACTTGTTCTAATTTGTATACATATATAAACATAGTTAAATTATACATTACATTATCGGAATTCTGAACACTAATGCATAAAAGTCATTCAGTCTTAAATTATTCCATAATTTACTAACATATTATATCTAAATAAGTATGTGATTTTATGTATTATATTAACTATCTATTCCCCGCAACTTCGTTCGCGTGGAATTAACTTTATTTTGTAAAAATAAATTAAATTTCTAAATAATAGCATCTTAAGTTACTCCTTATAACATAAATTCGTCCGACGAAGCTAGAATAATGATAGTCCCGTTAAAATCGTTCCAGCCATTTTAGAGATTAGCAAAACAAACACACAGAGAAAATAAAGTTTTGGATATAAGTATACTTTTTACATTACATATGTAAAAAGTATACTTATATCCATATATATGAGATTAATTAATCTTATATATATATATATATATATATATAAGATTAATTTAAGACTTAAGTGAAAAACTGTTTATTTGAAATTAGAAACAGATGCTTCAATTTTATTTATTTCTATAGATGGGTTTCTAATAAAAGCTACTACACGTATCACAAATTATTTGTGATTACTAAATATCGTGTAGGTGTATGCAGTACCTATTACCCTTAGTAGTAATTGATTGTACGTAAAATAGGTACTTAACTATGTTATTTGTGTGAATGTCTGTGAGAATTTTATGCTAAGGCGCGGTTCTCATAGATAATCTTTACTCGACATATAATTTATGGATTTGTGTTAACAGATATATATTTGATTGCGAATATATCGCTTAATCATGTGCGAGTCATTCAATAGGCGTTACTAATTAATTGCTCAATATTTTTAGACAATACAATATTTTAATAACCAATTGAACTCTGTAAACTTTTTCGGCTTCGGTGATCTAGCGATTTAGCACGTCGCGTCGCCTTACTTCCGATATTTTCGGGTTCGATTCCTTACACGGTACAACCATTCATGAGTGTGAGTGTTTGTATAGGTCTGGGTGTTTTCTGTGTATAAAATTTATGTATTTAAGAATAAATCTTATACATAAAATTCTCGTGTCATAGTTTTCGTTCCCATACTCCTCCGAAACGGCTTGACCGTTTCTCATGAAATTTTGTGAGCGTATTGAGTAGGTCTGAGAATCGGCCAACATCTATTTTTCATCCCCCTAAATGGTAGTCCACCCCTAATTTTTATTTTTATTTTAAAGCAAAACAACGTTTGCCGGGACAGCTAGTATATCTATGTATTTGTATCAGTTATCTAGTACCCTATCTAGCACAAGCTTTAGCTAGCCGTATCCGTCAGGCAGAAGTTGGCCTTCAGCCGCTCCGTAAGTCCTTCCGCGGGTTTGGAGTGCCATCTGCACTCACCCCCTAACGTCCGGTGAAGCTGTAAAGGCCAGCTGCGGCCAACAACATTAGAGTAGTCCGAAAAAAAAATAAGCTTTAGCTACTTTAACTTGGGTCTACAGAGCGCTGTGTGAATTGTCCTAAAAAAATCAACTATAAATATTGTTTATAACATTTAATAATTTTTAACAGTCTATATCTTATCGAGAAAGTCACGCATTTTTTTAATTGGATAATATGAAATTATTTACTTTCCTTCTAACGGTATATGCTGTTGGAAAATCAATAAAGAGTAAGCATTAGGCCAGGTCAGTTAGTTCTTGGTGGCGAATTCATTGGGAACTAATTTTCAAAAAGAGCCACGTTGGAGCAGCCCTGGCATAGTACATAACTAGCAATGTGCAATTATTACCCAATGCTCTCTCTTTAAAATTATATCAAGAAGCGAATATTATTTATTTAAGGCTATAGTCATAAACATATTTCGATCATCGAATGTCACTAGACAAAATAAAATACCAACTTCTACAGCATATGTATTTGTGTCTAGGAAAACAAAGGAACAATTATACAAGAATTTATATTTGGTGATATGTGGCCTTGTGTTACAGAAATCATCAATATTTATTGTATCTGTAGTTAATTGATTATTCAAGTTTTGATACATCTGTGGGTAATATCTCTTCTATGGTCGAATAGATTCGAATAAAAATTCGCCTGAAGCTATATTATTTTTAAGGACGATGACCAATTTATAGTTTTGGGATGCACGGCTTGCACGTACCTACTCTGTTATTCGCTTAGTATACACATATAACATACACAAGGTCACTTCAGGGTATAATAAAACAAAAGTATTTATATTAAATAAACATTTATAATAAAATACAGTAAAATTTAGTAATAACGCGAATAAAATAAAATAGTCACAATAATAATTTAACTGGTATTTTTATTAATTTATTAAAACTTTAACGCAATAAAAATACAAAATTGGTGCATATGGTTCTGAACATTATTAGTGTGTATGCTCCTCAGACTGGAAGTGATGAAGACGTAAAAGCAAAGTTTTGGGAAGATTTTGATGGTTTGATGATAGGTATTCCAGAAAATGAAGAGGTATATGTTGGAGGGGATTTTAACGGACATGTAGGCGTACATAATGAAAACTATGATAGAGTTCATGGGGGGAGGTCGATTGGTATACGAAACGAGGATGGCGAATCTTTATTAGAAACTGCTTCAGCATTTGACCTGGCTATAGTAAACACTTGGTTTAAAAAAAGGAACACCTTATCACCTATAAAAGTGGTCACCATGCGACACAAATAGACTTTTTCCTTACGAGACGAAACAGGCTATGGACTGTGAAAGACTGTAAAGTGCTACCAGGAGAAGATTTAGTCACACAACATAGATTGTTATTAATAGAACTAAAAATTAAAGTACATATAAATAAAAATAAGAAACGCCCCCCACCTACAACTAAATGGCGAATGATAGAAAACAAGGAGTATGCAAGTAGATTCAAGAATGAAGTTGTAGGCAAAATGATTAGTATGAAAGATATGAAAGGAAAAACAGTGAATGAATGTTGGGATGAAATAGCACATTATATTAGAATGGTAGGAAAAGAGGTCTTTGGAGAAAGTAAAGGAAAGGGCATAATAGATAAGGATACATGGTGGTGGACTGAAGAAGTGCAAAAGATATTAAAAGAAAAGAAGAATGCTTTTAAAGATTGGCAAAAGGTACCTATAGAGAATGATCGTCTGAAACAAGAGAAAAAGATAATTTATAATAAGTTTAAAAAGGAAGCAAAAAAAGTAGTAGCAATATCCAGAACAAGGGCATTAGATAGAATATACAAGTCACTTGATGACCACAGTGGTCAAAAAGAACTATACAGGATCACAAAAATGAGAGAAGAAAGAGCGAAAGATATGAAGCATGTGAAATGTATAAAAGATGATACAGGCCAAATTTTGTTAAAAGACGACGACATAAAAACACGTTGGAAGGTATATTTTGAAAAACTTATGAATGAAGAGAATCTGTGGGATGAGCCTACAAAAGATGTCTCGGTAAACATCGGTGTAGTAAATGAGATTGGTATGGATGAAGTAAGGAAAGCAGTGAAAAGTATGAAGAATGGGAAAGCTGTTGGGCCAGATGGCATACCAGCAGAAGTCTGGAAATTATTAGGAGAAGATGGATGCAAGTGGTTAGCTTCATTCTTTAATAAATTATTGCAGGAAGTGGCGATCCCTAAGGAATGGTGCAATAGTTCACTAGTGCCCATTTTTAAGAATAAGGGTGATGTACAGGATTGTAATAATTATCGAGGAATAAAGCTCATGTCTCACAGTATGAAAGTATGGGAGAAAGTGATAGAGAAGCGATTGCGTGATGAGACTAGTATCACCCAAAACCAGTTTGGATTTATGCCAGGCCGAAGTACCACAGATGCCATATTTGCACTGCGCCAGCTGTGTGAAAAATACAGACGTGCTCACAAGAACTTGCACATGGTGTTTGTGGACCTGGAAAAGGCGTACGATAAAGTACCCAGACCGGTTTTGTGGTGGGCCCTGAAAGATAGAGGAGTGCCAGTGAAGTATGTGGAGTTGATTCGTGCTATGTACAGTCAACCTCGTACATACGTTCGGTCGGCCGCGGGAAATACCAGCGAGTTCAGTGTGGCTGTAGGCTTGCATCAGGGGTCGGCTTTAAGCCCGTACCTCTTTTTGTTGATAATGGATGCCTTGACGTCGGAGATACAAGAAGAGGCACCCTGGTGCATGCTATTTGCAGATGACATTGTGCTCGTTGGTGAGGAGGGAGCTGAGATACAGAGTAGATTGGCAATATGGCAGCAAAAGCTGGAAAGTGGTGGCTTAAAGATAAGTAATTCCAAAACGGAATACATGTTTTGCGACTTTGGCGGTCTTTCTGGCTCTGCAGCCATATCACTAAATGGAGTTCCATTACCGATCTGCTCCGATTTCCGGTATTTAGGTTCACTCCTCCAAAGCAATGGCGAATTAGACCGAACCATAAAGCACAGGATTAACTCAGGTTGGATGAAGTGGCGGCAGGTTACGGCGACGACGTGCGACTCACGAGTTCCCCTTAAACTTAAGGGCAAAATTTACAAGACCATGATCCGGCCTGCCATTTTGTATGGATCAGAGTGCTGGCCCATAAAGGCGACGGATGAGAGACGACTGCATGCAACTGAAATGCGAATGTTGAGATGGATGTGTGGTGTGACGAGGATAGACAAGATAAAGAATGAATACATCAGAGGAAGTATGAAAGTGGCACCGATGTCAGAGAAGTTAAAGAGTAATCGTCTATCGTGGTATGGGCATGTAATGCGTAGGAATGAAGATCATATCCTAAGGACGGTGTTACATATGAATGTGGATGGTTATAAGGGTAGAGGAAGACCGAAAAAGAGATGGATGGACTGTGTGAAAGATGATATGGTGAGAAAGGGAGTAAATAACGGAATGACTGCGAACAGAGATGAATGGAAGAGAAAAACATATTACGCCGACCCCAAATAAATGGGATAAGGAAGAAGCAGATGATGATGATGGTGCATATGGTTGACTTAACTAACAGCTTCCAGTCAACTATAGAGCTAATAAAGGTCCATGTGGACAGTGGGTTTTTAAAATTAACTATGTATTTAATGTGCTGGGAATCAGATTAAATACACAAATATATTGTATAATATAAACATTTTATATATATGGTATATATATATGTATAATATAAATATATTATATATGTAATATATGGCTCCTCAGATCTTGAGTAGTAAATATCGTTTACACCTACATTTACGAACAGAGTCACAGAAACCAATAAGTCATAACCTGAGGTCCGTAGTACTCCTCGTGTGTTGTCATTCCCGAGGACCTATCATGAACCGAATCTTATAACTTCACTTCAGATTATATTTTTTTAAGGTTTTTAGTTTTAAGTTAATAATATTGTTATGTTGTATTGTGTTCTTAGGTAATAATATATAACAAAGTTCCTTCTATGTCTCTTTTCTCTCTTCAACGATTAAGATAGGTGAGAAAAAGTTACCCATGACGTTTTTTGTAAAAAGTTTGCCTCTATACTAGGTCGCCTTAATAATGAGTAATATTATAATGAGCATGAATAAATAACTGTTTCGCATATTACCTATTATTTTTCTACATAAATTCAATGCATAGGTCGAAATTGCATAGATATATTAAGATTTGAATTACATTTCATCACATATACGAGTACACCATTTATGAAAACTATAAAAATTAGATGAATATGGTTTCTTTCTAAATTTATACATTGTATTTGTGTATACCACAATAATAGTAATACGTAGCATAAATTCATTGGTAAAATATCTGTATTGATTTAGAATATATTAATAAATTATTTTTTTGCATTTTTATTGTACATTATTCAGTTAATATAGTTTAAATGTACGTACATACGTATGCCTTACCATATTTTAAAGATTACAAAGTAAGTATATTTGCATTTAGTAGCAAATAATTATGTTACAGAGCTTCAAAAATAATGTTCTTTAAACTGATGGACTATTTGAACGTGAATTTAGTATTTGAATGTGTTTTTAATCAGTCGAAGTGATAGAGTACTTGTCGCACCGGAAAATAATACACTTTTTCAGAGTATCGGTGTGTTAAGTGTTATCACATTTCGCATTATTAGTCGAGGTTTCAGACACATATTCACCTCTCTCCCATCTCTTAAATAATATATTCCCGTACCCAACCCTTCTCAAAAAGTTAGTAAATAACCTGAAATTTTCCTAATGTTGTGGATGTGCTTGTATACTTACCTCCCATGCTATAAAAATACTTAAAATTAGACCAGAATTGATATCCGCTGTACAAAATGATGCATGACTGTAGAATATTATTTTAGTTACTACATTTATTATATATCTATCGTGTCGTTTTTACTATCAAGTAGCGGGATATCTGTGACAAGATAGTTATTTTATTAAATTCTTCCACACCAATGAAAAATTTAAGATTCATTGAATTAGTTTGAGTTTGGGTTCAAATTCTTAAACAATATGACTGCGTACGTATATGTTACGTAGTACATGGCATGCTTTTATATGTTTAAGTATTTATATATATAAGTTTGTATCATAAAAACTTAGTAGGTAATTAATTACACTATTAAATGCCATGAGGTATTAAGCCCGTCATATGTTTTTGTCTCTGCATTACGTGCATTAAAGTTGTAGATATAAAAAAATAAAAATACTATTGCAACATGTTCGTTCATACGGTAAAATTAGATTAAATATTGCCATGTCGATTAAGATATTTTGAGCTCCTTAAGTTTCCATCTTCTTTCTTTATTTCTTACGGTTAAGATAGTAATTCTATTATTATATATTATTATGTGCGAAATAATCGATCGCATCTATTATTATTGCAATTGATTTACATATACAGAAGAATATAATTATTTTACATATTTGGCTTGAATTTTGAAATTATTAGGTCTATTTGGCATGATATTTGGAGATATATACCTATCTATGTATGTTGTAGACCGGTGAAGTATTGGAAAAGTGTGTATTTTTATACAAGGAAATACAACCGAGTTTGAGGAAAAGTTTGAAAACTGTTTCAATCAAAATATTTGGTATTCTATTGGCTAAATATCAATAATATATATCGGGAATAAAATTAAATGCTTTTTTTAGGTATCTGTAAAATAATATAATTATCGATTAATTTAAATTGGTTGAAATGACCGAAAATGTTTAATTGAATTTTTAACATTATCAATTTACCCAGTATTGGTTTACCCAAGAAGTATAAAGAAAGAAAAAGAAAGAAGAATCTATAAAATATATTAATAAAATATAAGAACGCTATAATTAGACCCTCATTATCATCTATTGCTAAAGTTAAGAAGACATTAGATAAGATAAGCTTAAAATTGTTAGAATGCAACCCGTATTCTTTTATTTCACAGTACATATATATACCTATCTTTGTTCCATCAGACCATTGACACTAGTATACGCGGTGTTCTCCAACTAACATATTCCAAATGCGTACTACATTTTAGTTAGATCTGATTGCAGGAACTACCACACTACCAAACATCCAGTTTGAAATATTACTATATGTATTATAACATGATGAAGCTTATATACACACTGACTAACAACTTTAAATGTTAACCTTTCAGCAATGAAATTAAACAAAATAAATGACAGTTAAAAATTGTTCGATTGGTTTCGTCCATGCAATTATTTACTATGCTCTTATGGTTATGTTGATTTATGTGCGTTTTATAATTATTAAAAATTGTATAATATTTAACAATTTTATATAAATAGTTTCATATAATAAATCTGATAGGGTAATAATTAAAACATTATTGAAATGGTTATTGACTTAATGATTTTTCTAAAGTCACAGATTTTATGGATATTTCAGTAAACTACAGAAGTTCATCCAAATATTTATTACAGTTATATTGTAACTCTTATAGGGTACGTAATCTTATTGTTTCGAATATATATTTATGAAATATTATAACATACCAATGTTATAATAATAGGTAAATTTCGGCAAAGTAAAATACAATATGACATTATTGTCATATTTTTTTTTTGAGAACCAAGGATATTTACAAACATAGTTATAAACATAATTCAATCAGAACGGCCACTTACAGGTTTTCACGGATAGAAACGTAATATAAAATTAATTACAGTAATAATACGAGTGGCGTGTATGTGTCATAAGTACACATAAAATCATATATCAAAAAATAACAATCTACTAAATTAAAACATATGCTGAAACTAACAAACAAACATTTTTAAATAATCGAAATGCATATAAGTAACATTAAATAATGTATTGTATTTTTCTTTGTGTATGTTTTTTAAAATGAAAAATATAACGATTTTTAGTACTGCAGAATTTAACTACTATTGCGTACATTTAAATTTTATTTTGAATTCCAGAACGTCTTCCTTATAACTTAGAATATATTTAAATTTTCATATTATTTTATTTATATATTAAACTATGTTAACTATATTAATTTATATATTAAACAATATGTGCATATAAATTTAAAGAAATCGTATGCGGTTCCATTGATCTAACGCAGACGCATCGTACTCTAATTTCAAGAAGCGCTAGAACTGTGTATAAAAGCCAACGCGCTCAACCTGAATAATCATTCTCATCACACACATCCGCAGAAGTTCATCTGTTCACATTTTGATAAACACAAAAATGAAATCGGTGAGTGAACCACAGTCAACAATATAGAATTTCATCATCATTGTAGTCACCTTACATTCGGGTAAAAAGGTTTCCGTGGCAAAAAGTAATTTTATTGTGATACAGTTAATTTTTTATTTAAATTAAAAGCTTATTATATTTTGAAACTTATAACTATCTAAGTAACTAATAATATCGATTGTTTTGTACATAAATTCGTATTTATTGTACTACAGAATTTGTTGTAACGGATATACCAAGCCAAATACAAAAAGTAAACTCATGAAACTGAGCCATTTTCACCAAGAGTGAAGTGGAAATATAACATAAATTTATAATTTTATATACAAATTTGTTCAATTGACTAATAATTTTAAAATATTCACACAAACTGCGCGTTTTTGTTCAAATCACAAAATAGAGATTTATCAATATTAATAACTAAATATAACTACACTGATGGTTCTAATTATGGATCACTACTTGCAACATATTAAATATTATTATTATTATTATATATAATGATGCAGGATAATTTTAATTTCAAATTCTGAAATGAATATGATCTAAGTAAAGGTCTATTTATTATTATAAATCTCTTTCGATTTATAAAACATAAATTTAATTTTCATAATACTTCAAAATTAACTCTCGGTCAATAGAAATTCTCAAGAGTTAAGAAAATTTAATTTCTTAGACCGTATTTAATTAGTAATGTTAATTTATTAGTTGTTAATACAACGATAAATATGTTGCATGAGATCACCATTTCATCTCGATTGATTATAAATTTAAATGACCATATTTCTGATACAATTTTGTAATTTATGACAACAGAATGATACATTTTGTAATCAAGGTCTGTTTTTATGGATATGCATTTTATTTGTTCTACATAAATGGAAAGGTCAAGATGAATGATCGATTCGAGTGTTTTCTATATTTCATATATCTAGAGTCAGTTTTTCCCACGGAGGGAATTAATTTTTTGTAATATTAATACTAAAATATAATTCATGTTAATTTTGTATTTCAAATATATAAGAAAGGTGTAACTCAATTAAAGTTATATTCAAGTTTTTAAATATTGAAACATTTCAAATGCAGTAAGTTCTTGAATCTGCGTTTGCAAACATTTTGTATTCTTAAATTAACTTTCTTAATATATTTCACTGAAAAGTGGATAAATAAAATTTTGAAATAAGATATAACAGCTACAGACAGCTGAAAATATTTTTTTTGCGTCAATATAAAGAAATTATTGGTAAATCTATCTTTAGAGTACTTTACAAATGTAAATTATATTTGTTTCAGTTCGTAGTATTCTCCGCCCTTCTAGCGGTTGCACTTGCTGCCCCACAATATCAGCCTCAACAGTATTCACAGAATCAACAGGTCCCAATTATTAATCAAAAGACTGATGTTGGTATTAACGGAAATTACGAATACAGGTAATTGGTTTAAGACATGTATATGTATATTTAAGTTCAAAAGTCTAGTGTTATTTACTGTCTTTTGTCTTTTATCTAAATCCATCTTATTTAGTTATACAGTCGCTGTTTGATTACGCTTTACAACATACTACACAAATTATTGGGATATGGCGTTTTTGATTAGACTAACAAAAATACTATATATATCCCAAATCAAATTACTACAAGTTCAGCTACATTTCTCAGTGAAATTAATTTGCGAATTTAACTTTTTATTTTCGAAAACGTTAAATGTCATCAACACACCCATTTTTGCTATCGAAGTATTTTGTACTTTTTGCCTAGTTATTTTGTAATATATGCATATTTGGAGACAAAAGATTGCCGAGACTAAGTTTGGTAATACATTAAAGATGGTATCTGTTCTCACAGGCGTGGGCGTTCCGCCGCAAGCCATCTTCAACTTTGATAATCATGTAATTTATAATCTTACATTACGTTTATTTAAACAATGCATAAGACTTTGTTACAAATGGTTTGATTAAGTTAGTATGGTAATGATAAATATTCTCTGCTTATATTTAAATACGTAATAACATTTATAAACCAAGTAGATAATTTGTAAATATATTTGCACCTAAAGTAAAAAGTATTACAATGTGAAAACACAAAAAAGTGTATACAATTAAATATTACGATGGTAGATCGTGGGAAGGAGCAAGTACTCCACTGACGAGACTCGTCGCTTAACTCTTAAATTATAACAATAATTAATTAATGAAATGAGTGAATAATTAATTATCAATTATAAAATGCCAAGAGTTGCTCACTAGCATTTTGTTTCGTAAAATATAGTCGATAATTAATTTTGATGCTATTAGACACAGTTTAGTTAACTGAAACAACTGGAAATCATATTATGGAAAGCATGATAAATAATAAAAATTCACCTAGATGGCTTCAATAAATAATTTTTTGTCTTAGTTACGAGACTGGTAACGGCATTTACGCTCAAGAACGGGGTTACTTGAAGAATGCTGGTGTGAAAGACGCCGAAGCCCAAGTTGCAGAGGGTTCATTCAGCTACACATCTCCCGAGGGTGTACCAATTCAGCTCACCTACGTCGCTGACGAAAATGGTATGTGTACTCTATATCCTTCTATGTAAGAAATGCACTAATTCATCACCGTAGTGCCAAAATTGCTATCGTATTTCGAATAACGAAAAACAATGATGCATACAGGTTAATGCTTGTATAGGTTTTTCCAAAAATTTGTAACAGGTTGTTTATTTTATGAATTCATAGCTAAAAACACAAATCACTGTTATACTTTGAGAATCAAATAGTGATGCTTATATAATGTTTTCCTTAGGTTTCCGTCCTGAGGGCGCTCATCTGCCTACACCCCCACCAATCCCAGAAGCTATCGCCCGCGCTCTTCAGTACATCCAGTCACAGCCTCAACAACAATACCAACAACAGCAACAGTACCAACCCCAACAACAACAATACTTTGGTGCTGGTGTCAGACCCAATCAGTTTGGTTAAACCCAATGGATGTTAACGTATTTCGTATATTTGTATCAAATGCATTCTCAATATTGAAAATGTATGTAAATACAACTTAATACTGAGATAATGTATCTAGTATAAGTATAAATATCGAGTTAAAACTGTGATTTATATTATAATAATGATAAAATATGAGATTAATAAAACAATTATTACATTAATAGTGTGTGTGTCTTTTTTACATTAAAATTAAGATTTTATTATTCTTTATAAAACAAAACATGAGAATGGCTAACAGAATTGAAACTTCTTTCAAATGTCCTAGCACATTTTATAATGCCAGTAAAAATTACATCAGGCATTTGTTGTTTTCATAATAAAGGATGTCGCCAAGATACAATAGGCCTTTCCAGCCTACTAGCACCCTGGGGACTCTTAGCACCTATTATTCTGATATAATACTTCCAGAAACAATGTTAGTGAAGAGGAGACTGCGATTTGGCAAATGTAATCTATGGCCTGCAACCCGATGCACGATATACTTAGGGTAACGGGTTACAACGAAAAGGCGAATTGCGCTTAATGTTGTGCTATAGAAGAGCGACTTCTCCAATAGTGGAGTGCAGTAGATCATAATAATTTTCAAACTTAATTTAGATTTTTTATTGGCATATTTCAGTGGAGCTTGTTTTTTAATTTTAATTAATTAAATGGCGCCATCTACATATTACGCTCATTAATACTGAGATAATTATTATTGGTGTAGCGGCGTGTAAATAGCCACTGCACACGGGATCTTAACCGTGGCCTACAGGACATCCTTCCACAAACTTGTATAGTCTCTGACTGAATGGCAACAAATGCCCATAAAATAACGGTACCCACTGACCTGCAAATCCATCTAGAGTACTGTTAATGAACAATGCACACACCGGGTACAAGCAGAAGAAACGCTCGGATGGCAGGAATATGGAGACTCTTCTCTCTTGCGGATGAACGCCATTCGCTAAATAGTATTAACAGTTAACACAGACGGTATTTTCATCTAGGAGTAATTTTCCAGGATTGTTCTATGACGTGTGTAGGTTACAAATATTTATATTAAGTATAACTAGTAAGCGGAACACAATGTCTAATGCTTATGACATTTCTTATATATTATTATAAAAAACAAAAGACGGTAGGCGTTGATTATATTTTTTCTTCTTTTTATATTTAAATTAATGTGCACTTTATTAGTGTCCAGTTACCTATATTGTGGAAGTCCGGCGCATATCTCGACTCAGTATTCAACCAATAGGTGACCGATAGATTATAAATATCTGAACTCTTAGTTAAGGAGACTTTTAAGTATGTGGAAGTTAAATTAATATTTAAGCCTTTTGTAATATCACTGTTTCGTCTTAGACGTCTCTAGAGGTATGCCAAAACAATAAGTAGCGAAATTTTATTATTTCATAGGAGTATGAACTACATTATACATTACATTATACATATTGAAAGTTAATTTCAGTAACTAATGCCTGTTAATTTCAGTAACTAATCTTGATTATGCTGATGTGTGTTGTTCTGACATGGACGTAGACCTTCTAAACAAATTGGATCGTCTTCTCAACAACTCTATTCGCTTCATTTTTAATTTGCACAAATTTGATCATATCTCTTCTTTTCGTTCACAGCTTAAATAGCTACCTATCCGTTATCGTAGAAATATTCGTATGCTATGTACACTCTATTCTATTTTACATGATCCTAATTCTCCTGATTACATTAAAAATAAATTTCATTTCCATGGGGACAACACTATTCGCTCTATTCGCACGACCAGAAAATGTTTGCTTCATATCCCGGCTCATTTGTCCGGTTTCGTCCACTATTCTTTCGCCGTTCAGGCTATCAAACTTTGGAACGACTTACCCCTTGATATCAGGACCGCCACGAGTAGATTTTCTTTAAAACGTAAATTGCGAGAATATTATTCCAATATGTAACCTTTCTATTATATATATAATAGAATGTATATTATCTTATATATTGCTTTTTAGTGTGTACATTTTCTAAGTTATATTTGTCGTTTTTTTTTTGTGACCTATTGTTTTTATTGATTATATTTGCACAGCCTATGGTTGACTGGTAGAAAATGCCTTAAGGCGTTAAGTCCGCCATATATACTTTTACCTTGGTATTTTGTGCATTGAAGTTATATAAATAAATAAATAACTCTGATAACTCCCCCATAAAAAACAAGAACCTCAGATTAATGTTGTATCTGTCAGACAGGAGTTAGCCTTTAGCCACATAATAAATCCTATCATAGGGTTGTCGTTACTATCTCTTTTTCATTCGATAAAGCTGTAACTCTGTGTAACAAGCTGCGGCCATTTGCCTAAATAATAATTCGATTCGAATTATTATTTAGGCAAATTGTTTTTTATTATTATTCTTTAATGGCTTCCCATTAAAGAAGTATAATCAAAATAAATAGGTTTAGTTATATATAATATAATAATGATGGCCGATACTTTTGATTGTTGTTTATGTAACAGGTATGTTATTTTATTAAAATTTATTGGGATTCGCCTTAGCTAACAATAATAATTATAGATGGACACGACCGTGACCTGTACACGTTAATATATTATTATTTATGTATAAAACACAAATGTAGTTACTTCCAATCAACTACCAAAAATTTGAAGTTTGTCAGTTTATTGTTTTGAATGTAAGCATATTGAATTACGACTTGGTATTTGTTGATCCTTTTTGCAACCGGGTTTTGGAATTTAAGAAAGAGAAATCTCTGTTTCTTAAATTCCAAAACCCGGTTGCAAAAAGGATCTAGGAATAACTACGGAAGGAATACCTACACGAAACACACCATCGTGTGTTTCGTGTAGGTATTCATTACTCCCTTTTGCAACAAGTGTTAAGATTCTTTTTCTGGAATATTTAGATCTTAAAGAAGCCCAGAAACATCGTTATTAAAATTATACGCACACTTTTTTATTTTATTATGTACTACTTCTAATTGTTTGTATTTTATTTTTTCTCCTTTATTATTGTTAATATTGTAAATATTTATGACAATGTCTAAAATTGTGGTGATATACATTTTATGAATATCTTCATGTAATTATTAAGATATTATTCATAATACCTAAAATATTAGGTTAATAATAGCCTTTAATTCTGCATTATCGACCTTGGACTCCGGCCGCCCACGGGGTTGTTTTGCAGGTCGGAATTTCCGGAACCAAAAACGCACTCGGTTTCTTTTGCGACACCACCGCCATAAACATAATTAATCATTCAATTTTTTTCTGCAGCACTGGTACCACAGCGGAACTTGTACTTGTAAATTATGCGATATTTCAAATTTTCCCTTTCGTAAACAAAGTCACGTAAAGAAAAAACCATCGATGGAAAAAACATATGGATTACGATTTTCGAAAAACAATTATCATGCACTTGTTATATTGTAAATAGCTGTCTAAATTGGTATTCCTAACTAAAGAAGAGATATTTGAGATCAAAGTGGACAGTGCGACAAAACGCCAATTTCATATGTTGGGACCTAATATATATTTCGTTCGTTCGAAAGTATATTTTGTTGTAAAAAAAATTGTTTGATAAATAAAAAAATAAATGATCTAAAATAATTTAATTAGGAGCTTTTATTGTTTGTGTGTTGAATTGAAAATTTATTTGTACTTAAGTATATTATTACTGAATTGAGATGATAAGGAAGTTAAGTTGAGTAATAAGACTAACTACAGCATGATAATTATACTACCTATACGTAGTGATTTGTAATTTGTTGGTACCTTGGAATATTTAAATAATGCATTATCGATCACACCATCAGTGAAGCAACAGATTTCATACAGTCAAGGTGTCGTTTATATTATTAATCCTTAAATAAATTTTTATTTTCCAAAAAATAAAAGATATTAGAACATAATCATTGATTAGTATATTCTTCTACCTACGCTAATAGTGCAAAAAATGACAACATTTCTGTTTATGATTATTTATAATATTATGTTGTATAAATAAAAATGTTTCTGCTTTTTACAGATGAATAGTGTGTTATTAATAAGTGTATTTATTTGTATTGCTACGGCTGCATCAATATCAAACTATGCAAAAGATGATACGGTTGCGTATACCAACAACAACGACGGAAGCGGAAATTATGAATTCAGGTATAATAATAACATGTCTTTATTGCCCATTAAAATAAGCCCACTTAGGATAAATGCTTAAAAAGGCGGCCTTATCGCTAAACGGCATCTCCTACTGACTGTACCTACCTATTTTTATTCTACTCTTGCTCGTTGTAATATATTTTATTCATACTAAAATATTATAATTATATTTGTTATTCTTATAAAATTCTTCTTAATTACATATTAGCAATAAGAAAATGTTATTCATCAGATAGTACTTTCAGAGATATGTTTATAAATGACTCTTTCTTTCGCCTTCTTTTTTGCATATCGCCATTATAATATGCAAGCCTAATATATTTAATTTATTTATTTATTTCTGATATCCATCCATATTATGTTAGTAAACAACTTATTAACTATGTTAGTAAATTACAATGTTAATCCTTATTATTTTAATTCATATATCTGTATCTATTTGACGACCTAGGTGGTCTAGCGATCTAGCACACCGCTTTACGACTGATGGTCGCGGGTTCGATTCCTCGCACGGCAGAAACATTTGTATTCATGAGTATGATTGTTTGTATCGGTCTGGGTGTTTTCTATGTATATTATGTATGTATTTACAAAAAAAATATATCTATACTATGTACTTGATAACTGATACATATACGTATCAGTTAACTAGCTTTAACTAGCTTAACTTGGGTCTAGATGGCGCTGTGTGAATTGTCCTGTGATTGTTATTTTATTATTTATTATTATTGTACTAAGTGTTAGATTAATCTCTGTATTAATTAATCTAACACTAAGTATAAATGTGATCATTTTGTGTTATTTCGTGATATTTAAGTCACTGTTGCTGTAATAAGAAGTACTTAATATGAATTTATTTGACATAATCTTGAAGTTCTTGCAAATTACTCCGTTGTATATGTTATTTATTATAAGTAGATGTACTCGTATATACTGGCAAGCAAGCCAAAAAACTTCATTTAACAAGATAAATGTGGAAAAGTTTAGGCCCACTTTATACGCTTGTTACCAGGAGCTATTTCTGTAGTTTAGGAATAAAAACTATATCATATATATTTTAGAAAATTATGTTCTTGCAATAAATATCTTTTTAAATAAAATTATATATTCTTTCAACAGTTTTGAAACTTCTAATGGTATAACTCGTAGTGAGGTCGGTGAACTACGTAATGCCGGAGAAAAAAATCAATATATATTCGTCAGTGGATTCTATTCTTATATAGATCCAGAAGGTCGGGAAGTGAAGGTTTATTATATAGCTGACGAAGATGGATATAAGATTGTGCCTTCCCCGATTCCTGTCGTAAGTTCAAAATACATTAATAATTCATATTTTATGTTTTAAGTATAATATCAAAATGAATTAAGTTGATTAGGAGTTAGTTTAAACTAAATTTAAGACATACTGTTAAAATACTGATACCAATTAAGCGGACATCATTTGAGAGGCACTTAATCCTTCGGAATTGCATCGCATGATGCGTCAAAAAATAATGTGATGTGCATAGTGCTCTTCGTGCATAACGGTGACGGTTACAACATACCGTCAGCTTGTATGCCATTTCAATTCTATAAAAAATCGACTTCAAAATCCGTTGCGTAGTTTTAAAGATTTAAGCATACATAGGGACGCACAGACAGCGACAGCGACTTCCTTTTATACTATATAATGATATATTAAAGGTTTATTTTAAACTTTATATAAATGAACATCAAGGTATGTTTTTGTATTGTAACTGTAATACATATTATTATAAAATATTTTTGTTTTGTATAGATATTTTGTAAATGGCTAAATATTATTGTATAAAATCTCTAATATTATCTTAACTACTAATGAATAAAAATTCTATCTATTCTTTCAGATAACTCCTATAGCGGGTGCACCGCCTAGTGTTACAGCAACATTACTAGGATAACTAGAAAACATACATATACCTATTATTATAAGCACTATTTCTTTCACATCAGTATCTCCTTATTTAATACCTATTTAAACTTTCATGTAAACATCACCATCTAATTATATAGTTCTAAACTATTTTGAATTCGGAACTTCGTATATTGAATGTAGTCACAATGATTAAAATAAAATATATTTCTCAACAACTTTACAAAATATAGTGTAATTTCATACTTAGGTAGATATATACCTACACATTGATTAAAATAAAAGGTTATTTAAAAAAACATCTGTTTATTCTTTAGTTTGAAGGTCTCGTGTAGAATCTATCAAATGTGTTAATTTATTTTCACTTGACTGTTTAACTTTTTGTAAAACAAATATTTATTCATTATATTATATATTTAGTATTTATGCATCATGATATTAAACAGAAAAATTCCTTAATTTTTGAGTGCATAAATTTACAATGACTATAATTTGGAATCTTAGGAAATACAATTTTTTTTTGACAACGTAAAATTAAAATACTAGCACACAAAGTTGTTATATCTACCTTATAAATATATTGGATCCTTGTGTATATAAGTAAAATGAGGAGATTGTTAGTAATTACTATAATACTTTCCATTGATATCAATCCCCCACATTGAGAGTAATTAGGTCAACCGTGCAGTCCTCGCTCATAACTATCATCATTAATTAAAATTTATCACGAGAGACTCACGAAAGACTGACCTGGCTACCTTCATCGTTTATGAACCATAAAATATTATACATTTATTAAAAAAAACTGTTTAAAAGTTGGTGTAGAAAATTATGACTCTTTTTGGATTGATGAAATTTTAATATACATGTCAATACTTCCATAGACTATCCACCCACCGAACGATCCTTACCCACTAAAACCAAATACAGTCACAGTTTTGTGCGCTTCATTCAAGATTTCCTATAATTTTAATAAAAGTCATATTTATGCTAACCACAAACTTTCAAATACAGTCACAGTTTTGTGCGCTTCATTCAAGATTTCCTATAATTTTAATAAAAGTCATATTTATGCTAACCACATACTCGTACATTATAATATTATATATGCAAGCTATATAGGCCGATATGTGTTACTATGATGTATAAGCTATATCATTGTAGAGTGTAATTAAAATCTGTTTAATAGTTTTTGCCTGAAAAAGTAACAAACATCGATACATAAATATTTTGCGTTTATGATATTGGTAAGAATTATAAGGCTAACAAATTATCCCATTTCAAAATCCCTGGGCAAATACTTGAAAACACAAATACACTCCATTTCAGATACCTTACAAGATCTTCTTATCTTAGAAAACTTACCGTATGTTTGTCGATCATCTCTAGGATATACCACAATGGATCTGTTCTCATAAGATGTAGATGCCCCGCTCCTTTTTATTTAAATTTCCTTCTCAGTTGAGTATAATATATTCATAAATATAACGACAAAAATATTTGTTATTACAATCAAAATACGTTTCGTGTCTATTAATTTAACACACTGTATCATTATAATATTGTTGCCGGATTAAAATGTCATTGACATTTTCATGGACAAGTCCTTGACGTCGCATTGTTATATAAGGAATGAAGTCCAGACTTGATGTTCTCAAGGAACTGGATATAACGTGTAGACAGCTGTCGTGTAGAGACAGTGTTAACCTGTGCCCATCGTCGAGAATCATTAACAATTATGGTAAGTAGAAAAACTAGTTTATAACGAATTTAAAACTTGTTATACAACTATTCCGTATCTAAAAATGTATATAAGTATTACTAAGAGACCTGTGTGTATGCATGTGCATTTTTTAAATATAAAAGCTTCCTGAAATCCTTTGTTTATAGATCTTACAACAAATACAATGTTAGTTACAATATTAAATATATTTATAATAAACAGTTTTGTGTTGACGGAGATTTGTAAATATAATAAGATAATTATGAAAATATTTTGCTGCAGTGTATTCAAATGTAGTAACAAAAATTTACATTATTAGAATATTTCATGTTTACTTTTATTTGTATCATATAGGCACATTAAAGTACATGCACATTCCATAATATATATATATCAGTTTGCAATTTTGCTAAATAAATACATTATTTGTTTGTTTTAGAGAAGAGAAACAAAAATGTACTGTACCTTGGTTGCGGCTTTAACAATTGTTATCAATTTACCAAAAGGTCAAAGTAGCGAAATTAGCGAGGTAGTCTTCAACACAAATGGATTTGAAAGTTACAGTTTTGAGTAAGTATCCAAAATATACAAGGAAAAAGATTAACTGTATAATTCCAATTCTTGTAAATTATAATGTTTTCTAGATGAGTTGTATGGAAAAATATCAAGATTGAAATGTAAAGTATTTTTAAAACGTTTTCGGTCTCACACAAAAAGTCCGCAAAAAGACACTGAAAAATTAAGTTTCTATTTTATATAAAAGGCAGTTATATTTTATATTTATTAAGTCTATAGATTAATACACTTTATCTATGGTTTAATTTATGGTAATTGTCTGCAGATATGAAACCTCAGACGGTGCTTATAGAAGGGAAGATGGTGGTCTAAATTCTGACAGCAATGGGCTTGTGGTTCGTGGCGAATATGGATATATAGATAGCGGCGGACATCTCTACTCTGTTCGTTATGTGGCCGATGAAAACGGGTTCCAGCCTCAAATATATAAAGACGAAACAAGATTTAATGATAGAAGAATTATTTAACAATAAAAAAATATCTTGTTCGTTGTTATTTTATTTCCTTATACAATGTAAGTAATAACTAATGTATGTGAATGTCTTAATACAACTTAATATCTATATTTTTTTAACTTTCAGTAACCACTAGTAATTAGGGAATAATTCAGTGGTCACTGAATTATATTTATTTATATTATATAATTCAGAACATTATTAACTAAACTATACTGTGTCAAGTATTAATAATACTCAATATAATATAATATAATATCCATTTTTGACATTAGTATAAACTAGTATCTATTATAGTAGTACTAGCTTAAGATTTAAATTTATATATAAATAAAAATTTGTTGACGTTGGTTAGTTTCGGTAAAAGTCGTGAACGCCTGAACCAATTTGATAAATTTTGTTTTTGAGATATTTGTACAAGTCCAGTTTAAGTTTAATTTTGGTACTAAACTTTTAAAATAAAATTGATTAATTAATTTCTTTATTCCGATTTAACTACATGTATTTCACTTTCCCTACATTACACGTGAATTTACTACTTAATCATAAAACCTTATGTATTATGGAAGAAAGAAATCTTTAGGAATTTGTAAATAATGCTCGTTATTGCATATCATAACAAGGACATCCCTTCGAACAACTACTTTGAATACAAAAATTTGAACTGCTCAATTGACTCATTATTTTATACATATAATTTTAATGTCTCCTTTTCCTTTTCTCATACACGTATGTATGGCTGATGTAGTGACCACATTATCCTATAACATTATCTGGGGTTGCTGGAACAAATCTTTATTTAGAGATAAGCTCGCCCTTGTACATTACTTTTACCTTATTACTGTTAATTTTTCCTATGTGTGTGTACAATAAAGAATAAATAAAATTGTACTCACTTTGAAATGTATATGGATTACTTTGACTTAAAAGACAGGTTTTGTATTTATTCGATTAATAACAGTTTCTGTAAATATGAGTAAACTTATAAACTAACCTTTTGTAATAAGGAAACTAAGAGCTATACAGTTTTGGTACTAAATGTATTAGAGTGTCTAATGTCAAAATTATGAGTGTGTCGTGATTTATTTAAAAAAGTTATTGATATCATTTTATTCATTTGGTAATGTACTTTCGATATCGATTCAAGGTTTTTTGATATCTTTAATATATTTTTGATATATAGAACCGAAATACACGCTGGTGTACACTTGACACTTACAGCCTGTATATTATCGTTTATTATCAAGACAGACATTTATTTTACGTAGCTTGATATGTATTTGTAAGATTAGTCACAAAATATTATTCAGAACATACTATAAATATTTTATAATGAGTAAATATGTTACTTGTACTGGTATTTGGACACATTATTTGTTTACGAGGCGATGCGAAATTTGCCGATTATTTATTGTTGCAAAAGTAGTATATGTCCAAATATCTCAAAAATCTGAAGAGTAGTTCAAACAACTGTAAAGTATTGTGGAGATAAATAAAAAATGGAATTTTTACATCTCTAACATTTATTTATTTTTAAAACAAATGAATGCGAAGAGCGTTTGAAATTTAAAATAAATACAAAGAAGTTTTTATCATAGAGTAAAGAACTTAGACATTTAGGCCTGCCACTATATATCAATTTTAAATTTTTATTCTTCCTTATAATAGGATAATATGGCATATTAAGTAAATTTACAGACACATTACCTAAATTACAAAATAAGGCATATTGTGAATCTAAATAATGGTTACTACATTTTATATATTCATTTTTACAATATATATCATTAGGAAAAAGTTTATTTAATAATAAATTCATTCTTTGCATAATTCTTGTAAACAAATCATATACTTCAAGTTCGCTTACAAATTTGACATTCCGATACATTTTAAACTTATTATTTAAAATAATACCATTGTGTTGATGTACTTTTTCAATAAATGAATGTTTTGTGGTTGCTATAACATTGGGAATGGAAATATCTACATTCGAAAGTTTTTCTGAAATATTATCCACTGATTTGCGAGTATATGCATAGAATGAGTATAATTGCTCACAGATTTGCTGTGAATTTCCCCCGAAACAATATAACCGAAAGATGTATTCTGTAATACTAATAATGTTTAATATTGCCGGGAAGCAAAACATCCAAAAATATGTCCGCGGCTAATAATTAAGAGATACTGGAAGACCTGAAACGTTAAACGTGGTGTCAGCCAATATTACATTATTAGGAATTTTAATGTTACACGAATCAATTCAATGTTGGGGAATAGGTAAAGTAATATTATTTACAACAGAACAATTTACGGAAGTGGCATAACTCGTGTTTAAAGAACTTATATTAATATTTACGCCATCTTTGACCTGCTGCGCCTGTTGACCTATTGTCACGATCTTAAATTCATTTTTAAAAGGTGTAAAACCTAATTCTTTATCAAGGTTACGAGTAACAAACGAAGTTTGACTACCACTGTCCATTAATGCGAATGAACCTTACGAAAACTGCCATCACTAGCCTGTACATTGACTATGATAGTAGGTAACAAGATACTTGTATTTACAACAGTGCTACAGCAAGCAGTGCTGACAGAAGCAGTTGGTGTCTGTGTATCCTCTTCATAATGAAGAAGAGAATTATGACTTTTGCTACCACAATGAGAACATTTAAATTGATAATTACATTTTTTGTTTATATGCTTATTGAGGCATATCATACATAAATCATGTTTATTTACAAAACTTAGTCGATTGTCCACAGACTCCAACTTAAAACTAGAACATTTATATAATCGATGATCAGTAGCGGAACAAAATAAACAATTACATAATACAGGTTTAGTATTAACAAAATTAGTAAACCTTATCATACCCAAATGAATTTTGTTACCATTTTCGACCTTATTACTCTCTTCAAAACTGCAAGCGCTGCGCTCTAAAAACTTCAATAAGTCATCTAAAGTAGGAAGCTTGCTCTGATCACGTTCTGAAAAATACGCGCGACAAGTATACTGGTCCAACTTGCGTGAAATAATGGACACAAGAATCATATCCCATGCACCAACGGGTTGTCCCAAGCTGTCGAGGGCGCCGACGTTCTGCCGCACGATGGACACCAGCTCCCGTAGGTTGGCTGCTGTGCCTCGCGTGATAGATGGTATGTCGACTATATGATATATTAAAATATATTTATTACTGTATCTAATACAGTACTACTGTACTAATCTAATAGCTAAAAGCTTTTGAATATGATTCGTTAATGAGCGGATGACCATCAATCAGACTAAAAGCATCGCCGAAGAGATATGTTCGTAAATAAAATAGTTTCGGAATATTTGTAAGATCACAGCCGTTATCAATAATTGCTCTGAACATATCAATGAATGTTTTATATTTACATATATCTTTTCCATCATAAGAAGGAATCTCCAAAGCAGGCAATTTATTTTTTATGGATTTAGGCATATTGTCAATGGATTCACAGCGGGTAGATTTTAATTTCAAATTATTAATTATAGACTTTATACGTGATAAAACATTTAAATATAATTCTTCGGTATCGTTGAATAAATCACTTTCATCTGTCCCTTCAAGAAGGCAAATTTGTTCTTGCAAGCTATCATATTTACTATAAGCCATATTAATTTGTTCAATTCTCACCTCCAAATCCATAATGTCTATATTTACATTCTTCGATATAATTAGCAACTCTCGTTATCTTACCGTTATAATATGCTCTCGACCGCTTCAACTTTTCAATATTATCTTCTTTAGTCTCCATTTTTAACAAAAATAATAATATATATTTTCCAACAAGATGCCCGTGTTATAGACACAATCAAATATTACTTTGATTTGAGGCGAATTAAATGTGAAAACAATTAACTATAACGTAAATTGTTATATTGCACTGGTTCTAATATTATTAATATGTCGAAGGACCATTAACTATGTATAATATCATAGTTAAAAACTTGTGGAGATAAATAAAACGCCATGATGGAATTTTTACATCTCTAACATTTATTTATTTTTAAAACAAATGAATGCGAAGCGCGTTCGAAATTTAAAATAAATACAAAGAAGTTTTAATGTCTCGTACACATATTTTAAATAATATTTTAATATTACCTAAAATATTTACTATGCACATAAAATATGAATTACATGTTGAGTAGCCAGATTGTTTTCACATAGCAATGTAGTAACGAAATGAATTGATTACTTTGTGTAGGCAGGCGTTTAAATATTTGTATTGATATTATCTTACTTAACGCGAAAGTTTGAAAGAATGCATGTATAGATGGATGGATGTTTGTAATTACATATAAATAGCAAAAACTACTGAACAGATTTTGGTGAAACTTTAAAGTACTTGTAATTTAGCTTTTATAAAGGCTTTGATAAAATATTAGGCTATAATTTAAAAATATTATGTAAATTTAGCGAATATAATGATAAATATCAAATAAATGTGATAAAAACGAAGTTGCACGAGTTAGAGTTTATTTTAGAAGTACAATCATATTCCATTTTTAATCTTATATTTACAGGACTATCTCGGTATAGTAAATTTATGTCGAGATTTAGGCGCGTTTACGTGCGTTATGTGTTTTAGATTAGACTCACATGTTTAATTCAGATCATTGATTTAAATCTCTAGACTTTTTTCAACAGAAACACATACCGGCTCACATGACATTAATGACTTTTGTATCACATGAGGTAGCCAGAGGTATTGTGAAATATCGATGTTGTTGTGGACACAATGCTTCACATGGCGTCATTTTGTATTTTGAATCCGAAATAGCAGGAGGCGAACTTACCTGCCATCTCTGTGATTTTCTTTTATTTTATATCAATGTTTCCTTCATCAGAGAGTCCGTCAGAAATATAAAAAGATCGCACCTAAATGGTGTTCAGAGTGTTCAGAGTTCCAAGACGAAATGTAATGAGCCAGGACTAATCTAAATTAAGGGTTTGATCAAGTACTAACTTCAACTGATCAGTTTTCGGATCATATTGAAATACTAGCCTCTCGCGTCAAGTTATCCCCTTGGGGGTAGAATTAAACAAAATCCTTTCTTAGCGGATGCCTACGTCATAACATCTACCTGTATGCCAAATTTCAGCCCGATCCGTACAGTGGTTTGGGCTGTGATAGATCACTATGTCAGTCACCTTTGAGTTATATATATTTAAGATAGCGATTCAAAGAAATGCTAGGCCATTTTATTAGTATATATGTATATAATATATAGAGAATGCATTACCATAACAATTAATATTTTATAACAACGACAATTTACAATTTTATTTGTAAGTAGTATCTATAATATATTATTTTAAATAATATAACACAAGACAACTAAACAGTGTATTAAAAGCTTATTATTTACATTTAATGATGTGTTATGTACAATGAAAAAATATACCCTGTACATCTCTTATAGGTATTACAACTAACTTATAGCTTAGAAATGAATATTTAAATCCTAAACAATATTATATTTAAGCGTTTTATGCTTTTTACAATAGAGAGCGAACAAATTAAATATTTATACTCATATATTGGAAATAATTAAAAAAAGGAACTGAATACATAGATACATTACATACCAATTACTGTATCTAGTCATCAAGAAATATAATATTAAAATAAAAAACATGTTTGGTTGTTTGTACTAATAAAAGTAAGTAAAGTATATATATACTACTTGTACTTATACCTACTCAGAAGTTACTACTTACTACTAATAGTATTACTACTTAGATACTACATTTTTGCAAAACGCGTGGTTTTTTGGCATTTTATAAATCAAGAAGTAATAATTATTTAAGTCGTTTTTTAATTACTTACACTGTACTGTACAGACTTATTTTCGATTTTTTTTTTCAATTTAACCTAACAAAGAAGCCGCTGCCGATGGAGGCAAAGCTCCTGGACCCTCTCCTTCTTCAGGCTGGTACCCATTCTCATCAGCAACATATTTCACGACTCTTAGTACACCATCGGGAGCGACGTAAGAGTAAAATCCCCTAAGTACGACGTAAGCATTTTCAGTTCCTGCATTTCTAAGTTCGCCTATTTGTTCATGTCGAGTGCCGTCAGTCTGCTCAAAACTGTAAAAGTAAGTAATAATAGGAAATAAGCAATAATACAATTACAGTTATTTCATTTCTTATTGATTCTAAACATTGACATGGTACATTCAATATTGATTATATCTTAAATAATATTACTTATAATATAAATATTAAAGACTGATTTTTATTTGTGTACAAAAATACATTAGTGTATTAATGAATATATACCATTATACCATTTCAGAAAAATCATTCTTTGAGATAAAATTTACGATCGATTGTAATTAATATTTTTTATTATAATTAATATATTACTTATGATATTTAAATGTTCTAAATTATACAAAACAAATAATAATTTGTTAAAAAGTGTAAGTACAATTTTTAATAACTTACAAGTATCTGAAGTTGCCAAGTCCAGTGTTGTCGTTCTCGTATCTAACGATATCTGCTTGCTGTGCGACTAGAGATCCAATCATCGCAGCGAAGAATACAGCTACCTATAATAGTATGTTCGATAATATGTGTAAATTATCTTCTAACGCTAGATTTGTATATCTTACTTGTTTATGTAACTACTAGCATTTCGTACATAGTTTTTTTATTGTAATTCGAATGAGAAGCAAGTTGATGGCCTTTTTTTACCTTTTTTTTAGATCCGCCCTCCCTGGGTGGAGGCAAAAGGGTAGTGTGAAACTCCTACTCATTAAAGACTATACGGTATCCCGACGAAGCGCTTATTGCCGGAGTCGCAGGATTACGATGTCACTCCACCACGACTCCGGCGGCGTCGTCGCGTCCGTCGGCCCGCTTTAGTGTGCGAAACTTACCTCAAGTGGCAACACTTTCTCAATGATTATGTTAATCAAAACCACAGAATTCACGTCCTGAGAACTGAGTTGTCATGCATTTGCATCTCGCAATTGGAGTGTCCTATTTTATCCTTTAAACTGTGCTTACAATTAGTAGTTATTATTTTATGATTTACAAATTCAATTTATCACGATGGTTTCCAGCACGACACATTAGCAATGGGGTTATCAATCAATTAATTACAAATATAAAATTTAAATTAATTGTGAGCACACAATAGCTAACAATTAATTAAAATATAAAAAAAAATTATAAAGCATTGGGACAAAGCAGCTTGCGACTCACATGGTAATATAGTAAGTGATTACATCCACCCATATGCACCCGAAACACTAGTGGAATTTAAAGTCATTGTCGATCTTTTAAGAAGAAAATGGGAGCACAGTTAAACCGTCTTTAGCGGATATGTAATGTTATCTTATTTGTGGCCGAATTAAACTCCAGTTTATTGACAACTCCTTCGAGACCTAGATTACAGTATACCTATACTACAATAATAATTCTATAGAATTTTTTAGCGATCATAAAATCTAAAATGGCCACCATGGTTTCTAATAAAATGTTAACTATCTACACCTACGAAAGTTGTTCGCAAAGTTGGGAAATTGTGGTATTATTTTATGAACATCGATTATTATAATTCTGAGGACATATTAACTAATATGGTGTAGGTCAAGTTCCATGACCAATAATATTTACTATTACAAAATCTCTTTAGGTGCCCACATAAAATTAAAGGTTATTTATTCATTACACAATATCAAACACAATTCGACATAATAATTTTTTTTTTATAGATAAAATGATTTTAGTATGTTATATGTATACACGGCTGTAATATACGTGTACCTACTATGTTAATAACGAATTCAAAGTATTATAATTATTAATGAGTAGATTCTTAACATAATATATAAATGACATTTTTTAAAACATTTACGATAAAAAAATCCTAATCCTAATTGCACCTATAATTTAAATTTCCTACTCGAGTAATAACATTTAAATTTAAAACAGGTAACACTAATAACACTTTTAAACAATAATATCAACTCTAAATTTAGAAAATAAAAATTATCACTAGATGTCGCTGTACATTTTTTAAATAAAAACATTTGAATTGCATATGAACAGAGAAATTATAGAATATCCACATTATGATTTCTATTTAAGTGTTTGCTTTATTTAACAAATTCATAAGTTGTCTTTTGAAATTACTGTATCTAGTTGTACAACCGAAAACAAAAGTTTTGAGTTATAAAAATTGGAAACTTATTAAATAGTCTCTACCAACAACGCTAAAGCTATAATTACATTAATTCATTGTACTGAACATGGGTCGCTGACCTGACGGCGCGGGCGGCATGACGTTGCGACACATTCTTCAGAAAACGCAAAAGTACAGTTTATTATTCATTAATATTTAAAAAAATTATTATTTTTCAAATAAAATTCATTCATGCTATTTCTTGTTAAAAATAAAAACTAGAAGCTGAATATGGAAAGAAAAAGTAGGAAAAGAACGAAAAGTACTCAATTGAACTACTACTTTAATTATTAATACTTAAATATTTGATTTAAATGTTGAGTATTTTCAAAGATAGATATATAAAAATTATTCCAAATAGAAAATTAGTTTTCAATAAAATACAACAGCCAAAAATGTTTTAATATATTAAAAAAAATATATAATATCGGCGGTTTCAAGACTATCAAAATTAATTTCTTCATTCGTAGTGTATATAAATAGGTAGTAAGTACTATAATATTAAATTATTATCTACATTTATTAATGAAATAAATGCAAAATTTTGTAAAATGAATTAATATTTAAATTATGGAGTATACGCACCAGTTTGTACATTTTGTTGAGTTCGTGTGTTAACCGAGGTCGAATAAAACACTATGATGTATTAACCCGCATTCTATCGTTTATATAGAATTTGTACATATTTGGGGTCACACTAGTGGTCAAACTTTGTGGTCAAACTGATTTAAAATTGAGAATTACTGTTTGCACTATATTATACCTACAAACTGTTCGTGTGTAGTAATAATCATATTACAGTATTGACGTGTAAACAATCAAAATATTATATTTACGTATTAATTAATCTAAAAATTATTAATTTTATTATCGTATAAGATATTTTGGCTTAAGAACATTAAAATATTTAAAAATGATATCTAATCAATTATAATCATTATTGTAATCTATAATATATTGTTAATCTGTAATATATTATTAATTATTAGATCAATTAAATAATAAATAGTAAAATGTAATTTTTAAGTTCCATTAAAGAAATATTATCACCATTATTATGCTTAAATTTTATAACATGTATTAAAAATAGTAGTGCATGAATGATGTACTATTTACAGCTCTTTATGCACTCATATTAAATTATATTAATCATTGATTGATTTAGTTCTATAAAGAAATATTTTCTATTAATTATAGAAATATCCGTAAGGTTGTGTATTTCCTAATATGTATTTATATATAGGTTTATATTTGTGTATGTATTTATATATATATATAAATAAATAAAAGAGAAATTGTGCACCTGTCTTCTCTGTTTATTCTGCAACTGAGAGTTGCATCTAACTCTCTGTTGTTTTACCAAAAGGTAAAACAACAAGTTACATAATATTAAAATGGAATAAGTTTCATAAATTACAAAAATAATGATTGAAAACAACAAGTTACATAATATTAAAAATGGTTTTAATCTATCGTAAAATCTATCGTAACTGTAATAAAAAGTAATATTTGCATCGCATTGTAAATGAAATACACATAAAAAAATATTGAGATTGTAATGTATTTTACTTAATACCGTGTTATATGACATTGACTTTGATAAAGATAATAAAAGTAAGTTACGGATTTGTATCCATTCACTTACTAATTCAGAAATATAATATAATACGAATTCATGAATATCATACTTTATTTAAACAACTTTCTTCTTCACTGCCAATCTGGCTACTTTTAGTAATATACATGCATTTTTCCCGTGTTATACCAATATATATTATTTATTTCCTAATTCCATGGGGTTCATTTTTTGTTATATGTATATAAAAAACAACAATTTAGATAGTAACTTGTGATTTATGTAGTACAATATGTTCCTCAATTAATTAATTTTAATGATATCTAAATTGAAAGATAATTATAATCCCGTAACAATTTTGAGGAAATTCTCCTTGAAATTTATTTTTTGCTTGATGTATTTTTTATACCATATATAGGTGACAAACAAGTATACGGCCCATCTGATGGTAAACGGTTTCCGTAGCCTATGTACGTCTGTAACAGCAGGGGTGTCACGTGTGCGTTGCCGACCCTTAAGAATCCTTAATATACCCTTCTTGAAAAACCCCTGTATGCTATAGTACCGTGATATTTTTTTTTTATTTCTTATTTTAATATAACGAGATCTACTTAGCTTTATTATCAATTTTAATTTTACTATTGTGCATATCATATTGTATAATAAATAAATTTGTTTTAATTGGATTATTTAGGTACAAAAAGTATCAGTAGTCATTCACTAATAAAATTCAAGAAGTTTCTGTGTCATGTCATGATATTTCAATCACTTAGGAAAATATGTTTTAGTTTTATTTATCCTTACAATCCAGTGCAGGGTACAGGTTTAGTTGAGAAGACAAGACAAGAAATCCAGTTGTAATTCTTTTTACTCTAAGGATTTTATTCTTATAACTTTAACATAGCAACTATTATGCATTATAATTGTTGGGTAATATACAAATTTAATAAAGTGATGGTAATTACAGCAGTTTTCTAATAATTGATTACAAATTACTAGAAAATATTCTTCAGTATACATGCATTCATTTCATTCAACAGTGCATCAAAGAAAATTACCACATAGCGAGTATAATAAATTTCTGTCTATTGATTATATAAATATAAAGCAAATATACATTTCAAAAATATTATTATATAATCATGCGTAGGTCAAAATGTCAAGGCGATAATGACGACATTCCAATTGTTACGCATTTCCCCTACTTCTGCCCCGAAGCACATTGTATGACGTTGTTACAACTTTAACATGTTCATTAAAGACAACGTATAATTTAACCTAAAGTGCCATACATATCTGTCATTAGTAGTTGCAAATACTTAAGTATGACAAAGCTTTAATGATTTCGGTTGTCAGCAGCGATATTGCTGATCGGTATATTAATTACATAAGTATATCTTACGGTTTGGCAAAATCACACCTATTTTTATTGTCATATTAATTTTCTTACAGACAGTCTTTTAGTTTATCATTACATGAAATTGACATGTACATGAAACGGCAATATATTATTAAGGTGTCCGATAGAAACACATTTTGTATCAGCGTCTCAGGATACTTCCTTTTCTTAGTAGTGTAGTTTACATAACGTTATTATTAATTATAATTTTGCATATAAATTTTATTCATCTTTATTTATAGACTCGCTCTTCTAGTGTATTTCACATTTAATATATTAGAAATCCTACTGTTACATCTTAAAAAAAAGTAGTATTGTTTCCGTAGTTAATGATGAAATAATGTTGTCTGCCTAGACAGTATACGCTGGTTGAATATGAGTGAAGAATGATGATGTAATTATTTAATCCACAATGATGTATCCATTATCGGGACCGCGTGGAGATTCATCAGACAGGGAGTTTACAGACAACCGCCTTCCCTGCACTTTTTAAGGAGGGAGGTAAAGTACCTACATAGTGGAAATGGAATGATTATTTAAATCATATTTTTGGTAGAACTGCTGAGAGTTGTGCTTCTAACATGCTTAGTTTATTTATAATATTTCTTGGATACTTACTTTAGCTCTCGGATCTCGAATTTTGATCATAATACGAAAAAGGCTGTATTTTTTAAATATATCTTTACATAATTTTACTTTAATTATAAAATACGTTATTTTTACTTACGTATTTATTACACATACATGTAATTAATAATAATTGAAATTTAGTAAGCATCGTATATATTATAATAAATAAGGCAATTCCGCAGTAGACTCATTGTTGGCTCGTGATTTAAAAAATGGTAAATAAATATTTTATTCACCATTACATTTTTCATATTATGAATGCTTGCTTTATATATATAATACTATAAAGAAATCAATTATCCATTGCCGAGCAGAGTGGCTACCACTGCAGGAGGTAGAGTTTTAACTAAATGCTCTCTCTTATCATCGGCTGCATATAGCATGTGATATTTATCTTCGTCGTCGTCACTGATAATAGATGGATTACAATTATTACCTCTTCTCAAAATACATGTTCCATCAGGTTGAGTAATACTGAAAATGTTTAGAAATTATATAACTAATAAATAAATATTATATTACTAAATATTTATAATGTATATTTATAGTAAAAATCAAAGTAGTGTAACTTTTTTATTATATCTTATATTAAGTATATTTTCTTATTAATGTTGATATAATGTTACATATATAACATATATAAGCAACTATATTTTACTTTTAAAAAGAATCTATTTCAATTATGTCACAAACAGTACAGAGTAATATAATTAAAACATTATCAAAATTAATTTCAAATGAATTCGTTTTATAATATTAATGTTCGGTTTAGAATATCAATATCTATTATATTATATTCACACTTACCTGCAACAGTAGTTTGATATCAACTGCGAATTGACGCTGACGATGATTAGAATCAAACATAACGTGAATAGATGAAAACTAATTAACTGAAATTATTAGTTTAAATATTATACAACTTATTATAGAGTAGAAAAACTTAAATACATAACAATCCACTGAACTAACCATTTTTATGTAGCTAGTGAAGTCGGAATAAGGTTTCGCATTAGTTAGAATTGGTATACATTGCCTATAACTTTATTGTAGACAATTTACGATTTATATATAAATTTTAATATGTATATATTTACCACAGCATTTACTTACATACCTTCAATTTTATGCATTGATAATTCTTTTTCATGCTACTAAAAAACTATTTGAAACGCATTCATATTGTATTAACTATCCACAGATTATTAATCTATACAGTAGTATTAACATGCAGGTAAAAATAAGTAACTATGCACTTTTAAAAACTCCTAATAACGAACTAATAAAATACATAATAATTTTATTTATATCTCAGTCAGTTACTATTAAATAGTTAATTTTATGTAAATTTAAACGAGCTAACCGTTTTTAAAACAAAATTTAAATTTTTGGCTCTATTCTAATTAGTAATCATTTATTTTGGGACAGTGTGGTAATAAAAAATATTGGAAATCCTATAGACTGGCTGTGTATAACCATACCTAATCAATAATCAAGACTAAAAATTAGATGAAATAAATGGAGTATTTCATCAACATTAGGAATGCTCTTATTCATGTCGATATTGTGCATGCAAGCATGACTTGTCAATCATACGTAGTTAATTTATTCATATAAATCTTTACATAGAATAATGCTCTGATTTTGTCGTGATTAGTTCAAGCAATAAGCCATTTCAAGTTTTGATTGTAAAATCTAAATTGAACGTGGTCATGAATATTGCTCGGTATTGAGTTTTATACCTATATATTTGAAACAGTAATAACAAGTAACTTACCTGGACCACACTGTTTTGTAGAACACATTACATTTCTATTTTTCAAAGATAAAAATAATATTTATCTAATTTTAGTAAAATTTAAAATTGTATTTCGTAACGAAAAAATATAACCTAGCGCTAGTATTGACGTTATTTTACCTTGTGTTGATATTGCATACATAATACTCATATACCATAAACCTATGAAAATGAAATAGCGAGAATTAATTTAGTAAGTACGTAAAAGCTACATTATTATGTAAATACATGGTTTTAATATAAAACTAAAACATTAATATAACCAGCTCGCTCTTAATAACACTTCAATTGAGATAAGTTCTCTATCTAAATGGGCTCAAGGCAAAAACAAAAATTTTATTACCAGAGATTGCAATGATGCTCATCTTTTTAGTATCTTTCGATATTGTTATTATTATTGTAATTAATAAATAGCTACTCAAGATGAAGGTGATATTATTATATTCAAATATAAATTAAATTCTCGTATTTTATTATTGTATTGATTTGATACGATTAAGCAATTTATATGGCTAAAAATAATTTCAGTAGCACGTTAATTATTGAATATAATTCCTCCATCCATATACAATATATTTTTGTTTTACTTAAAAAATGACATAAAATCTTCTTAGGTATTATGGTCAGTAATTTTGAGAGATCATATCACACCTTATTTAGTCTGAAATAATACATTGAATTTACATAGTGTTTTGTATACAAATATAATACTTATAATACAACAAGTTAAAGTATTTGTATAAAAAAGCTATAGTAGTCAAATAGATTTTTATTATTATTATATGTATACATGTAGGAATGAATGCCTGCACATCTGTACATTAAAAAAATATTCTGTGACATGTAGTTGTAGTTACCTCTACAGTCTGTATATAATAGTTCCATATTCGGTATTTTTACTAACAAAAACAAACAGCATTGTTTTGTTCCGCCGTTTCAATGAATCTTGATGTAAGACATCCTGCTACCAATGAGATTCTTTGTTTTTTAAATTGCGTAACATTTATACATCATCAGGCAATTGAGTAGCTATTGACATCTCGTGGACCACTCATGTATCTTGTCTATTTAAAAGAAGTATACAAATTTCATAATGAAGTTAGGTGTCAACGTTTAAATTAAATTGAAGTAGGTACTTGGCCACTTCAATTTCGAAACATCTATTTATTAAAGGTTTAACACTTATTGTTTGACATTTGACACAAAATGTACTGGTAAATTTAGAATCAGGAACTGTATAATAAAACTTAGCCAAATGCTAAGAAGGAAAGATAAAAGATTCGCGCAGTTGAATTGGAGGAGAATACCTAGCCTTATATCGTTTATTAGCATTAGAGCTGCTATAAAAAATATCTAATCTTCTATAGCTACATTTAAAATTATTGAATATTGTCACTTCTATATATACTGAAGTGTGTTTTTCTGTTTGTATATTTGTTCTCGTTTCACGGTTGAACGATTTCTAAATTATGACAAACATCGTTTTTTTGGATGTCTGGAAAAATATTTAAATAGGGGTGAAATGGATAATGAAAGATTCTAGTAACTTAAGAAATCAATCATTTCTTAAGTTAGAAATAATTATATGTATTTCTCGCTATAAAAACAAAATAGACTACTCACAGTACTAACACTAAACAGATGATGTCACGGATATTAGTTTGTATTTAAATAAATATATTATAATCTAAATATTTTTCAGGCGGTTTCGTTTATTTAAATATAATAGGTGTTTTATGTGAATGGCCATTAAAACATTAGTATTTTACATTACATATATATAGAATGCTAATGTTATATATGTGATACCAAAAGATATTCAGTACTTAATAAAAGAGTATACCAGTTAAATTTCATGCAAGTTCTTTTCAACTACTAGCTAGCCGAATTGGACGATTGGACCAACTGAACTGGCATAGAGATAAAAAATTATAACGATATGTAAGGTCCCAATTCAATAAATATTTTTCGTTGTGTTAGTAATTACCTCCTTAGTAGGTAAAAGCTGAACTCCCTTCAGACAGAAAAAGCTAAATACGAGTAGGTCAATGTTTAGATACAATATATGTATATAACGCGGCCTATTCAGAAAGGTGTAAAAATATTGTAATCGATATTTTACAAGTATTAGATATATGTATATGTAGATATATGGTTATATATACACACACAATAAATATCATAAATTATATGTTTTTCGGTCTATACTAAATATTCAATGCGTGGTACGAGGAATGTCTAAATAATTATTTTCCTTTTCTTTATTCATATTACAGATAAGATAATATTATATGTTTATTACAAACACAACTGGAATAAAATTAATACAATATGCAAAATTCAAATAAAGCCCTATAGCTAAAAGAGGCATTGAAATCCATTCGGTTTTAAATGTACATTTAGTACTACTTTAGTGCCATGGTCGAATTGGATATCTTTTATAATTATAATGTTCTTTTTTAATAAATATACACATAATAATAAAAGTACATTATTCGAGATAGTCGCAGTGCAGGTTGTACTTTTATTATTTACATATGATTTACCTACATATTACATTACTATACTGTACCATTACAAAATTATAACAGACACGATAGATCTTCATAATTCAGAAAATATTATAATTTGTAAAAAAAAACTACAAATATATTATTAAATTTTTTATTGATATAAATGCACTGATTATACTAATATATATTCAATTTTCAACCGAGCAAACTAGCTCCAACATTGGGGGGTACTCCAGGACCCTCTTCTAATTCTGATCGGTACCCGTTTTCGTCGGCTTCATACTGGACACGGTATTTCTTATTTTCTGGTGAGATCCACTCATAAAATCCTTTGGCGATCACAAATGGATTAAGGCTGCCAGCATCCTTAAGTATACCCGTTTGCTCATGCTTGGTACCATCAGATTGCTCGTAACTGTAAATAAATGGTAGAAAATATGGTACTTTCTATTATTAAGAAACTTATGTACAAGTTGCTTGACCAAAACAATACGTCGTACATACATTATGATTCGAAAATTGGTATATATAGATTATTTTTTATAGATGTAGTAAACCCATCAAAATATTTATATATGAATTATTATTATACAGAGAATAAATATTAATTAGTTTATGTATGCCAGTTTCAGATAAAAATATTCGTTTGGTGGTATGTAGGTAAGTATGTAGGTATTGTATTTTACAATATTTTGTAATTCGTTCCGGTATATGTGTATAGCAAAACTTGTCTTTTTATAATAGAAAGGCAAGAATTAAATTAGAAAAGGAAAGATTTGGAAAATAAAATTTAAAAATATTGATTTGCTAATAAATTAAATATATATTATAGGTAATCTATGTATAATATGTATTTTATCAAATTAAAAAATATTAGTTTAATAATAAAAAGACCTGAAAAAGTACGCAACATGAGCGATAATTTAGTGAAGATTAATAAATAAGATAAAGTTTAAAACTTTAATTTATAATTTACAACCTAAGATTAAATGTATAATTTGTATAATACAATATATGTATATAAGATATTACTTACTTAAACTGGTAGTTACCACTGCCGTCGTTGTTATTATCGTATCTCAATATCGTTGCAGCTGCATTTTGTGCACTACCAAGCAACTTGTCTATGAACTGTGAGTTGACACTACTCATCGCCGCAATCAAACACAACGCGAATAACTGTAAACCATAATAACTATTAACAGTGAACTATTTACGTATAAATAGATTTAGATTTAGATAAAGGAAAACACTCGAATATTGTGCTGGGTTATTAAAGATACAAAGTAGTGAAAATGTGTAATATTTACTTACCGTACTATTCATATTTATTATTTGTAATGATCTCTGTAATATGGTTAAATGTATTCTGAACTAACTACGGAGAGAGCCTATCTTATATTTAGTATGAAATTTGGCAATCTCTTAAATGTCAATTGAAATCTTTATAATGATACGCAGTCCGTGCATCAACTTGTTGAGTGTAATACGAACGACCTGAATAGACCATGTGGTTAGTTACATATGGTCTTTGCTCAAGGACATTTTGTCTTTTTGTTCAACGCTCTTATCTTATAACACACAAATACTTGATTTTATATATAAAATAAGTTAATTAATTAAATTATTAAATTTTTGTTAAAAACTACATATTAACAATACTTATACAATTATAATGCTTTATCTGAAAACGTCGAACACTAAGTCGAACTAAACCCCGACTAGTGGAGATAAGAGCGGTTCGCCAGGCGTACTGTGAGAAATCGGCCCTACAGGTCTACTCTGAAGTTATACCTCAATTTTATATTTAAGTCTTATTTATTTTAGTATTAGTATTAATGTTGCTTTTGAATAAATGTAGAACAATACCAGTTAATTATTTCACTTCAGACGAAATATGGAAAGGTTCAAAAAGGCATTCATCCATTGCTATTAGATCGGAATTATCTTCCAGAGTAGACTTGTTTTTTATCTCATAAACTAGATATATTTTTTCTCACCGAGCAGGTCAGGATGTGCTGCAGATCGAAGAAAGTTGAAAATTGTGATAGAAGTATACGTCCAGCAGTGGCCTAATAGATGCTGAAGAAGAAAACGATGTATTTTCTCATGATACTTATGCACATATATGGTGATTTTTGCACATCTAATGTCGAATTGGAACCAGGCGGCTAAATGTTCAAAAATTGAATTTGTACATCAAGTCTGTATTAGAACATATGTTTCGATGTAGGTTTATATTTGAAAAGAGGGACTGTGTATATCTACTATTTATTATTATCTACATAAAAATACATTTTATCATATCTATACTATATTATTGTGTACGTAATTAAATAAAAAGTGTACTTTGTAGACAAAATTTTAGTAGTTTTACTCTTTCGAGTTTTATTAGTAATTTTCTTTAAGATATTGTTGATCAATCTTACATTGCAATTAAATATAGTTCCACAATATATGTGACAAAACTCCTCTACCTAAGCGACAGAAGTTATGTACGCAATTATTGATGGTAAGCAACAATTTTTTTTTTAGAAACCTTAAAAAAGCCATAGTATAATCATGACAATATTTATTTACATGTATATAAGGGTGATTTTTATAATGATTGATATGGTTTAAAAGAATACAAAGATTATTACGTAATATTTAGCATTACATATTTTATTGACATCTGTAACTATCTTCGTTCTTTGAAGTTAATTACAGTTGGTTTTACAGTACATTTTTTTAGGCAGAAAATATATGTAATACAAAAAAAACTTAAAAGTTGCACAAATAAAAACTTATGCAATATAACTAATTTTATCTAAATATCGTTTAAAGTTAGTAAAAGTAAAGTTGATCTATTATAAATATTCCATACCTGTAACTCTTGAGTCACATGATATAGGATAAGTAATAGTATTTCAATATTCATTGTAATTACGTTTCAAATAATTTATAACTATTCAGTCATAAGTATTATTTTAAGAGCGAAGTATATAGAGAGAGATTACTTCGACCGAATATTAGCTATACTTACAGCATGTTGTATTCAGTTATATATCTCATATATAATGTAAGAATAAAAAAAAAATTCTCATAATATTAGCTTTTTTTAATTTATGGAAAATAAATTTTTGCAGCAATAAAATTAGAAATTAATACTATTAATATCTAAATCAAAGAAATATTATTAACTTAACTAATAAAAGCTTGTAAACAGAAGAATTTTTAAAAATGATATTTCATATATAGGTTTTTGTATTATCCTGTATTTTTACTTGTCACTTCTACAATTTAATAATAGTTATTAAATATGGATAATTAAAACATACGTAGTTTTTGATTTTTTTATTGATATAAATGCACTCCTAATATGTAACTTATTGCAATATTAAATTATCAACCGAGCAAAGTAGCTCCGACATTAGGGGGAACTCCAGGGCCCTCTTCTAATTCTGACCGGTATCCGTTTTCATCAGCTTCATACTGGACACGGTATTTTTTGTTTTCAGGTGAAATCCACTCGTAAAATCCTTTAACGATGACAAATGGATTGAGACCGCTTGCATCCTTAAGTGAACCCGTTTGCTCATGCTTGGTACCATCAGATTGTTCATAACTGTAATTGAATGGAAGAAAGTTATTATATTTATAATATTAATATAGGTTTTGCTCGGATATATATACTGGAAATATGTATTTGCTCTTCACACCATGAAACTGCAATGGCCGTGAAATTGCTTATTGATATAAAGATGTATAAATAAATAACCCTGGACAATTAAAACATCGTCATCTTGTCCCACAGTAAGCAGAGCTTGTATTATGGGTACTAGACAACTGTTATAAATACTTAGATTTTATTTTTGTAAATACATGCCTACTTAATATTCATAAAAAATACCAAGACCGATACAAACAATCATCCATGAATACAAATGTTTGCACCGTGCGCGGAATCGAACTCGCAATCATCGGAAGTAAAAAGGTGTGCTAAACTGCTAGACCACCGAGTCCGTCAAAAAAGTAAAGTAAAGAAGGCAATATACAATAGTCACAAGGGTATATATATTAGGTATATAGAATACAACCAGATTATTTTGTACATCTTTGGTTATTTACAAGTATTCATTTGTTATACGCAATTAGTAAATAAAAAATATAGTGAAGAGTTTAATTACAATTAAGACATTTAATGTGCACGTCATAAGGAAATAACCTACGTCCGTCGTTTTCGTTAATCCAAATAACATAAACAACTCGCTTTGATACAGGGAGCCTTATATAAATTGATGGCTCTAGTTATGTACTGGTATGTGTTATTTTAGTTAACACGTAGTTTTATAAATTTAGAAGGTTCACAGGAAGTAATTTCGTTATAGATAAGTACGCCCTTGTACATTACTTTACTAATAAAGTATATTATTTATTGTTTATTCATAATTTGTTACTCGAGAACCTTGAAAAGGAAACTAAAGTATGTAATTAATGTAAATTTTAATTGACTTAATAGAAATTTCTTACTGATGATGAAGATGATTGAAACAATTAAATAATATTTATTCTTTGTTAATATTTTCTGCAATTCTGTTTTTTTATCAATATTATTATAGTGATATGTATATAAGTACTGAGACAAGTGTGTATGTATGTATGTATATATGTATATGTAAAAATGGTTGACAATAAATGTTTTTCTTTCTTTCTTTCTTTCTTTCAATGTACTGCGCCACGATATTTTTTAAGGTAAAAATCATGGTTAGGTTACATCTAATTTTAAGGATTCGGAGGTACATCATCACGGTTTACAGACTTGGCAATGCACGATACTACGAGTGTCACAAGTAATTTTATAATATTTGTGATTTTTCTTATATAATTTATTGAATTTTATAATTTTGATATATATGAGCGATGGTTACCATGTCCCATCAAGTGGCGAGTTGTTTGTCATAATCACATAAAAAACTATGTCACTTACTTGAATTGGTAGTTGCCGCTTCCATCGTTGTTATTATCATATCTTAGTATCCTAGCTGCTGCATTTTCTGCTGCGCCAATCAACTTGCCTAGCAACTGTGAGTTGACGTCGACGATCGCCAAAGCCAAACACAACGCGATTACCTGTAAACCAGTAACCTACTATTAAATAAAAATTATAACACATAAAAATTTACGTTCATAAGCTAAAATGTCCTACATGAATAAATGAATTTTGATTTGATTTGATTTGAAATGTACAAAATTTTTATCAGTAATTGATTTACGTTATTTAGTAACTAATATAAAATCAAAATATATTTACGAAAATATATAACACATATACCGTTTTAGTCATATTTATACACATAATATGATGATGTCAGTCATATGGTTAGAACTATTCTGAACTAAGTACGATGAGAGCCTACTTATATCAAACATGAAATTTGGCAATAGCAGAGGTAAATGTTAATTGGTAGAAATATTTATAATGAACTGCAAGTTGTACATCGATTTACTTTACGTAATATAGACACGTGTTTTCCTTCTATATTTGAGGTGGTTAAATTTTTTAATACATGCCTTATAAATTCCCTATTTTTTTTGTTGATCCATATTACCCATTAATTTCTTGAGCTTATTTCAATCCCATACAAATTCTTTTATATTATATAGCTTTATGCAACAACGATAAAATCTTTGAATTCAGTTGGAAAGATAAAGATGATTTTGGCAAAAACAAATCGATGCAAAACAACTTGGTATTTTTTTATATGTCTAAAAAATGTAGTACTAAAATCTTTATATATATAAATTACGTGTCACGTTGTTTGTCCGCGATTCACTTCTAAACTACTGAACCGATTGCAAATTTGATTTGCACATTGTGTGCAATTGCAAATTTGATCCAACTTAAAAGATAGGATAGGTTACATCTTAATTTATAGTCGTAATATTGTTTTATTCAAGAACCACAGTAACGCATGGCAGGGTTCTTCTATAACTATAAATAAAAACGAATAAAAACAATAGTTTCCCATGGTTTGACTCACTGAATGATTGAAAACACGAATTTAGTTAAAAACAGAAACCAGTTTGAATTTTCCACAAGAGTACTACTATAATAACACAAAGATAACCCTGATAGTAGGGTTAAAATAAGTTGATGCAGTAGCCAATACATAGAATAGTATATATACATATATACTATTATATAATTTATTTATTTTTTATATTAATCTAAATTAGAAAAAATAATAAATAAATCCTACCCTTATATATATATATATATAATTAAATACAAGTTTAAACATATATTTTAAAAATATATAATATTTCATAGGAAAAGAGGGGCTAAAATACATGCTTGTTGTTCTAGGCCAAATCTGCGTAAATGTAAACGCACCATCTGGCGGTATATTACAATTAGAAACAATGATTGTTAAAAATATTAAAATTTCAATAGTCCATATTCTCCGCCCCTCCCACTGGGGAGTGTGCCCATGTGCTTGCCTTAATTCAGAGAGGTTCAGGAGGCGTGCGCATGGTGGTACACACGCCTCCTTTAGCATATAGGATCTAACACATATATACCACTCTAACGAGAAAGGGAACATATCCCAAACATAGCACACTGCTTGATATGCTGTCACTTTTGCATATGAAATTCTTTTTTAAGACTTTTACATATGTTGTTATTGATGTTTTTTAACATTCTTTGCAAACATAAAAATTCTCGTTTTCTCATTTTTCTTTAGAAAGTGACCAATATAGTATAGCATATAGTAGATCACGGCTGAACTTATCATAATAAAATTTCATATATGATTTGTATTAAGAATGTATAAGGACCATTCTTATCGTACAAAATATTTTTTTGTTTTTTAGATTAACATAAATTCAAAATTAGACAAAAAGTAATTATAGGTAGTACTAAATCACTTTCAATAGATAATCGATCAAAGCCTATCCCAAAGCTGGGTATAAACAAAAGAATCCATTAGTTTGAAAAAAATAGGTCTATATCTATATATCCATATCTATATTATAAATCACTTCACATTAATCACAACACAAAGAACAATATTTATATTGAAGTAAAATACTGCAATATTATTCTGCACACTGAATATCTAAGTGTATTTTATTACTAATATCGAGAATAATATTTACGCACCAGTTTATTCATTTTGATGCTTCTTTACTAAGCGAAATAGTCTAAAGTAGTCAGAAGGATTCATACGCTGTGTCTTTTATATAAAATCTAGAGATGCCGTTTGATATTCGATATTAAACGTCACAAAATACGGCAACTGACCTACGAAGGTAAACTGCTTTGTCCCTATTATGTATGCAGTATCATTTCAAAACTCTCCGAATATATACGTTAATTTAAGGCTTTGGAGGTTATTAACGTTTTACACAATAATATAATATTTATCGAGCTTTTTCTTTATATTAACTAACATTTAATTTCTAATAAACCACTGATATGTTTATATGAAAGATAGCACTACTTTTTGTATTCAGTATCTGATTAGAAAAATCACTATGTACCTAATCATGATAATAATTGCCCCATTTGAATAATACTAACAGAGGACAATATCGTTAATTCTTGATTAATTTGTTACGATGACCTCATCCTCGTCTGATCATCCCGCACTGGTGACCCGCCAGCTTATACCTTTACGTAGATGGGTGTAAAATTCCATTGTTATCCTTAAAAAATAGTATATGATACTTATAGTTATATAGTATTTTCATTTTGTGTTTTTATTTTGTTTCATATTGACGTGTTCTATTTAATTAATAATATTTAAGATTTCATTAAAAAACTTTGATGTGTTCCATATATACATACATCACACATCTTCATACATATATGTATGAAGATATGTGAGAAAAACAATTATATTATTGGGCCATTCTATCAATATAATAGAACCAAAAATATATTTGGGTGTAGTTTTTACTAACATACTGTGGTGAGTTCACTTAAAATGTAGTCTGTGTATTTTATTCTAATCGGTTCACAAATATAATAGAGTAAAATAAATATCACGGCTATTTTGAATTTACATAAATGCAAGTTTAATATATAGATATGTACATATTAAATTATCTGCCAAGCAAAGTACTGGCAACAACGGGGGGAACTCCGGGACCCTCTTCTAATTCCGACCGGTATCCATTTTCATCAGCTTCATACTGGACATGGTATTTCTTGTTTTCAGGTGAAATCCACTCGTAAAATCCTTTCGCGATCACAAACGGATTGAGGCCGTCCGCATTTTTAAGTAGACCCGTTTGCTCATGCTTAGTCTTATCAGATTGTTCATATCTGAAAATATTGTTTTATTTTAAGTAATCTTCATGTAACATCAAAAAAATGTAATCACATTCAGTTATCCCTTACAAAAAATAACAATGAAGTCGTTTTTTATGTTATATGTGAATGAAATAATATTAAGGACAATAAGGAAATTATACAGCATTATCTGGTCCCAAATTAAGCAGTGCTATGAGTAAACTAAATATGTGATAAAAATACTTAAATATTTAATTAAATATTAAATACCTACCCAAATGTATGTTGATTTCATCAATAATATTATTTTTCTACTTAAAAAAAGGAGAAGGTAAAAATAATACATATAAAAAATACAGTTTACTTATAAGTAAACTGTATTTTTTTATATGTGTTACAATTATTTTCGACATGAACATTTTCTTTTTATTTTTAATATGGTATTTCTAGTATGGTATAAACAAGATCTGATTAGTAATTTTTAAGGTAACCTAATAATTCGACTGTAGTCGGTTTTTTACCTATACCTGTATAATTTTGTTGTTGTTAGTTAATTCTTGAGCACATCTGACAATAAAGTTTAGACTTATTCTCAGATGTAGGATTCCCTAGGGAAATTATACTGAATCTATATTAAGTTAACGTCAAGAATCCTATATTCAGGAATGATATATTCTTCTCTTATGTATAAGTATCGATGAGTTCTTACGGTATAATGATGCATCACTTACTTGAACTCGTAATTGCCGCTACCATTGTTGCTGTTGTCATACTTTAGTGTTCTTACTACTGCATTTTCTGCTACGCCAAACAACTTTCCCAGTAATTGGGAGTTACAGCCGATGATTACCACAGCCAAACATAATGCGAATAACTGAAAACCATTTTATCACTATTTATATTATATAGATATAATTTGCAAAATAAAAAAATGTCGAAACTCCTTTATAAAAAAAACATAACGTCCCTTATTTATAAAACTCTCCATCAAAGCCTACTCTAAAACAACAACAACAAACAATTTAATTAAAATAGTTAATAAAGAAGCACACATAACTAGCTAAATTGTATGGAAAAAATTAACACAATTATTGTTTTTTACTAAAAAAATATGTATGTACTGAACACAAGATAAATCGTGTACCTACGCACCAGTATATTCATTTTGAAATGGTTATTAAACCGAGGTGGTATAAAGTAAACTAAAGGTTTCCTGAAGTGTATCTTTTATATTAAATCTAGAAATGAACTTGTTTTATAAAACTTTTATTAATACGATACAGACTTTCGAAGGTAAACTACTCAAGTTAGTTACAACAGTTTTAATTGTTATATTTACCCTCTCTTCTCTGAATATACGGCAAACAAAGTATAAATAAAGCATTATTTTTATTATTACTTCCTACTAACCTACTTTGTATGCATATATTGCATAAGAAATGTAAAATTCACCGAATATGTAAGTTATATTGTAGTAATTGATAGAATTTAGTAACAGGTATCTATAGAAACATATTAATCTAGAAATTCTCGATATTAACTATATCTAGTACTAAATTATAATACAATATAAAGATATGCGTATTTATACCTAAATACTCATATTTATATATTGGAAACTGCTCTATTTGGATAATAATTAATACTTTTAATAATTAATATTTTTCCAGTTAGTCTGCGTTAATGACACAGTCCCAGTTCTAATTATGCTCTCGCCATATATATAGAAAATGCAAATCATATATATGTTACTTACATCTGAAAATAATATTATTATGTACCTACTCGGTATATTTTTATTTGCAACGGGAAAAACTTCAATAAAATTAATGTAATCTTTCTAAAAAAAGAAAAAATTCTCATTATTCTCATTATTTTGTTTAATACTAGTATTTCCTTATTAAACACCTTTTCAACATGATATATTAAATGGCTACCTAAGGACAACGATCTACTGGTATAGTAAAATGACGAATATTAAAAGTACGGCATTGAAATAATTACTAGAATGATTCGAGTGTACTTTAAACTATATATAAATCTTTAAAATGTTAAATGTACTGTCGCTTTTTTATTTGCAACTAACTTTAAACGACGTAACTACGTCATTCAACTACATTTATATATATTAGGTGAGGCTTCTCAAGTGATATATTAGCTCTTGCATTAGTTTCGTTATTAGGTACACGCGCCCGCCTTCGGTGTCGTATAGTTGCTGCTGCCACCCTGGAGGCTAGTACCCCGGATATATGTACGTGAGGCAGCGTTGGATACGAGCCTGCTCTAGGTCCCTAAATATCTATTAATATAATTAGTTTGTATTATATTTTTAGAAAACTCAGGTTAACATTTTTATTAAACTTGAATCCATTTAGGTTTTGACCTTAACGCTGTAACATTGCTAAAAAAATATATATATTATAGATCTAGATTATAGATTCTACTACATCTTATTGAGTTTAATATTGAGTTCCCTATAATTCAGCAGTGTTATAACCGCAACGATCACAGATAAGAAGAGCCGCAGGTATATGGTAAATAAACAAATTATGGGCAGATATATTAGTCTATCGTGATTTTCTTATTTTTATGTGTAAATAATGACCGTATGAAATTATAAAAATATATTATATTATGTCTGTTAGCTCCCTTTACCATTAAAATTAATTTATAATAAAGATATTCAATAATTATTCTTCAATTTTAATTGAAATTCATTAATTTAATACTAAATATTATTTTCAACTACCCACCGTATAATATTTTTAGTTATGACTATGATATATTTTGTCGAAAACAATAACATCCAATGCTTTATAGTAGTATAGTGGCAGGCAACAGGCAGGCTATAAATATTTTATTGACACATTGTAAAATTACATTTTTAAATTTATACTTCAATCTATTTTTATATTAGTTATGTTAATAAAATACACATTTTTTATTCTTTGGGCTCTTTACAACTCAGTTTTTTACATTAAATAAGGACACTTCATAAGTTAAAAAAATGAAACGTACTTAACTGAATTTTTTTAAATATCGTAAATAATTTCATTGAAAAATGAGTATACTAACACACATTGTATTGCTGGTGGGTACAGACGTGCGGGTACAAATGTTAAATTAAATATAAATTATCATAGAAATTAATTGTTTCTTTTTAGATAATTATTATTCAAAATATTAATGCTGCAATTTATACATAGTAAGTCATAGAGTAATATACATTAGTTATATATGTAAAATAAACAAATAATAGATAATTTTTATTTTAGTTAGATGGATTTTGTGGCATAAGATTATTCTTTTTTTATAAATTTTTTTTGATTATAGATTTATTTAGGGACTTTTATCATAATATGATAATCCCAGTCCCATCATATCTTATTACTAATCTTATCTCGTAATATACAATGAAAACAAAAATTTTTATGAGATAGTATACTGTGGTACATACCAACATCCGATTCAGTCCAAATTTTTATTTACAAATATATTTTAATAATATTGCTAGAAATGGAGGAATTACATTGATTTCATCTATCATTATATATTAAATAAAAATAATAAATTCCATAGGCATATATATAGGTACTATACTAATACATATAATTATAATATATTATTGTATAAACACAAGAATCGTAACTGATATTATAAATAAAAAAAATAGTAATCTCAACTATTAAAACAGTAAATATGCATTAACTTAACTTATTTTATAAATATATTAATAAAATTCTTTGCAAGTACAAATACCCGACAATTGACAAATTGCCACCATCGTAGTATAAAAAAAATAATTGTGCCTTTTTCATATAAATTATAATATTATTTTACAGCGAAGATGTAGAACTACGTCGACTTTTTCCCAATGAATTTCCCCAAGACACAGTCAGAAGAAGCGGAGCTATGGATCCTGAAGTATATATGATATAAAATACGTGTCTTCAGAAAAAATGTCTAAATTATTGGTAACCTCGAAATATATTTTTATTTTTCAGCATTTAGGTAGATATCCTGAATTGAAAATATATTACAAATATCCAAAAGCTTTTTTAAATAGCCACTTTGAAGAATTAATTTGTTCCGAAGATGGAAATAAAAAGGTAATATACTAGATAGTATTGTTCCTGTACTGATGTACAGGAACAATTTGTCTAAAATAGTTAGTGTGAATAAAACTTTATCGTAAGTATATGTACCTGCAAAAAAGACGCGGTTCTCCATTCAACTTAGAATATATTTTGTATTTGTGAATACATCAATAATATCCTCAACAATACTGAATCAATGACTAATAATGTTTTTTAATTGTCGATATTATATATTATTATATAATAATAATATATATATTGTTCCTAAAAAAATGTCACGATTCTACCAATTCTATGTGTGGTATTATTTTAAAACAAAATATCTATATTTAGTTGTTATGTGATACAATCTAGATTTTGAGTTTATAGAAAGATCTATTATTCTTTTCCTAAGATCTATTAATATTACTTTTCTCAGTAAACACATCCATAAATTATTGATAACACTGTTAAAAAATATTTATTTCTATTCGTAAGTTTATTATAGTTATTAAAGTGAAAAAATGGTTGTGTCATTGAGTGTTTTATTAAAGTAATTAAAAGTTACATGTTATAATATTTAAAAACACATCTGAACTACATATATGAATGGATATGTGCATTGTTGTGTGATCGCGCAAGACATCGTGTAATAGAAAGGTCAAATTATGCAAGTTGGATCACCGCTACACGCGGATTACTCATAAAATGTAATATCTTTGGTTATTATCGATTTCTTAAGATGTACTGCACATTTTTTGAATAACAAAAGATATAAGCGCTTTTTACCTACAAGCAATATTATTTAAACAGATCTTTTTACTGAATTTATACGAATGGTAGACTAGAGAAATTTATTACTTGTTTTAATTGATGTACAATAAATAGTTACGTGAAAGAGTAATAAATATGAACTTTCTTTTAAATACTATTCGTATAATAAATTATAACACTCAAAGAAGTACTAATGAGTACTGAAAGGTCATATACATATAAAGATTTTTACAGAAATGTAAAGCTTTTGATTAACAGTCACTTGATATTAATAACATATTTTTCTAATTGGCAGCTCTGTAAGGTAAACGTGGACCGGTATTCAACTGATGAAAATAATTACTTCATGTCTCCAACAGAAGAGAGCCACGTGGACCGGAGAAGAGTTTACTGTTTGCTTCTGTTATGTTTTACTGAAGATGAACTAGATAGAGTCATTGCATCTTTCTAGAATGATTACACTAGATTTTATTTAAAGTAACTTACATAGCAATCACTCAGACCGACGGTAAATAATCGTCAAATACTGCTAATGCAGCATCACAAATATCATGTGATGCTATCGATACCACTCTGGTCTTGCCATTCGGGTGAAATATTATATTACATCTCCATAACCTGTAAATTTACTATTTTTCAACGGTTCAACCGCAACACATTTTATAGAGCAAGTTTCTTGGTGGCTGAAATGAGACTACCACGCAGAATACTTTTTCGAAAGTCTATCTCGATTAATATAATATGTATTTTATTAATAAAATATGTATAATACACAATATTGTCACAACATTTATGGTCTCTTTAAAGAAATATCCAAGCAGGTGCGATCTGAACCTTCACCTTTTTCGTCATGAATTACTGATCTCTTACTTCATCATTATTAGAATTCTAACTTTAAAAACTTGCATCTGAAGTTTACTGTACTCTGGATTGTATTGTATATCTCAACAGTATGATTAAAAATGATAATTAGTAATAACTTTGTTTGTGATAATTACTTAATTATTTTAATACTACTACCGCGTATCTAAAGCAGCACTAACAGCCTCCTACCAGATTTAGCTAGGTAAGGAAAGAAATACGAGCGGTGAAGATTTGGGTAGAAGGACGTCAGTACGTTGTCGGGCCCTTTAAAGCTGCACCTGGGTCTAAAAGCTAGTCCCGGGACTCCTCAGAGTTTCCCTCCCTACCACACGATAGACCCGGCTTTCGCACGGTGAATCCATAGAATACTAAAACGTCGTCTGTTATTCTTATTCTGTCGTCTGTACTAGTATACATAATAACTTTGTAAATGTTATTGATTTTTTATCAAATAACTATAATGACATGTTTACCATTTATGAAATATCTGATAACAATTTCTTTGTAATACGATTTGGACGATGGAATGGAGCAATTCACATAGCATTATAGTCAAGCACGTCTGACATAGTTCCAAATTGTCAATTATTATTACGTTATTGGTTAACTGAAAATATTCACAGTAAAAGCACAATATAATTCGAAAAAGGTAACCGGTTAAAAGGTACCGATTTTGTTAAAATAGATAAAATATCAAAATATTAAAACGTTTCATCATTTGCAAGCATCTGTTTCTTATAAAGATAATAATAGTAATGTAAAATCACAGAGGGAGTGTAGCTTCATAAAACAAATCTAGACATCAGGAAAAATTAGCAATACCTAACAAATATGCAATATTAAAACGGTTTACTGTATATTTGACTCTTGTTAGAGAGAAAATAAGACTGAAAAATAAAGAATTATTTTACAGCAATTGACAGAAAACTTGGATGTATGAATCTATAAGCAGGTATCCAATTAAATAACAAATATATAGTATATATCTACTAATAAAAATCAATATACTCGTAATAAAATCTTACGATGCAACACCTGTCCTCGCTAAGCGATTATACATATTTTTATAGAAAACTTGACCTACAGAGTAATATTTGAATGTTATTAAACTTTATGCGAGTAATGATGATGTTTTAAATGCAACCAATGTTGCTCATTATGTCATAACCTTGACATAGTGACAGCATAAAAGAAATTAGAGATTTAAAATTCCTTCGGTAGCATTCAATTGGGAAAGTGTATATATATACACGATTATATATATATATATATATCGTAATTAATTTAGAATAGACGAATACTTATACATACATAATCGTATGTATATACACATACACATGCATATAAATAAGTCTAAGTTGCTTATTTTTAATAGTTCGTTGAAAATTATTTCATTTGGTTACTCATTAAGTAAATATGTAGTGAATAACAAAATTATGGATAACTGTACTAATCTATAATATGACAAAGATATATTATTAAAAGCAACATTTGATGTAATGTTTATAATTAAAAGACAATATGATAAATGGTAAGCCTGTCCACTTTGTTATGACACGTTATAATTTGGAATATATAAGACGCAAGATTTCTAAATTATAAATTAAATTTAACCTTGAACTATACGACGAGTATAATAACCTCGTATTAAGAAATTTGTATCAACATTATACATATAGGTCACTTATTCATCTATAAATAAAATTAATTCTTAAGTTCCGTAGAATATCAGAATTTTTGCTTGAAAAACCCCTTAGATTAACAAATTCTGCGTCTATATAGCAGTAGTTATTATTTTATGTACTTATTAAAGCTGAAGGTCACAATAATCTTCTATTTGTTTATTTGTCAATACAACTATAGTGTACACAAATAAGTTCTAACAAATAGAACATTGTACTCCTTTACTACGAATATGAATACATATACACACAGATAAGATGTGCTAACTGTAATATATAGTGTCCCTAAAATTAATTATTACATATTTAGAATGCATAATTTTGCATTCTAAGAATAAGAACAAGATAGTTGGCTGGTTATGAAATTAAACATGTTAATGATTTTGTTTGAATATAAAATACCAAGTAGTGCATAAAAATCAATATATTAGGCTTTATTGACTTCTCCGGGCAGGCGGGTCTTCATGAGGGTTTTCTTCAAGTAAAAAAGGCTTTTATGCATATATTATATTATTTTATTTTTTTATAGCATTCCTTATCATGATAAAGAAAAAAATACATTCATATTTATCATAACGCAACTATGTAACATTACTAAGGGTCATTCGCCTCGAGGGGAATCAGTGTTATGCTAAACTGGTCTATATTAGCACTCAATAAGACGAGTTTCATAAATCAATAAATAAATAAATCTAACCCAAGTCTTGATCATGTAGTAAGTAAATACTAAAATATTGAAGAACTAAATACACTAACATAATAATTTGTTTTTGTATTTCTTAGGTGTAGGTATAGGTTATAAATTTTGTTAATTATTATTGTTATATAATATGTAGCAACATAAAAGTCAAACAAATGGATCATCGATATTACAATAAATATATTTGTTATTATCGTTTCCAACGAACACAATATACATAATAATAATAGCGTAAATGGATACATCGCAGACAGTCGCGAGTTCATGTTTGCTAAATCAAATCTGTGTATAAATAAATTTCTTTTCATTTATATACAAATTTGATTTGGATTTGGATTTGATTCATTCATTTCTTCTTATTCCATGAAAGATATATCTATGAGTAGCCATTAGCAGTCATAATAGCGCTGACCATCATAGACAGTGGCAAACCTTGACATTCACTTATAATGTAAAAGAAAAGAGAACTAAACCGTGAGGTTACAATTTGACCTAAAATTGAAACGGTTCTTGAAAGGAAAGCTATGGGTGTCGGAGGTCAGCAGCCCGTCGCAGCATCGTTGATTCAACAACACTGTGACGTAAATAATTCGACCGCTTGGGAACATCTTTAACTGGTTATATTGTATTACGTAATATGCAACTAAATATAATTTTAAGAGAATGTTTGGGAGTGCGAATTTTCCACTATAGTCTCTGTGCTATAGTGCTGATCTGTAATGCATTTTTCTTGTTGTACTATTTTCTGTAGAATAAAATCCAATGTCAGAAATCTTTAAATAGAACCTGTTGTTTTATAGATTAATTCTACTATGACTAATATAGGCACTAACACAATTATATTGTTTTAATTAGTGATTCATTTGCAACTGTATCATTAATATTAATATTGTATTATTAAATAAAGTTTAATTCGACATAGATTTTATATTGCATCAATCGCGTTTTTGGCAACTGTGTTTGCCCAATATATGAAATTTGGCTAATTTATAAACAATAGAAACCACTATAAATAATATGACTATTGTGAAAATTAAAATTACTTGATGAAAAATATTTTTCGGTTGTTTCTACAAAAATAAATATATACCCAGTACCAAAATTGTTGTCCCAATTATTTATAACTATTATACTAATTTAAAGCTAAAAAAGGTAATTGCAGATTTATTCATATTATGGCAACTTTTTTGTGTTTGTATTACAGATTTATCAAATAGATAACTGTACCGCAAATAATTGTTGTTAAAATTCCCATCGTATTTTTTATTCTAATTTAAATTTACGGCATAATGGATACCAACTTACATCTTATTCAGTTGTATTTTAATTGTTTGTCTAGCACTTGAAAATTTAATTTAATTCCTTTATTGCGACATAATAGCATCAGAAACGTATTTATTTTTGTTTTTATTAAAATATATATTCGCCATAAAGGCTAGTACTTTCATCCATTTTCATATAAGTTATTTATTAATGAGGAACTGGGTTAATTCTTGTCGTTTTCAAATTAAATATGTATTTTTTATATTGTTTCCTAATCATAAAAGTACTACTTTTTTCGACTATTTCCATACAGCTACTACTACTTTATTTTTTTTCCGATGTATATACATATTTTATTGTAATAATTAATTGGTCCAAAAATATCCAAGGAGATAGAAATTTTAAGTATTATATTTGAATAAAATATATACTTACATAACATTGTAGTAGTCTGTTACGTCATTAATTTAAAATTAAAAAAATCGATTTAAATGATTACTTTAGGTAATTATAACAAAAGTGACGTATAAAAAACTTTGACCTCAATTATGTTATGTGAATGTTTGCACCTAAACACTCATCAGAAATCAATTGAAATGAAAATTATGCAGCGTAATACGGAACCTTGAACTTTTCCGTGTATGATTGTTTACTTCGCGGTTTGTAGGTACGCACTTATTATCATGCTATTTGAACTTCATCAACTATAAACTTTGTATTTATTATAGTAAGAACGATTTTAGCAATATATTGTCAGTGCATCGTCTTCCTAATAACATCGACCAATTTAATTTAAAATGCTAAAGGCCGAGGCAGTGGGCTGAACAGATTGACGTTCCCATAACCTTACAAGAATACTACATAACTATAAAAAATAGACAAAATTCGTTAATATCTTTGTACCATAATAATGAACTCTATTGATCAGTACTTTACAAAATAAACGTAGGTTTATTTTTTGTGCAACAACTTGTGTTATATTTAATTTTGTAACCATTTATAATATTCTAGCAATAATTTTTTTTAAGGACTATAAAATTTTATGTATATATTTTTCATCCAATACTTACATTTTACATTGATCCCTGGTACCTGAACTAAGTAGAAACCTGTATTTTAGCTTCCAATTCCCTCCTCTTAAAATTTACAATTATTGGAATTACAATTAACCAATAATTAAACATAACATTTACAATTAGACATATTATTATATATTATAACAGCGCGGTATAATAGTTATTTTTATTCAGACTCTATTAGTACAGCCTGATCAAAATTTGTCAGTCGACTACTATTGAACAAGTGTTTTATTTAGTTCCTATGAGTGACCATTCCGAATTTGTTAGCGAGTATATGGCGCATATATGCATTTAATAATTTTTATTTTTATATTAAACTAATAATACATAGACAAATGTTTTGACATTTAATTGGTATTAAGAATTAAACAATTGTATAAAGTTAATATTACATTTCTGTTAATCATAAATTGCTCGACTACTTTAAACTGACATTTTTTTAAATTTATCTAACCGCCATTGTGTGATAAACGTTTAACAACGCTATGTTTATTACGAGAATAAGATTATTACCTTTTGAAATCCCTATTAACATTGACATTTGTACCGCTATTATTACTTAAGTTGTATGGGTCAAATCAGTTGTTTTCAAATGCATAATCGATGATGCACGTTTGCGTGAATACTTCGTGGAAGCACGTTCACTTGGAGGCAGTTGGTGCATCTTGTGACTTATTGTAATGAGAAGGTACATCGTATGTCCATCCCGCACTATGTTGCAACCAACGTACTAGATGAAATATATAAGAGAAGTGTTTGCAAACATAATCAGCTCACACATAAAGTGTTGTTTGAAGGAAGCAGTTGTTAGGCGTAAACAATTGAAATATGAAGTTGGTCAGTAGTGCAGTGGATAAATAGTGAAGTGAAATTTGTGAAACATCGTGTGAAACTAAATTTACTTATTTCAGTTCCTGGTACTTGTTGTTGTTGCCGTCGCGGCCGCCGCCCCACAGAACCCTCAAGATGTGCAGATCCTTCGTTATGATATCGACAATACTGGACTCGGAGCGTATAGTTATGCGTAAGTAATATCTGGCTTGTTTTAGTTTCATCCTACGCTATATTACTTATATTATATTTGTTTACAGAGTGGAATTATCAGATGGCAGCAAACAGCAAGAACAAGGGCAGTTGAAGAATGAAGGAACTGAAAACGAGAGCATTTCAGTTCAAGGCCAGTATTCTTGGGTTGGACCAGATGGAGTGGTTTACACAGTGACATACATCGCCGACGAAAACGGATTTCAACCAAGAATTGAACAAGGACCTGGTGGAAGTATCCCTAGTGGAGTTATATCGTCATTTCTTGGATAATAACTATTAGATAAATGTTCTTGACAGAGAAGTGTGTAAATAGAATAATATATTACAATGAAATGGTATATAATATTTATATACTAATTCATTAAAACCCAATTTTATTTTACTGTCTTTTACTCCAATACTATTATCAATAATCTATCCCAAATATTACCTATTCATTGGCTACAGTACAACATGAAAAAAATATATTTTGTTACATTAAATAATGCTTAGTTAGTATCAATTATAAATTCCACTATGAATTTATAATTATTGCATAACATACCCATATTAAAGAAAATTAAATATGTCCAAATCACGCATCCGCTTTCTTAGTCAACAGCTAAAAAGGGTAAATTCTGTATTCTACAGCATGTTTGGTAGATCTGTTTCTCAATATAGTAGTCTAAAAAAAAAGATATGATTTGTGCCTAAGAATATACTAAATATGTGTATATATAGTAAATTAAGTATTCAAAGGGGGAACGCTGCCAGTATCTTCGGAACATTGCTTGAAGGGACTCCTTTTAATAATATATTTTAGTTATTATTACAATTTAGACGTCGCCATCTAGACCCAAGTTAAGCTAACTAAAGATTGTATTATGGGTACTAGATAACTGATAGAAGTCCATAGATATAAATAAAATGTTTCTACCTGCGTGGAATCGTCACCCTTGACTATTAGAATAATGTGGCATGCTAAACCGCTAGACCACCGAGGCTGACAAATGTACAAATTTTAATAGGAATCAAGTAATTACTTTTCTGTAATGAAATAATGATTTTTAGACTTCATCATTCTTTACAATGAAAATGTATTAAGTACATTAAAAACAGTAATATAACTAATATTGCATAGCAATACTTGCGTAGATTGGTTACAATATGTATCAGTATAAAATACGAGTCTGTCGGTTGTAATATCCCTGATGTATAGTGCCAGTACCATAACTATTATTATTGTAGGTATATTTCCTTTAATAGGTCTATGTAATTTTGAAATATGTACGGACTATCATCGATATATAGTAATAATGTTAATTAAGATGTAGGTTGCTATATGTGTACCTGATATAGGTAATAACAGATATTCTACTCACGTTGCAGAAGGATTTTAAACACATCTGTATTACGGGGTTGACGAATCCGTTTTGCTTGTTATTCTCTCTATATTTTTAAAGATTTCTATTATTATTATTACAAATAAAATATACTCACTAAAAACTTATCTTTTACTTAACTTAACTTAACTTTACCTATCTTTTTCATTTACTACATTTAATGTTCGCTATTGTAATGTTGCCAAGGTTTTAAAGATAAAAGTTCCAGAAATTATTTTTTATTTATCAATGTCTTGTAAAAATCCCACGGCTTTACAAACTTAAGTTCCCAGACAGACAAAGTTACAAGCAATTTTATATTCAAAATTCAGCAAATCTGTATATCTTACACATTGAGAATTCCGTACATTGTTTGTTACGACATATTTATTACCTAATTATTTAAATAATGATTTATTAAAACATTTAGAATTTTCACAGTATTAGATATTCTAAAATGAGAATAGAGAAAAAAACATGTAGTACTCATAATCACTCAAATAGGCTACTATTAATGCTAAACTCAGTTAAAAGATCAAATTCTCATATACTACAAGAAACAAACTTCAAATGATATGTACCTATGTGTGCATGACATATTGATAAAAATCCCTTGTATTAATATAATATTATCATTCTGTGAATGTCTTTATCATGCTTACGTTGCTTTTTATGATTGAATATGATGATGATAATGAGCATTGGATTGGCCAATGCTCTTTAATACACTAACGATACACTCCGGCAGGGCACTAGTGATGAGATGTTAAAACTGAAATTGTAAATCCACCCCCACTTCTCATTAGAAGTTACTTAATCATTATTAAGTCCAATGAGTTTCATTAGATTGTTAGTAATAGTTTTCTTTTGTGTATAAATCCGTAGAATATATTGTAAAACAAGTGTAGCATTTTGTTTTAAAATAAATTTTGTAGTAACCATTATCATTTCAATAGATGCTAAAAGTAAAATTTGAGTGGTTAAAAATCGACTATTCTATTGTATAAGACTGAACAAAATATGGTTCTATCAAAAGTATGGAAAGGTAACGCTTTTATTATAAATTGAATATATTTTAAACATTATTCTTAAAATAATATTACATTTCTACATTCCTTTTTCAAATCTATATATGCCTATCGGTCGGCCAAGTTGTACGGTTTCAATTAACAGAGTGAAATGATATAGCCAAATATTTCTATTTATATTATATTCAAAAATTAACTGTTAGCAAGTACGTTATACGTGCCTCAAAGTCTGGTCAAAATAATTTGAAGAAATAAATAGCTTTAGACAAAGTTGCATTACAGAGCCGTTCATCAACAATTATTATAACTATTGATACATCTGTATAAATTATAAATAAATATATTTTCTTAAGAAATCATCATCCAACAAGTCTTTAATTGCCATCAACACTTCGTAATAGTTCAAGCATAGTTATCAAATCCTATAACATTATAATTAAAATTGGTTTCGCAATCCTCTCATCATTTGATCCTCTGATGATACACGCATCGCCTTCGCCACTTGAAGGACCGGTCAAATACACAAAACATTGTAACAATCTATGTATAAAACATATGTTGTAATATTATATTCAGAAAGTATAAAACATGAAATATGTTATTAAATATTAACAAAATTTAAATGGCTGGCAAATCGTTTAAGCACAAAATATGAAGCTGGTAATTAGAATGATAATTTTAAAATGTGACTTTCAAAATAGAAAGTATAATAATTAATAACTTATTAAGATTCAAATCTGATGGTATGTTTGTTATCCAAGTGCTTGTGTTAGTGATGTTTTAACATCTTTTCAGGTGTTCGTAATGGTAGCGTTATCTGCTACAGCAGTGGCGACGGCCCCTCAGCTGCGACAAGGCGAAAATATACCAGCAGTGCAGCTAGTGCGGTTTGACTCTGACAACGATGGACTTGGCACCTATAGTTACTCGTATGCTGTAAGTAGATATAAAACATTGCCTACATTTAATGTTTAGGCGCTCCTTCATACTTAAAGAGAAATGTCGCCGCCTGAAATTAGAAAAACATTATTTTCCATATTAATATTTGAATCACTTAATTATTATATAGATATTAACTTACACATAGAACTTTCCAGATAAAGCCGTACATATGTGTTACCAGCATTTGTTAACATAAAATTTTTACTAGTATCTATGTATAGTATATAATAAAAATGAATCTTAACAGAAAGGCTTTCATGAAATTTTGTGATGTTATGAGTTTATATACCATAGGGGTATTCGATTTGTCAAATAAAGATATGTCGAAAATAGTACATCTTCACACAGACTACATTACGTCTTCTTACGTCGTCAATGGTAAAATATGTGTATATACAATACCGATTTACTTGCAAATTGAATTCAAAGATCATGTTAATTTTTTTGGTATAAATGGAATGACTAACAGCTATAAGTGGCAAACACCGACAATATGCCAAAACAGCATCATCATTCATCATGTGACCATAGCCGTGGTACTACTTATATATTGCCATTCCCAAGGACTAACTTTGTATACAGTCTAACTCCTGACCATAACGATCCTGTCAGAAGTCAGGAGACCATATTGTATTAAGAAATGATTGTAATATTCTTTGTTATTTCTTAGGTTTGAACAAAGTGACAAGACCCTACGTGAGGAACAAGGTGAGCTGAAAAACGCCGGAACTGATGACGAAAGTATTTCCGTTAAAGGTTCCTACAGTTGGATAGCACCAGACGGCGATATTTATAAAGTTACCTACATTGCTGACGAGACTGGCTTTCAGCCGAAGATAGAAAAGTCTTCATCAATATCTACGTAATTAATTGACAGAAATATCTCAATGTCTACGAGTGTTTTATACAAGAAAATAGGAAATTATCTATATAATTATAGTGCAACTTAACTCAAAACTGCTCGTTCTTCAATATTTTAGCATATATCAGGTACAAAAAAAATCTTGTATATAAGTATATATTGTGGTAGATGTGCCCGCGGTTTCACCCACATTAAATTTCAATATAAAGTATAGCCTATTATTGCTAAGCTATATTATTTATCAAAATTCGTTCAGTAATTTTTACATAAAAGAGTAATAAACATCCATACTTACAGACTTTCACGTTTATAATACTACTATATTAAGATAATACACATGTATATTATAATTATTTATGTTATATCATACTCTATTCGATTTCTTCACTATACTATATATATATATATATATATATATATATATATATATATATATATTTCTCTTTAATGTAATATATCACTGACGACTATTTAAAACCCTATTTTGTTATTTAACAAATAAAATATTTTTATTTTATTTTTTTTGTATTTTTAATATTTATTATACAAACTTCTTTTTTGCTTGCTTCGAAAGCTCCGCCAGACAACTCAAATGCCAAAATATTTTATCATTATAACCTCAATAAATTTTATGTTGAATTGTAAATTGTATTCGTATATATCGAAAACAGAAATTATGTTATTGTTCTTTTCGTCTTGAATTTAGTAAAATAGTATCATTGTAGCTTTTGTGGATTTGTAGAGTTCATTCATCTGCGAGGTAGGTTTATATTTGTTGTTGTTTGCACTACGCAAGTGATTAGAATGAAGCTAAACTATTATATAAATATGTCTTTCTTTATGTTTTTTATATCAATTATTCTAGTTACGTATAATGCAATGGGTAAAACATCAAATTCTAACATAAAAACTGGTGAGATCGTTATGTCAGCCATCAAAAAGCTGATGAGAAATACAGGATGGACTGCGCGGACTATAGTAAAATTTATTAAAATGGAATACAGAATTTTGGATCCTAAGATCAGTAGAAAAGTCTCCAGGTATTAATTTATTATATTATTATACCATTATATGTATATATAATATACATATAATGGTATAATCAATTTGTTCAGGAACTACATTCTTAGTAGATGTTTTAGGCAGATTATAAATACTTGAAGATGCTTTTTAAAAGCATCTTCCAGTGTTTATAAACTGCCTCTATGTAAAGTACTCGTATAATCCTCCTTATTGTTTATTATTTTAAAATGACCTTATTATTAAGAAGGGTTGAGTTCTTTTTGTGTATAATGTGCGATGTCTTTCACAATTCTGTACTAAATTAGTGACAATTTAAGTTGACAAAATATTAAATTGATACGAGCTTAGTTTAAATCGATATATTATATAAGAACAATTCTTCTATGCCTCCTGAACAGAGAAGATCCAGACCTTATATATGTCTAAATATTATCACGATTGTTTAGTCAGTTGTTTTCTTCTTCGTTAAGGGCACTAAAACGAGGTGTCAGATTGGGATTACTCCAAATGGAAAGTGGTCGATATCGACTCAATAAGATGTCTCGCCTGGCTCGGCCCATGAACTCTCACCAGATGTGTCTACGTCGGCGGGGAAAAAAGCATAACCGCATAAGACCTCTTCATATATGGAGCTGTACGTCGTCCTCAAACTCCGGATGCACATATGCTAGACGTAGAAGATCTTGATTATTTTTTATACATGGATAAAAAATTAAATACGTATTTGTTTCATATTCAAACTCCAGTTTTTATTACGTTACCCTAAACTGACTGTAATAGGATGCATTTACATTATTTTGGTTATAAAGACAAAGGTTAGTATCTTATATACTCGGGTAACTGAATATAAGGAAAAAATGTGATTTTTGTCGTACTAACTAAAATTATGTTAAATAATAATATTGATAAACACAATAGTAGAAAAATAACTATTTTATTGTACACATACGCATCCTAACAGCTACATCATAATGTTCCACGATGACGTAGTGTAATTTGAAATAAACAAATAGGTAGATAAAGTAGACTGCACAATGAACTTAGATAGTCTATAAAATTTATCAATAATATGAGTATCTAAATAAACATATGTTTATTACTAGCTGTCGCCCAGAGATCGATATTCAAGCGTAATTAATTTAAATTATAAGTTTAAACATTAAGTTTCAATTGTTAAAGACAAAAAGAAACCTCAATTAACAATATTGATATTCACGTTTTGTTATCAGTCATATAATGTAGTGGTAATGTGTGTAATGTTTTATTTTTCGATTATATATTATAGTTGCAGCTTAAAACTGTCTAGTATGATGTACAATCAGTATAGATACGTCTTTACGTTAACACCATAGAACGTTAATCATAAATAATAACAAAAAAAGAAGCATAAAATTACTGTATTTTATAGTCTTCTCCATTAGCCAATGAACATCCAAGTATCATTTGAGTATAAGAAACCAGCAAAAAAGTAGTTCCGAGAAACATAATTGAGATGAAACACTCAGTATGAATTTGTAAGCGTGTTGAAGAATACTCATAAGACACACAATATAACTTCCTTGTGAATGACGAACAATACTTCATTTTAATATATATTTTTTTTATATAAACATAGTAGTGACATTATATTGTAATAGTATTCGCAGTATCTAATTTGCCTATTCTATCCAATGGGCCCATACAAAATAATACGTTTAGTCAAGGTAAAGCTCATTATTAATAATCTTGTTATTATAACAATAGTAGTAATTGATTTTTAATGTCTAATATAATTTCAGATGACACTGGTTTGCTGCCAATTGACTGATCTAGTTGTATCTTTACCGGTCAATTTTGGAGAGCTTTTCCCCAATAATTTTCTCGGAGTAACTAATTTTAAAAATATTGTCCCGCATATCGAACTGAAAATGTGAGTATCTAATACCTATAATATACCATCAAGACTGTTATCTTTGATGAGGTGAAGTCAATACTTGTAAACTGACATTTCCCTGGAAATAATTGGATCCAACGGTAGGAGAAAGACAAGCTTGCCTCGACATTAGGATTAATTTTGGTTTCTTATGAATGTTTGCATCACATGTGAGTCAATTTGAAATAAAAATGGACAGAAGGGTTTTTATTTAGATTAGATTAGATTTTCAAAATCTAATATAATAATTTTCTTATAGTCCCACTTCAGTAATCGAGATCAGCCGTCCATTCGACAATTTTAAAGACATTAAAATATCAAATCCCTTAAAATGGCAGCCAGATATTTCATCAGAAAATAGGTATAGAAATTCGGACACTATAACTACAGACAATGAACCACGAAGAGAAAATTTTGAACAAGATAATAATGAATTTGGAAATGATGAAATGGACAATTTTGTTACCAGTAGCACCAATTTATATGAAACGACTACAGACTCTACTACTGATGGGAACTGGGTAAAATATTCTTTATTGTGATATGATTTATTAGAATAATATTTCACGTGTATTCATTACTATATTAACACCGAACCAATTTTTCCAGACTACAACTGATGAAGATCTTTTTAATCGAATTGGCGGCGCAGCGGTTGCATCTTTGTTGGGATAAGAAAATGTATATATATATTAACCTTCAAATCTAATATGTCATATTTCTGTATCGAGATAACTTTGAAAAAATGTTGCAACATCCCCGAGGTTATACATGACGAATTTTTTTGACAAATTACCAGACGTTTCGTATTCTTCATAAGAGAGACTCTCCACTTTTTTAGTTTTCTTGATTGTTCTCAATCCAATACTCGTATTTGCATTTATAATTAGGACAGATCTATTCTTGATTAAGGAAAAATGTTTTTTATCAGTTATTATTATATATTATTCCGATCCTGTTAAATAAAGTCATTCATAATTTTCAGAACCCTCAATTGATACTGTTGGTTTTCATGATTAGGGCTTAAACTAAATATTTCATAATCGTATAATTAATGGAAATCCTATAAGTCTGAAATCATATTTTCTAAAATTCCATATATTCTTGAAGAAACTTAATATTTATTGTATAGAATAAAATTATTGTTAAACTATAAAAAAATATATAGTGAAGATAATTATAGTTGTTTATATTATTACAGCGTCTACAAACCTACAGTGAGTGTAATCAAATAACTATATTTAGAGGTAATTATTGTTTACGTAATATTTAATAAGTTCATTGTTTTAATTCTCTGAACTGTAATTCCTATTGTTTATCAATAAACATTGAGGATTCTTAAAATATTTTAGTTTGTTGAGCAATTATAGAGTATAAAAATCAATAAATGTACAATAAAGTTTTTTTTACGAGTTTTACAGAAATTAGTATTGTTGTAGACCATATACTATGCATGCCTGAGTTCCAGAAGTCTCTATTATTATTAAATTTACAGTGAACTTTATACAAGTTATTGCTTTGTGTCCTCATATATTAGATCCAAGATAAATATTTACGAGACTACAAAGATGTCTGGATTTTAAACGATCTATACACGGCTGTTAATCAAGGCCCATATTGGAGCAACCCTAAATTGCTTCCCAGATTCCCAGCCTTATATCTAGCACAATCTGAACCAATCTCATAGTGTGCCCACCCTTCACATGATTTTACATCCACCACAACTGCTTCATTATTTAGCCCCTAGATTTAGTAGTATGTGTTTGTCTTGAGGAATGGTGCAATATGATCGCCACTACGACATAAGAGTAATTAGACTATTACACTGTATATTTAGTGGTATCCATGATATTGTTCATATATGACTTGTCAACTGTATTATCAGATATTTCTATCACATGAAATTCACTAATAGCGCATAATTTGATAGCGCACCATTGCGAAATAATTTGATATAGCCATGTTATGGCATATCGTACAAAGGAACATATATGTTATGTATGTTCCTTTGTACGATAAATTTCCTATTTTAATAGAGCAGCGTAATTACGTTTTATGCCAATTAATATTTAGTACAGAAGATTATATTTGCCTTTTAAATAAAATGCACTTGTGTGTGTTGTTTAGCTACAGGTCATACCTTCGTGATACAGTACATATTGTTGGTACTGCCTATAGTTAGAACGATTCTGAAAAGTTATACTAGGTAATAACAAAGTCGTAGGAGAAAAATATGACCTGCACTTGCAATATATTACTGAAATTGTGTTGCTGTTATTATCAGTCATCGAGATTATTCTGAAATCAAGCAACCAGTCAAGGTTTGCTAAATTTAAATAGCTTCGTACAAAGAAGTAGTATAGTTAATAAAATTGAGAATATTAGCTATATTTGGCTTTCTATGTCATAAATGTACTCGTAGAAATACATAATCTGCCGGCGGGAAGAAAAAAATCTATAACAAGCTACATGTCAGTTAAGCTAATATCTTCTACTCGTACTTAAGGGGCGTCTCATGCCCTTCGATGGTAGCTTAATGTGTTAATGTCATGTGGTATGATATACTAAATAATTATGTAGGTTGGTAGTTAGAATCAACATAATACATAAAATTTTCGAAATGTAAGTTATTTAATGCATCTACACTTAATTGGATGAATAAATTACCTTAAAAAAATACTTTGTTAAATCCTAAATAGCACAAAATTATAATAATGAGTACATAAACCTATAACTAAATAATTAATAACATTTAGTGAATTGCATAAAATTGAAAATAAAATTTACCAATGTGTTAAATGTAATTTCATGATATCTACATAAATAATTATTTCTAAATCCAAGGTAACTGTTTATGAATAATTAATTATAAATAACGATATGTTTCATGCATAAAAAAAGAATTATTGATAACAATTATTACAGTTATAAAAAATGTTTGCATTTTTCTTAATTTTATAATTTCACCAGTCCTCGCTTCTTCTGCATAATGTATCTAATAAATGACGTAATTTGTATGGACAATCGATATTATCATTTCTAACTATATCCAAATGGATCAGATTATGTGACGAGAAAGTAACATAATCTGTATGTAAGGCATGTGTTGTACGGATTATGTTATGTGCTGAGAAAGTTACTATAAATTTTAAGATCTAAACAATCCAAAAAGTTCGTCCCTACCGATACTGTGTCAGCAATAATGTCTCATATAAGTTTTGCGTCTAATTTACTTTAAGGAGATAGTAACAAATAACGTAGAAAAAGCTATATTTCGATCTATTTTTATTATAAATACATTAATGTATACTACATTAAGTGTATTTTTGCACATCTATTCAATTCATCTATATTATAATACAAATTTTTATTATTAATAGTAAATTTTATTATAAACATTCCCTTAACTAATTAGTTTTTACAATCAATAGTAGGTACATGATATTTCTTTGGATGTGTTAATATTAGTATTAAAATACTTGTAACGTCATTTTGACAATACGTACAAATATCCATAAATAAAAGTATTAACACATGACTATATAGCCCTACCAAATCCCAAATTAAGCTCAACTTGCTATGGGCACTAAATAACTAATAGAAATATTTAATATGTAGGTATATTATACATTTCTGTTAACGGTAAATTCGCTAACGCTCCTTTTATTCGATATGTATCTATAAACAGGAGGATTATATGAAACACCTAAAAAGCTAATTCACTAAATTTGGTTCAGACATATATATAATGTAATATGTAAGTTTAAATCAAATTTCGTCCGTGCCCCACAGATAGACAATAAATCACCTAACCGTATTGGTATAATACAAAAATAATATCTCTATATCAGAAGAAAAAAAATCTGAGATGCATTTATACAAGGACATCTATGGGAATCTATTGGCTTTCCATACATTTCCTTGATTCCGTCCAAATAACCAAGGAATAAATACTAAGTATTGTCTACGTATAAAAAATTCAGAAAGTACAAATCTCGTTCGTAGAATAGTTTTAAAAACCTATATTTATTTTTAGTTAAGTCTCTATAATAATAATTATCTCAATTCACACAGCGCCATCTAGACCCAAGTCAAGCTATTTAAAGCTTGTGTTATGTGTATTAAATAACTGACAAATACAAATACATAGTTTTTTTTGAAAATACATACATATTATACATAGAAAATACCCGACCGATACAAACAATCATATACATAGTAATAAATAAAAATATTTGTGCCGTGCGGAGAATCTTACCCGCGATAATCGGAAGTAAGAAGGTGTGCTAAACCACTATACCACCGAGGAATTCGATAATATTATCACGATTATATTATTATGTGCATTAGACTATTGTTACAAATGTTCCTCAAAACTGGACGAATTTTCATGATCACATTGCATTATTGGAATTATGAAAGTTAATAAAACATGTATTCCATTTTGTATATGTGTTTATTGTAACTGAACCTGGTACAGATATAATTTGTCTTTAAAAATTTTTTAAATTCTGGAAGTGCTGTAAACTTTATTTAGGTTTACGTATTGCACAACTTATAATATTTAAAATCCTTCATACCCGCTCATTTTAACAACTTCATCTTCCTACTGATGAGATAATTTCCATTGTAATATTTAAACAACAACATTACTTATTTTCACGAATGATTTCACCATCTAATTCTTCAGTCTACAGAAACCATTTACGTATCCATTGTTGTTAAAGGATGTTACCTATTTGGACAACGATCCATGACGTAGTAACACGGATTTTACGGGCAATAATGTGTTAATAAGAATTGGTCCGATTTGAAAACTTTGTTTTATTTTAACATACACTTTATATTTCGTACAAAATTTATATAAGTTGCATTTAAGTGTACACACCAAAATTGTATGATCTTGTTATAATCTATTATAGATGATTAGCAAACTGAAGTAAGTTGACCGCCATTAACTCTAGTCGTCGATTAATCAGGGAAAATTTCGACCCTGTTTAAAGCAAAGTTTAGGGCGTCTCTTCGTAAGGTTGAGTAACGAACTCAGTTTTATTTAACGGGGGTCGTTAAATACAGTTACACAAAAACTGTACAAAAATGAATAAATTAACGATAAATAAATTGAAATGTACAACAAGAGAATTCTTATTTTGAATAACATCTGAAAGTAAAAATATCACTATGTTAGTAACATTTTCGCAAATTAGTCCATATTATTCTAGTATGTACATGGTATCATAATGTAATTAAAAATATAAGAAAACTGTTTTTATTTTATAATTATTATAATTTAAGATTTCAAAGTAATCAATTAAGTTACAGATATCATTTTTAAATGTAGAAATATATTACCTCTGTCAATGAATGAAAAAAAAAAGGACAACCCCTGCTTGCTGTTGGTTTGTTTGATGTTTGTTGCAACAATTGTTAACATGTTAACATAAATCAAATTTTTCTTTTGGTTTTCTATATTGATTGTCTAAAGTTTCTGTAAATACCTAACAAGCGTCAATCAGTCTGTTTATGGTCAAACCGAATTGGCTCAGTTTCAGAACAGGCGGAGTTGCGTTCGGCCGGCGGGCGTGTACACCGACTACTCTTTATATATAAAGAGATCTTACGAAACCGTTAGCACATTCGGACTACAGCCTGTCCAGGAAGTTGCCTGTTCCTATTGTCACCGACTCAAGATGCTGCTCTCATTGGTAACTACAAATTCCATATTACAATTAGGGCACAATTGACCTTAAAGACAAAATTTGTACCAAAATCAAAATTTGTATTATCAATAGCATTGTACATTGTAATGATAGAGCTCAAGTGTTATGTACTAAAGCGACCTCCCCGTTATTGCGATGTCAGATATGTGATGTTGCAGAAACCATTGCCTGGTGCATGAATGTTTAATTTACTATACACGAATGTCGTTAGTTCACACTCTGACCTTTCATACGACTCTGCTTCCAATGTTTACGTTACAATGTCTTAACTATAATTCGATACAACAATGTTTTAGTATGTCTATATTTATAATGTTAATAAATATTAATGATCTGTTGGAAAATTCTGGTTCAAGACATTTCTCTTACAAGCAATTACCGTTTATGATTCTTTGTTATTCCAAAATTGGCAGAATAAAATCAGAATACTTTTTATTTTTAACTAAGTACAAACAATAAAATGTATTGAATCCATTTATTTGTATTTTTATATTGAATTTATGTTACGTGATATTTTCGTCAGTTCTGCAAACTTTTACATTCTTATTTTTCATATGTGATTATATTACATAAAAATGTACTAAGTGTTTTATTAAAACTTTTCTTTACTTTTTATTACTATGCAGATAAAATACTATAATAGGTAAGTTTTGGTATGAATATAAATAATATATACCTAGTTAGTCTTAAATCGTTTATTTACCATGCCTAAAACCAGTGATAATAAATATTAAACTGACCAACATTTATAAAGAAGCAATGTGAAAATTTATAATATTTTTAATACAACTTGCTCGGTTTGTTTCTTAGTGATGATGACTTATGTGATTCATGAGTATTATTAGGCTTGATGGCTAATTTTTTATATATAATCATTATTGGCGATATATCATATATTATTATGCTTAGACGTACAATGTTATATAAAATTAACATTATTATAATGTTAATTACCATGCTGATTTTAATAAAGAATCAGAAAAATTCTAGCCATACATTATATAGTATTATCGGTTTCGTTTTAATATTCGTGAATATCATCGTTTCTTCAGTAAATTAGTACACTATTATGTTTTCTGTATTAAGTAAAAATAAGTAAATATTTGTTAAAAAAAATATTATATTAAATAAAATGCAAAACTACCGCCTTAGATATAATATTTATAAAAATAATGAATTTATATGTAAACATAATATTTCTCTTGTCTAAATACTCTGTAATACGCTATTTTACTCAAATAGTGATTTTAAATAAAGTTAAGGTATAACCTTAGGCAACAACAAATCCGTAATTATAATATAGTTACATATGTATAAAATTTCTAAAATTACTTATTATATCCTTACGGTAAGTAAGGATATAATAAGTAACTTTGGAAATTTTACGCATACGCATACGCATTACGCAGAAATGGTAACGCGTTTTAGAAACTATGGGCGTCATCACAAGGAATATTTAACCGAATCCAATTGATTCATTAGATAATTCTAGTCTGGTGTATAGTAAAGCTATTCAAGAAAAATAGAATTAATAAAGTTGACTGACAATACCTAAAATAAAAACTTTTTAATATTTACTTAAATAATAAACAAATAAAGGAGTACCTAATGCAGTTATGAAGGTCAAGCCTCTAATTAAACATCTAATATCCTGTTTAAGTTTTTTTTATTAAACTTAACTAGTCTAGTCTTACTTATTACGATATTATCACAAAAACATACATAAAATAAAAAGCGTAAATCAACTTTTACCGCACGAGTTTGTATCATAAATACCTATTTATTATCACAAGCACGGGTATATTTTGTATAAATTTTTTGCACAATATATGGACAGAATAATGTCTGTACAAAGATGTAGGTACAAACATTCATAAAACTTATGAATGCAGTTTTGAAACGTATTTTAGGCTGATTCCTAACGTCGTAACTTTATTCTTTCATTTATTTTTTACTCCTGGACGCGTCTTGAATTACTGTTAAATATTACTATATAGTAATATTTATATTATTTATACGTAAGCATTTAAAACGAACATAGGTATAATATGGTAATAATATTATTATTAATATCATCATGAATAAAGAACATACAGATACACTTCAAATCTGTCTTTAAAAAAACATGGTAGATACCAAATATCTACATAGATAAGGTAAACACACTAACCTTTATTAAAAGCATTTCAATGTTAAGAGAAAGAATTCACATGTTCGATAGTGCAAATTACTTTAAGTAACTCGAAGTACGATATCTTTATGTCTGTGATAAACGTATTTACGGCCATTGCACTGTGTCGTCTATCTACTAACATGCTCTCGTTAACATTTCAGGTTTTTGGGGTCGCTGTGTTGTTGAAAATGATTGCTGCTAACCCATACATTGATAATCAACCCCAACCACAAGTGGTACGATCACAGATTAACACAGCAAATTTGCCAAATTCCTATGACTTTTAGTAAGTAACAATTATTTAAAGATATTTTTTCAGATTTTTTTCCCTTACAATAAACCATTTAACGACCTAACCAGTGGATAAACAACTCGTATCGATCTAAACATTAATAATATCGTATTCATATCTGCACCTTAATCATAGGTTTAGAGGTTCTTCTTACACAGCTAGGCATAACAACAACAAATTAAGCTTTGATTAAATATTAAGGATTATTTTCATGACAACACGATAATTATTAGCTGTACTGCGCATATTAATGTTGAGTATTTGCCATGGAGTCATCATCAAATATTTAAATTTGCCATTTTTGGTACAAGATAAACAAATTAATTAAGCATGCAGTAGGTACTGAGGTACACTAAGATTGCGTGAGCCATGAGAAACCAGATAAATAAAGACAGGAAACATCTATTTAAGTTTGATAGTCATGCCGAACATCAACAAGAGTAGAATAGTTATGCAATATCATTTACAATTATTTTATATACCATAGTAGATATATTTGTCTGTATCTACAGTTTATTTTTTATATTTCAGTTATAAACTATTACATTAAAATACTTTTTTTCCGGTATCGTTATTTAGAAATTCTTAATATATATACAGCTTAGCTTATTATTGTTTTCGGTTGCGACAAATAGTAATTCAACTTATTGGGTGTTATTTTTGTTGCACCTATTTTGATGTTTATTATACTATACTCTTTACAAGTACTATGACGGCCTGAGTGGTCTAGAAATACAGCACACCACTTTACTTCCGGTGGTTGCAGGTTCGATTCCAAGAAACGTTTGAATGTATCAGGATTCTTACATCATTACAATAAACACGTGTTATCAGTTCCGATAACTAAAGTACCGCATTATATAAAACATAATAATATTTATTTTAGCATATTTTCCGAATAAAAGCGTTCAGTTCAATGTGAGTGCGAGATATAGATACCAAATGAATAGGAAACTACATTAACATTATGATTCATGTGAAACGGCTTTTTTAATCTTACATACTATTCAAACCGAAATAAGAGCACAAACAACTAGTACTATACGCAAGATACATATATAATCAAGTTAAACATTAGTGTAGGTAAACCCAAGCGAGTCATTTAGAATTCTACTACGCAGTCATATCACAATAACTGCTATTTCTTTGCCTCAACTTATACTTGCTGGTTCCGTTACCTATACTAAATTACAAATATATATGTATAAACTTAAGCAACCCACGAATAAAAGTAAAATTATAACTGAGAATAATCTCGATTTGAAGGAAAACAACGCATCTTACACGGTCCACATGTTTAGGAGGTACAATGACACCAACATACATATGTACCGATACATCAAATTTATACCGTTCCTCTTTTTATGTTGAGGTTAAAAACAAACAAAATGTAGTATTAGGCCGGCACCGTTGCATAACACATTTTATAATTGAAAATAATAAAATCCATATTAATATTTACTTCTGCACATAAATATTGCTTGATTAGTAATTTCGACCATATTGCATTTACCCTCTGCTTGTTTATTATTTTGTATATACTTGATCTCAAAAAATACCATAACCTTAAATATATTCTCTAGACATCGACTGAATACAAAATGAAAAGGAAAGCAAAAGGATGAGTCAGACTATTGTATACCTACTTGATCGCTGACACCAAAATATTTCCCAAATAAATACGGAGGAATGCCGCGTTTATGTTAATTCATCTTTTATTGTCCTTACGTGTGTAACGTAACCCGATTATACAAATCATGATCAAGTGTATTTTGCCAACCAATGCTTTGTGTAGAAAGTGACTATATAGAAATCAATCTACGTGATAGCCATCTGCCATAGTAAACACTTGCAAATAACAAATGGCAAAACAACTTCTTTGATTGGTTTTCGTCCTCAGAGAATATTTAGTTCAGTTTTTATTTATACCAATTCTTTCACTGTTAATGTGAAAGCGTATTATCATTGTTTTCTACATGTTGAATGTAGAAGAAATAATTTTATTTTTAATTTGATAGTTATTAATTATATATATATTTATATAGTTTAAAAAAAAATATTTCAGTTTGATTATTTTTAAAGAATATTAAATATGGTTTTGTACCGGAGTGGAACATAAATAAGGCTATAAAAAATTCAACACAAAGTGACATCATGGACTTGACTGTACCTATACTATAACGAGTCGCTATTTAAATGACATCTACTTGTCATGTATGTAATTGGAGGTTATTAAAAAAGCAGAATGGTAACAATGTCATACAAGTAGCGCGGTACAAAAACGTATGTGGTATGTGGTACGCCTCTTCCAAGTTGAACGGTCGCTGACCGCTGCTCCTTATAAGCTTCCGTTACTTGGGCACATGTCCTCAATTATCTTATACATTATTTTTGGAATACATAAAAGAAAAAATAACTATTATAGAGCATTGTCAAAAAATATTCTATGATAACAACTCATTAACAACCCACTCTAAAACACGAGTCTGTCCTCTCCATAAAAGGTATAAGGAGCGTACCGCCTGGTTATTATATCCTAGTTATATGGAGGTGTAACAAATCGAATTAAACTACATACGTAATACAGTACTTAACATTTTATAGTATACTTTACATCTAATAGAGATATCTGAAATGTTCTTAAAATATAGTAATAAAATAGCGGCCGTGACTTCGTTCATGTGAATTTTGTAATCACCATTTATTAATGACAGTTAAATAACAAATACGAGTTGCATCTAAACAACGCTATCAGTTGTTCTATTAATAATATATCACGGAATAAATTATCCAAGAAAGCTGAGAAAAATATACCCTAGAGGAAGATTCATCTGGGGAATATATTTTAGTTAAGTATATAGGGAGATAAATGAGTAAGTACGTAAATTATATCACAACCTCATTTTTCTTCAGTATTTATGTTAAGTAATATTTAATAAATTGTATGAAACTGTACCCTGATTTCTCCGACGTTATTTACGTCACACATAAACAGATAAACCGATAAACAGACGACACAGTGTATTCGCGACGTTACTGCGTTACATTATTATAATAAAAATAATAATAAGTATAAAGAAGATAAAGAGTAGGTATATACCAAATCGAACGAATATAGATCGCGTATATGTCAACATAAGTCAACGTATGTATGTTTATTCTAAAAAAGCGGCACTGAAAGAGATAATATTGGAGCAGTTGTATGTTGTTGTTGTATAAATTAGAGGGTATAGATACACTACTTGAAATCGGCCCTGATTTCGCTACACATGAGGCTATCCAAGAAAATCTTAGGAAGCTATCCAGGGTGCTTGCCGACAAAATAGTAATTTGTATATATATACTACTTACAAATAATACCTGCTGACTTACAAAACACTGTAAATATGTAAATATCTACTTATATATACATATATTACTGTACAAAAATGCTGGCATAACAAGTAACATTAGTCGGTAGAGTTTTTGTTTGCAAAATATCACGCTATATTAATTTGTAAATTATTTGTTAGTTATATAATATATATTTAATAAATTTGTAAAACAAATCAATTGAGAAGGTTGCCAATATTTGTTTTAACGCGCATGACTCGTACCTTACCCGTGCTCATAATCATTATTTCAACAAGCTTGTACAGTTAACCAACAAAGAACACTTTAACATTTATAATCCTTTATTATGCAATGCAATTAGATATATAACTATAATTCTTACTTATATTTCAATAATTAAAATATAGTCTGTTCGTCTCATTGTATGGTATTTTTAATCGCAGAACATGTCTTAATGGTATTTAATCTAAAGTTAAAAAAAGCCCATAGTCGCAAATAACTATTAGTACATACTAATTGTCAAAAACAAAATGATTATTGTTATGATCCTTAATTTATCGAATTTAAAATTGCACATGGCCTCAGGCTAGAGATAGAGAAATTTTGTGAAGTTAGAGGGAAACCATTGACCAGCAGTGGTAAACTTTGTTGTTGTTATATGTAAATGTTTAAAAAGTAGGTTAAAAATAATAATATATTTAGAAATAACTTAACGTGCGGACTGGATCCTTAAATCTTGAATGCGGTCAAATTCAGAACAGAATAAGAAGATTTTGAAGATTTCAAAGTCAAAGTTGCAAAATTACCACCTTAAAATATACAGATTGAGTGATTTTCATACATACTCAAAATTATATGATATACGTTTCAGCTATGACGCCAGCGACGGGTCTTCACGTACGGAACGCGGAGCCATTTTAAACTCCGGTACAAATGACGCCGCCCTGGACGTTCAAGGAGCTGTCCGTTGGTACGACAAAAAAGGACAGCTATATGAAATGACTTACAAAGCTGGTAAAAGAGGTTACAGAACTATCATAAAGAAAGTGTCGTGAAGTCCGAAAATTGCATCAAATATCATTTACCTAATCACTTCGTGAATCTCTAAAAGACTTTATAGTATTAGATTTATATTTATTATTACTACTCACAGTAGAGTTTTCTAACTTTTTAACGAGACATGAAATGTATTAATTTCGATAGAATAAAATAATCAGAATTTTAGAAAAATATGGAAAACAAAACTTTCGCCCGTTTTGCGGCGCTGCGCATGCATGACATTCGCTCTGAAATAAAGTTTGTGTATTTACTTTATTTTATCTCTCAATACCAGCTTCATGAAAGCAGTATTTTGTATTAGTTTTTAATAGAACAAAAACAAAGTATTAACGAGCAAAAAAAAATAGTAGATTTTAACAGTATTTTTGTTATTTTTGGTAATTTTTATAATTTATTAATATTAGGATAAATCATGTTGGGTTAAAAAAATACCATGAATTCTATTCTAAATAAAGAGATACCTAAAAGGATTCTATAAATTAATACAAAAAATATTCACATTGTATTTAATTGATTATGGACTTTTAAAGGATACTAAACTAAAAACTGTATCAGGCTTTTTATAATAACATTTACAATTTTCTCTAATAAAGTAGTGAATATGTTACTTATAAAAATAATCTTGTATTCACTACATACGTTATTTGTAGGAATTGATTTGTAAAAAAAAGAAAGTACAGTACTTATTAAATAATAAATGAAAATACTACGTATAGACTGTAATGTGGTGCGTCCATATTTATTTATATAAATCGAAGTGAGAGCGCTGTCTTGACATTAGTTTATATCTAACTAATTCTCCAGTGAAGGAAATCCTGATATCAAACTGTAATATAACATTATGTAATTCAAGAGACTGCATTAGACTCACTCGCCCTTAACCACATTAGATTCAAAATATTCTTAGAAAAATATGGGCATGACAAATGTTGTGCAACCATAACAGGAACAGTTGGCAATACCTCTGACTTAAACTTGAATAATTGTGATAACGGTATATGTATTGATATCTATTATAAGAGGTGGGTAATAAATAAGAGAGAGATACCATACTCCATTTTTTAATACTTTGAAAAAGTTGAGCACTGTCTATTTAGTAAATATATTAACAAGTGTCTCCACTTTGTCTCCAATTATAATTATGTAATAGCTTAAGGTAATATTTGATATGTTTAAATATATATAATATATAGTGCATAAACGTATACGAGTAGAATAATGAAAAAAATATATTGTTTTGTGTTTATCAAATAAAATAAATATGTAAGTTGTTCGATAATAGAAAATGACAAATTCCCTGTATTCTATATATTGTTTCATTATGTATACGATGCAATATTTTTTATATATTTATAATATTTACGTCGTGGAACTAGATATACTTACTAAAGCTGATTGAATATGAAGCTAATGAAATTTCCATACAGTAAGCAATTAGACAAATTTTAATATAAACACTACAGGTACAGACAAATAATCTTTTTATTGTATACTATTAATTTTCCATTTATTGTGTCTATTTTTATTTTATTTAATAAATATACCTGTCTGTATATTGCAAAATGTATCGACAACAATATATATTTTGTTACTCTTTTCGCCGAAAGTTGTATTGGAACTATCACTAACACATATTCATTTTAAGGAAGAAGAGATTAATGTAGACGTGTAAATATTAAAGACTTCTTTATTTATTAAATTTCATTGATACTTTATATGTAATTTATTCATTGCCACCTTTTCTAGCTATTTGCAAATAAGCTTTCAACTCAACTCATGAGAACAAGTACAATTCTGACAAATGTGCAATTGTTCTCATCATCATTGAAATATTTCAGAATATAATTTGCACGGTATCGCATATATATACGAAATATAGCGACAGCCAATACCCATTCAAATTAATTTGTGCAAGTTTACCAGTGGTAAGTATAAATTGTTTCTAATAATATAAAATTCACACATCAGAATCGTTGTCATCTTAACTAACATAAATTAAATAGAATAAATGGCATAATATTCTCTAAAAAATGGGACAAATGTTTCTTAACTTCCATATAATTTATGGCAAAAGTATGTCAGTCTATACTTTTGCAGTTCTAATAAAAACTAATGAGCTTTTAATAAGGCATACACTTGTAGTTATTAGTATAAAAATACAGATTAATTTTCATTCACGATACTTCACGTTAGTACGCATTAAAAGTAATTGTTTTAATTCTATTTACAATACACAGTTCATGTTATGTCAAATTATGTGGTCACGTTCTTTCATCACTTGATTCCTGTTATCACCTCCTTCACACAATATCTAAAATGAGTATGAGGTCATGTCAGTTACACTATTCACCAAGAATTTAACGATTGCTGTGGTACATATCAACAAACAACTTTTCCCCCAAAATAGTATATTAGCTGTATATAATAATAACAGTTGAAATCGGTATCGCATAACCATCACATTCTACCAGTGACAAAAAACTTTTCTTTATTTTATGTTACAGTTAAAATCACTTACAAATTTTTCATACTGTGAGAGTACAATTAATTTTCATTCACGCCCGTTAGTGCATTAAAAGTAATTGTTTTAATTCTACAATTATTATTTTAATAGAGATATTTAAACACAATATCGCGCACACTATGAATTGTTGCTGTAATATCAACAAACAACTACTGTATTTAAGTTGAAATCGCATTTTCTTAAATTGTCAATCAGAAATTTTTACTGTGAGAGTCAAAATGTTCGCCCTGGTGAGTAAAGTAGTAAAGTGTCTGATATTGTACTATATTTTATACTCTATCTGGAGCTCTGTCATATGACTATTTTATATATTTACTCATGACATAGATTCAATGATATTCTTTAATCATAGGATTAATATAAATGATTAAAAATTACTACTGACTATATATCAAGTGTTGAATTTCTAAAACTGATATGATGATAATTCTATACAAAATAAGTTAAAACAGACACGTTTTAGATTTTTAATAATACTCACACAAAATTTTACAGAAATTATTTATCCTCGGTACATGTGTGGCGTGTCTACTAGCTCAAGATGCAACGAATAAACAGCCAGTGGAAATCCTTACAGAGAAAAGCTTCGTCCGAGAAGACGGATATGATTTTGAGTGAGTATAATATTTAAAATAATGTAATAACTTAATCTTTTTATATAAAGTATATAAAAATATCTGTTAGCTTGACCGCCACTAAAAATCATTATGATTAGTTTCTGATAAGCGCACTCGCCCCTTCACACATGACCCACAAGGGTTTACTATAAGCACAGTAAAGAACCTTTCATCGTCAACAACCATAATATCAAAACAATAAAATACCTGAAGAGGAAGAAGATTTTGTGCAACTTCTTTTAGTCAATCTTATGTAATATATTATTGAGTATACTATTGTATGTATTGATGTTAATATAATGTCAGATTTTATATTTACATAGTAAATATTTAGCACTAAACATAAAATTAAACTGACATTAATATTAACTCAATGTCTATTATATATTTATTACTCATACTCTATTGTTATTGTTATCGAAAGACTTCAATAGAATCGAGTTTATAATTATAGCTAATATACGTCGTTATCTAGGGTCCTACCTTCATTACTCTTAATCCGTCGATTATGTCGACTAATACTTGTACCGCGTTTTCGCCAATCCTCTTTCTTTTATCGTATAAAAATATAAAATTAAAAATTATGACAATAATGCCCAGCCATATCTACGAAATATTCCGAAGACACTATTTGCGTAGAGTAAACTAGCCTTTAATTAAAGGTTCAAATAATTTGTAACAGTTATACATTAAAAATAATCGTTTTAGCATCATCACTGCAATTATGAGTTATTGTCATATAAACGACATACCACAAAGTAATACAAATAAGTTTGTTTAACAATAAGGATTTGTTAGTTCTTCAAGGATTACTACATTGAAAACTGCTTTTATGACTCCCATGGGTGTAATATTTCATTCGCTTGCTGTAATCAAAATGTTTCATTACTAGAATTTGCTAATCGATTCACACAGTGACTTTTATAGACATAAACACCAAAGACTACCTGACAAACATTCTTATCCTTGATATTTATTGTAAACAATAAATTTGGTATTTCATGGGGTTTGTGTAAATATGAGTATTCCACATAATATGTGAAATATGTATAAGTAAAAACACAGGTATAGTTAATCTGGCTAACCCTATCTATTTATTTGGACCTTGATTATTCATTTATGTATTTAATCTATAAGTATTTACCATGTCAGGTTGTCCTCCACACGGTTGCTCCTGGACACCATCGTGATGAATATTAATGAAAAATAGTTTTTGACCTTAATTAATGAATGTAACACTGATTTCGAATTTATAAAATTATCTCGTTTGAACCTTGCATTTAAATACAAAAGCTACTGATCGGAAAATAAAATATAAATTGAGTCAGGGATAAAATATATAAGCTGTGAAGTATTTCAACTTAAGGAATAAAAATTATTATTACAAACGAGCTAAAAATAAACAAATTCGTTTTTAATTCGTAACTTATTAGTAGTTTCTTGTTTATGTTTATTCCCATAATATTTATATAATAGTAGTATTATCGTAACAAAGATTTACCTCTATGGGTATTATGTATGAAATATATAAGTATAAAATAAACAGCCAAAATTGTCCACTTAAGTTATTTTTAAATCTCAATTGGAAATCCCACGTTGATAATAATCCACTTTTGTATCTATTTCATGGCTACTTTGGTTAGGTTTTTTATCGTAATGTATATAAATGATCAACCTATATTTTTGCACAACGTTAAATATTAATAAATTCTATCATTTATCGTTTTAGCACATTACCTAAATAATAGTACTATATTCCAATGAATAATTGATGCTATAAACCTTCTCTTAAACATTTTATACTTATTATAAATTATTATTCTTAAACAAATACAAATACATTACAATTCCTTTAATTTCAGATACAAAACTAGTGATGGTGTATCACGCAAAGAAGAAGCTGGATTGATCACCGTTGGCGATCAGCAGGGTATCGGAGTTAAAGGATCCTACTCTTACACAGCACCAGACGGACAACAGTACCTAGTGACCTTTACTGCTGATGATAAAGGATACAAACCACAGATACATGTAGTGTCACCAAATCAATAAAAATATACAAAATAATTTATGTTTTTTTATCTTAAAAAATGTTAGATGTATCTCATACCTATTGCTTATGTATAAATAATGTCCATTTACCTATTTCGTAATTAATATTATAAATATGAATGTGTGTCTGACTGTCTGTCTGTCCTTCAGTCTGTTATCTATTACCTTTTCAGTACAAAATGGATGACGAAATCGTACAGAAATACTACGTAAAGATAGATTGTATCACATAGGATAGACATTGGTAAAAAAACAATCTAATTAGAGTGAAAATGGGGATGGAAGTTTGTACAATCGAAGTAACTACTATACACCAACAACAACAACTAACTAACTAACAACTATATATGTAACATACCTGACACCCTTATTAGAGTACTTACACAACACTTCTGTTAAGAAAAACATTAACAAAGCTTTCTCGAATTGTAAAATGGTGAACCAACCATGGTGTTCGGTTTTATACAAATAAAAAAAATGGTGGATTCCCATCATGAACTTAATTTCAAAGTCAAGAACGTACAATAAACACGATTCTGAAAAAGAATTAAACATAAAGTTGTACTCATACTAGATCATGTCTTACTAATTGTAAGTAATTTAACTGAAATTACGTTCAGTCTTGAACAGTTTTGTGCTTTTAGAACTCGCAAGTACCCTTACTATAGAATCAGAAGAAGAAGACGTTTTAATACTTTTTTTGTAACTATTTATACCCGTGACTTCATATGATGGACATAGATCGTCTATTGATAGTACAATATTATGTTATCTGTGATAGTACTAACGGCCTCAGTGGTCTAGCTGTTTAGCACACCACTTTACTTCCGATGGTCGTGAGTTCGATTCCTCGCACTGTACAAACATTTGTATTTATGATGATTCTGCTTACCATGGGACTAGATGGCACTGTGTTTATTGTCGAGGGTTATTTTTAGTACAACAATGTATAATACATTCAGTTAAACGATAACAATATATATGACATCTATACTCCTCCATTTATTATTTGATTAACGAATTCAGTAATAAAACTGTAGGTACGCGTGTTTTCAAGTTATTTCTAGGGTTATTTTCCCCATTTTCATATTCAACAACTTATTTTGTGAAAACATCTTAATACTTTTATTTTACTTGACACCTTAACATACAAACAGATAAATAGAAAGTTTTAGCTTTGTCACGATTTAATGTGAAAGATGAATCTGTCCTTCATTGTAATTAAAATTCAACTATAACTTTAAAAATACTTTTATAACCTAATACTTTTATAAAACGCTTTATACAAAACGTAAAGGTACATTTATATATCATAGTTTAGACGAAACATTGTTGACGTCAGAAATATAATGAACAGGTAAGATGATAGCTTGCAGATAAAATCTACGCAGGTTTTTAAATCAGCTAAAAGTTAATTTTACTTCTAAGATTTTTATCTACTAAATTACATAATATAATAATTACGCACACTCTGACCTTTATTTAGCATACTTCACCTATGCACTGGCGTCGTGACAATACGACAATACACATAGTTATCACCTAATATAGAAACTATTAACTATGTGCAAAGGCCTTGCCAAGTGTTAGATGAGTAACAAACTAAATATTTGCTAGGCTCTTAGAAATAGTATCGGCATTTTTGATGTACCAACTTACGAGTACACAATCACTGTTGTATGAGCCACAATGAGTTCTGCAGGTGTATACGAGTATTTACGTCTTTTATAGAAATGATGCAAAGTAACATTGAAATAAATAAAGTTTATTATGTTGGATAAAAATGCTTACATTGTTTAATAACCACAACTATGTTTTTATTACTTTTTTATATGACTAGAATGTCAAACACTATAATTACTAATAGTTATTTTTGTCATAGTAATTAACTTAATACGCAATATCTAGTATACTAGTATTATACGAAAACAACTAAACGAGTAATACTAGTAGAGCTCACTTTACCATAAAAACCAAATAATACCTAAAGAACACGCAATAATAAAAACAAATAAATATTACGAAATAATAAACGAATTAACAAAAAATGGCTACGTGGTTAATTTATATGTAATCCAAGTGGGAACGATAGTTATAGCAGTGAAATCTTTCTATAATCTTCTAAAAATCCGTATCTAGAATTACAGTATCTAAAGCTGCACTAGCAGGCTTTTACCAGATTTGGCTGGCCAGAGAGAAAAACACGAGTGGTGAAGGTTAGCGTTCCTCAACAATGTGGCCTCATTGCTGACGAACGTGAACACTTACCTTCACCACTCGTGTTTTTCTCCCTTAAGCCTACACCCGGGCTACAAGTCCCGGGAAATGCTCGGAGTTTCGCTCTCTGTCAAACGATAGACCCGGCATCCATACGATGACTTCATGGAATACTAAGAAGTTCAATTATCTTGCTATAACAAAAATAGTATTAGTAAAACATCCTGGCCATATAATTCATAAAATGAAATAGCTATAAGGACTATACGAACAGAAACTAACAAGAAACACAATCTAAAAGTAATGTGAGTTAACATGCTGATCCATCGTTAGGTATTTAAGATTTTAGTAGAAGTAGCTGAAGACTTTTAGAAGATTTTAGCAATAATGCAATTACTTGCTAATTTCTTTGACATTGAACGAAGATTACCCCAAGCATTACGAAAATATTCAGCATGGTAGGCGCAATTCTAGAATTTACAAGTGTAAAATAGATATTAATATATTAAACCACTGTAATACTGATTTAGTTTATTAGATTAGCTCATTTCTATTAGATTTAGTCTAGAAGATTAGTACCGATATCATTGAATTGACTATCCTATTCAAAAACAGAAAATGCCTCAGGGGCGGGGGGGACTCATGGCCAGATAGATTATAAGATCTTTAGTACTGTTTGTGTAGTGCGTCTAGTGTCTTCATTATGATTTTATTTTAAAATCATAAGTGCATATGTTAAGTTTTTAAAATATAAAAATATTGTATGTTGTGGTTATTATATTATGTAATCAATGCTTGATATAGGTGTATTTTTTAAACACTTGATATCTGAGTTTCAGTACCAAATTATTGCTATTCAATAATAATTCTCTCAGTAATTTAAAATGGTAATTGACATTGATAACTTAAAAAGAAATAAAAAACGACACGAATTTTGGCAAAAGATATTATATATTTATTATTCTACCATTTTAAATGTTAATGTATAACGTTTGCTTTTAGACTAGAAAACAATGAACTTAAAAGTCACACATCTTAACATACATTATTTGGTTTCAGCATTACATAACTGTCGACATATTGTAAGGTTAATGAAATTCATTTAAAACTGTGGTTGTTGTTGTTGTTGTGGCTGTTGCTGTTGTTGTTGTTGAGACTGTTGCTGTTGTTGTTGTTGGTTATCACCAGTGTGTTCGGAGGGCTGGTAGCCGTTCTTGTCAGCAACAAACGTGACCTGAATGTGTTGACCATCAGGCGCGACGTATCTGTAGCTACCCTTCACTGAGAGTCCTTGCTGATCAGTGTCATTTTTGTATTCTCCCTGTTCCTGTCTAGATGTTCCGTCACTTGTTTCAAATCTGAGAAAGAAATAATTTTATTCTTAAATGATTATGATGCATAGGAGTTAACTTTATCATATAAGTCACTATTATAAAAAAAACATAAATTAAATTAGCAAAATCATTATAAATCATATGAATTATACTAAGTCATCTATTATAAGCTTTTACATAATTAGGTATTTTATTTATTTCTTTATTATAGGAAAAGTCAGGACTATACTAAACATATGAAAAATAAAAAAATCGACATGATATTTATTTAAAAAAATAACAATTAATGTACGGATACACTATAACAAATAGCGATTGATGATTGAAGAGCGAAAATGGATTGCAGGTATATATTTTTAATGCCACATTTTTTTAATTGGTGTGCGACAAAAGAGATAATAACCGATTCCAATACATAAAAAATTACATCAAAATCAGTCAAGCCGTTTTGGATAAGTATAGCAACTAACATTGTGACATATATTGTATTGTACTTACTCAAAATTATATCCATTGACATCAACTTCGGAGTCTTGTTTGACAATTTGTACGGGTGCCTGTTGGCTTGAAGCTGGAGGTGGTGCTTGAGGGAGAGCACAGACCAGCGCAATGGCGGCTAACGCGAAAATAGTCTAGAGAAAATACAATGTGCTATTAAAACAATATATGCTTTCTTTTGTAAAGTTAGTTCATGCAACAAATAAATTAGGTATCTACCCCTTCTATAACCTGTCTTTATTACACTATGCTATGAATCTGAATGTACAGCATATTAAAAAAAATATATCGAATTGAAATATTGTATAATTTTCATGTAATTATTACATTAGAAGAAATATTCTATAACCTGGGACAACTAAAGATAAGAAAATGTACAATTATAAATGTCATGAAAATACATTAAAAGAAATATTTTATATATAATATACAAACTGAATTAGGAATGAAAATTTTGTATCTAACAAATTATATAGTTTTTAATAGGATTTTATTAAGGTATTTTATTTAAATACAAATTACTTACGATTTTCATCATTTTGGTGATTTTTAACGGAATAACTGTTATGTGTTTATGTATGGACGATTCCTGGACGTCTATACTCTGAAGTGGCAACTTCTGCTATAAATATCACTTCAACGTATTGACAATACGATGTTTCGAAGTTTCATTGGGAGCCGAGGTGTTAATCACAATCATGCAAACAGTTTATTTGGTGATCCACGAAAACGGTGTGGGGATTCGTCAATTGTGTAAATTGTTTGCCAGACAGTGGGTCGTACGTGCATCACTTAACCTACATAATCGTGAAGTACTATTTTTTTATTTTATTTTTAATTATTGAAAAATTGTTGTATTGAGACAGTTTCACCAGTTTATAAATGATAATACCAAACAAATATATTAGACTTTAGCAATATATACCTTCTTAATTCTTAATACTAAATTCTGTTTTAACTTATTGTGAATGATGCTAATTTATAAATAGGAAATTGGTAAGATAAATAATACTTACTAAAATAATTATGTATATAACATATAAATTTTACTACATGTAAACATAGAAAAGATGCATCGTATACACTGACATTTTCATGTATAAATATATAGCTATATATTGCAGAGACTATTATATGAATCTATATATAATCCTCCTCATACAAAAATAACACATAATTTAATCACCTGTACCTAATTATTACTGATCCTAGCTACTTATGTAATTTCTTTTTAGATCTGTGTTTTCTTCAGTCTTGTGATAGAAACCCACTGGGAATCATACTAATATGGTATAATCAGTTGATTAAAACTTCTCTCAGATATTAGTTATGTAGCTTATTCGATTCATATAACCAAATATATAGTACATTACCAATTACCTGAATATTACTAGATATATGTAGAATATATTAAAATATATATTTATTTTCCTAAATAAATTAAGAGGTAGGTGTCAAAAAATATTATTTTATGGAATTAACTATGAAGCCTTGACGATTTCGACTAAAAAATATTTAAGGTCACGGTATAATTTATCTCACGCTTGTTCAGTGCAGTTCTTGTATTGTTATCCATGCAAACTTAGATAGCAAACAATTCTTTTATTACGCATGCATTTTTTACGAAATGTACCACTATTTTAGAGATATTATATTTTTTCCCACGTAGTGCAATTACTTTTAGTATTATATATTTCTACAGGACCTCTGATTTTGGTTTCTAATTATTGTACGATTTTTTATAAGTTTATTACCACTATTAAACAAGTCCTTTCCCAAATTTAATTATACAATGAACATATATTACACCTATTGTGTGATAGTCAATACAGTTTATTGGCTATCGATGGATACCCAATAAACAGTATTATGACTAGGAGATGACCTTCTTTGGTATTCTAAGTCTCATAGATATTAATCAAAATACTTGGTGTTCTTACACACGACTACTAACATACTAAATATATATACTTTTAATGTTATCAATAATTATACCTTTGTCACTTGTCAGTCATTTAAAGTTCACGCATTTGATCGCAAAACAAATCTAATCAATTTATGAAATGCTGAGTATTCCACTCCTAAGGTTGTTTTATTATAGTATGCTTAGTACAGCAGATTATGCTTAGTACGAAACTCACAATAATTAATATTATACTATAATAGTTGTTGTTGTACTCGTATAAAGTGCGCTTTTACCTGGTTTAGTAGTTGTTAGAACTATAAACTATTTTCTATAAATAATGATATTTATTAATATTTAGAGATAAAATTAATCCATTATTTAATATTTTTAACAGACAAATATTTTCGTAAATACTATTAATAATATCCTACGTTTTAGTGACTTGTAAGCTTAGCATCAACATGTCATAACATGCGAAAACATTACTTTAACAACAAATACATTAATGTCTATATTAATATTGCGATCTCTAAAAAAAGGCCGAGCACAATAGATTTCTGTAAGTCGCAGTACTACTAAGCGTGGTCTAAGCACCAATAAATAACCCAAACCCTTTGATATAAAAGACAACTTTCTCACTAAAATCACAGTCCAAATGAAACTTCCAGTTTTAATATTCATAAACCAAAACTCTGTATGAGTTAATGTTAATAGCGGCATTTTTTGCTAGATCGCAAATCTGAATTATCCTTTAGTTCTTTGAAGAATATTTATATTCATAACTAAATCATATAAATATATCCAAACTAACATAGTAGTACATTTAAAATCATGTTATTACGAATGCAGCAAGCAAGGGGCATGGGTCAAGGTGTACTAATATTTTTCATATCATACACTACAACATACGATACAACAAATAACCCAAGCGTTATGTGAACTTTATAAACAATCGATTCTAATTTTAAATTTTCTATATTGGCACTGTATGCAATAGGTAACTAAATCATATTATCTATTTTATTCTAAACTTAAATGACGGCATAATATCTCTCTATAAATTAATCACTAACTCTGCTCATTTGCTCGATTTAATTGATCACATGTCAATAAGACACGGCACTTGAAATATTATAAAACAAGATATCAAAACATCATATAGAGCTGTCTCTAACACCAAAAGAATGGTTTATTTAGTACTTGAAATACTTCTGTACTTCTTCTTACTTTAAGAAGAAAAAGTTTCTATGAAAAGAATTCTATTAAAAATAAATAAATACCAGTTTGTTTATTTTTATTAGAGTCTAGTGACCATATTAAAAGGGAATCCGCATAATATTTTAGGAAAGCCTCTTAATAACATTGCTAATTAAATACTAAAATTACCTTGGCATTAATAGATATCTCTATAAATAATAAAACTTGTCCTATTCGATGTTTCAACGCACAGCCTAAATCATTAAAACGAAGATTTTTCAAGAAGTTTACTTATTTACATAAGGATTTACTATATAAGGAATAATAGAAGTTTCCATGGGATAACAGGAAACAATCACGATAGTGTAGCCACATTAAATAGAGGGGAATGGTTTTATACCTTTATATCAGTGGTCTAATAACGAAACCGTTATTACATGTTATGGTACTTGGTCCGTGTGGAATTCAACTATTTTTATTAATCTAAATAAAATTTCTATAATAACAGTAGTCTGAGTATATAATATTAGCTATCTGCGAGTGAAAGTCAGAATTAACAAGAACAAACCAACAGACAGATATATAAAAATAATTAAAATTAAGTTTTTATGTAACTATTTGCTGGAGGAATATTGCTATGTATAAATTATTGTAGTAATAAAATATAAAATGAAATATAGAATTTATTGTACACTGAATTCAATATTCAAACGCCACGGAATATTCGGGTAGAAGTGAAAAAATGTATATAAAGTAAAACGAAACAATATCAGTGTTCCATGCGTAACGTTCCATATTTGAATTTTATAATATTATATTTGAATGCATTAATTGGCTATTTGCGATAGCAAATGGTATCTATTATTTATTTGTATAGAAAGTCTATATAAATAAATAAAACTAAATAAATTTAGTTTTTAATTGTTGATGAGATTTAAATATTAATACCTTGAAAATATACAAATTATAAAGAAAACTAAATGTCCAATTAAAAAAACATTACGTTTATAATCAAATCATCGTAACAAAAACGCAGCTACCATTCAAGGACACTAACTTACTTGTGTATGTTGGTAATTGACGATTAATACTGACTTAGCAGGCTTTGCAGGGGTTAAATGAATATTATATTCAAAATGAAATAAAAAGAAAACACAGATCTTCAGTTATCATAAATAACGATAATTTAAGAATTAGGCAGTCAATTATTAGTATATAGATATATCTAAATATCAGATACTGTTTACTATAACTCTGTTATATTCTCATATGTACTATAACTCAGTGTACTATTAAAATATACTAATATCTTCCCCTGAAAAGAATAAAACATGGGTCTGTCAATTTTTAACTCATTTAAAAATCCTATGGATCAAAACTCTCTAGCTATAAATTGTACAGTTAGGTGACACTGACACTGACAAAAGGAGAAAAGTGGTAGTCAGTTAATTGTTATAAAACTCGACTTGATTTTTATAATTAATAATGAGTTAATTACCATCTTAAATTTCCTTCCTTTATGACCAGATTTGTTTTTCTGTAACATTTGCGAGTCCATCTGAAGATTCATTTTAGTAATTTACTCATTGTCATATTTCTATCAATAGGTACTTCTCCTGTGTAGAATTATTAAGTAAGGAACTACTAATTGTGTTGTAAGAACCTACTTTAGTGTCCAGTTACAGGCCTTGACCTAACACGCTATAAGATTGAAGATGATAAGCTATTCTCTTACCATCTTATGTAATTATCAAGTTTAACACGTATTAAATTATCACTTATTCAAATACATTATAATTTAATCAGGTTTTTTTACACATCAGAATAAAATAAAGTGTGCCATTTAGATTTTGTTAAAATAAATACTTCAATAACATTTTACTATTTTTAAATTTATAATGACACTAGCTGTACCTGCGGTTTCACTCGCATGAAATGTATAAATGTGTAAGCTATAATACTGTAAAGTTTCATCAAAATCCCATCAGTAGTTTTTGCGTGAAAGACTAACAAACCTCCATACTCACAAATTTTCGCGTTTATAGTATTAGTAAGATAAGTACGATAAGTTATTGGTCGACCAGCTGCAACTAATAAGATGAAACTTAGTTTACTACATCTAATAATTTGTTTTAGCTTTTCATTTAATTTCATATAATTATAATAATTTAAATATTATTAAACTTGCACTATCCTTACAGCGACAACAATCCATACAGCGACATCTAGTTCCAAGCTAAGCAGAGCTTGTGTTAAGACTACTAGATAACTGATACATTTACATTTTTCTAAATACATAAATAATATACATGGAAAACACCCTAAATTGTTAATATTTAATTATATTTTATACAATTAAAATGGGACACAACTTGCAAATATCCCGACGCCGAAAATAAGTAAGACGCGATAATTTACCTCTGTCTTACTCTACAAAGTCTTTTATGCTGTAGCTAATACCACTAATACTAACAACTACGTTATTGGTAGCTACATATGAATCCATTTCTTCTAGGTACTGTTTTATACAAATATATAAACTTATAGTTAATATAAAATCTGTATTTATTACTTTATATAACTTGTCTTATATTATTAAGTTACTTAGTAACTTATCTGTAGTGACGTTTATGTGAAATAAAATTTAGCGAATAATATAATTTATTATAAAATAGCTAGCATAATATCATGATCGAGAGATGAATATAATATTAATTTATTAAATATACGCCTAAGACAGGTCGTGTTTTTAATTATTATAATTTACAAGTGTTATTAAAAGGTAATAAAATGTAAACATCGACGTCGTAAGTCGTAGCCACCGATGAGTTACATAATGCACGCATCCTTAATATTTGTTTAACGGTTTATCTATTTTTCCCCACTTATGTTCAAATAGTTGACAAAGCTTTTGCAAACGTATGTCATCACGATGAGAATGATATGAAGCTCTCAAATGAGTCCATTGTGTTTTCACTCACGTATTATTTCCTAACTCGTCTCATAAATTAAATGCTTGAATTCTGAGTATAATAAAATATAACAAACACTTAATTGTGACTTTCTGTTTATCGTACCTGTTCCTTTTAAATTTATTATTAATGTTTTATATACACATAATATTTATCACTAATTTAAAATTCTGAATCTTAATCTATAGAGTGTATATGCATGCTTCTTTAGTAAATGATAATTATATACACATAATAGAATAGATTCCGAATTAACAATTTCCTGGTATGTTTACTAAATCAAGCTTACTTTTAGGTTTATTTCTATACTTGTAAATTTTTATTTATTTATTACTTATATACAAAAATAATGAGCACAGCCCTTAATTTTAAATAGTTGCTGTAGCTGGTTCACGAACGCCTGTAGAAACAACTGTGTCAAACATTTTGTATTCATCGTGAAGAATATTATCTATATTTATCTCTTCATTACACTTATAAAAAAAAATTACACCGAAAATATAGAATTAACATAAAACTAAAGAACATGAATATATGCCAATTGGCTTAAGGTATGGACGTTCCCGGTAGTGTCCTCAAATATTTTTATCACATGCTTGATTCTCATATGACTGATTGAACATTTGAATAAAAAGGCGTTTGACATTTGTTTACACGGTAGAAGTAATCAATATATTTAGAACTATATTAATAAATATAATATATATAACACTCAATGTTTTTGTACATTTGAAAAATATGTATAGCTGACATAATCCAAATGCATTACTGGAAAATTAATGCATTATCACAATAAGATTATTAAATAGATAATTTCTTTCTTTTTACTAAAAAGTCGTAACTCCAGGATACAGTTAGTATATGTTGAATTATCACTTGCCCATATAAAGAACCAAAAACGCATATAAAGAATATATAAAGAACAAATTTTAGTACAGAGATTGTCAGAGGCGTTTCCATCTGAATAGAGACTCAACGAGATTCTTCAAGAATTTTCATATAAATCGTTTTATAAATTTTCCACACTTATCTGTTTGTATCATATGAAATATTATTAATATTAATTCTTCACATATGTCATAGTTTGATAGTTTGTCCATCAGTGACATAAAATTTCGATTAGTGACCGTGTCGGTGTTTACAAAAAATGTTGAGGACTGAAACAGAGAGCGGAGCGAGTCACGGCGCGGCATCCCATCCTCCATGATGTCAGCTTGCAAGTGCACCACCACGGAATTATATAAAATGAACGACCTACACTAGTTACTCATTCGTTAGTTTGTGCTCATCACGAATACTAAGCAACATGCTCAAATACGTGAGTTGCTAATATTTTTTGTTTATTAATCATTACAATAAGTATCAAAGGTCGTATATTGTGGGTAAATACTTAAATTCATAATCACTGTTTACAACCCGTTGCAAAAGTGTGCCGTGACTTGTGATGGATCCACCCGGTGTAGTAACTGCGGATGAGCGTAAACAATGGATTGTGGTGTCTCATTAGAAATATTTTATGTTATTTCATTTAATAAGTTTTTAAATGACAATAGAAATGTGCGCTTTTATCAAATATTAAATCTTTTATGTTTAAAGGATAGCATAAACTATTACCAATTTTTTCTATAAACCATTTCATAAACCATTAACATTTTTTTCAGCAAAATAAATCTATTTAAATAGATTTATTAAATAGATATATAAATACTTAAGTACTGTATATAAATATTTACATTGGCTTATTTATTACACTTCAATTATCGTCCACTTTCAGGTAACAGTCTTATGCGTCGTGGCGGCGCTATGCTCCGGAGCACCGCAACAAAACCCTCAGGATGTGCAGATCCTGCGCTACGACAGCAATGTTGAACCTGACGGCTATAGCTTCGCGTAAGAGTCCCTACTAATGACACAATTCTTAATATTTTCATATAACAAAATAACCACAATTTCTCACATACAATTATTATTCAAATTGTTTTATATTTATATACATGCATCTGAACGAAAAATATATACTTATTTATTATTTAAAGATATTTATAGAAGTTTATTATATTTATTTATTAGACAAATAAACTATTTCATGACAAATTACTTTCAGAAATAGAGTTCATTCTGTTACAATTTATTATATATTACATAATTATTATGGAAATACTATTTATTTTATTTCCACAACAAAATTAATTTTAATGAAATATTTACTTAAATAATTATTCTAGAATACTACAGAGATTGATCAAACATTATATGTAAGCGTGTGTGCAATGATGATGTACAATTTTATCTTTAATATTAACTGTGTTTTATACTTAGAAGAATATTTAATAGATCAATTTACAAGTATATACGTATACATCTTGAAAATAAAATACCTAAGGAATTCAATAAATGCAAACTAATAAAGCGAATTGTTTCGTTTGGATATAATTCATATTCTTACAACAGCAATGGATCTCCCTTAAAGTTATCTATTATTGTGTTATTTATAGCCATATTACGGTTATAGTCTGTTTAAAAAATTAACGAAATTAAAGTTCATAAATATAATAATATTATACATTTTTCTCTTTCGTTTACTATAGACAAACTTTACAATATAAAAAAAATATTTTTATCATTTAAATAAAATATCACATACTGTGGTAAATAATCGTAATGTAACGAAAATAAAGGCCTGTTTACATTAATTGTTTGGAACCTTCGATGTTAATTCAACTCACACATATATATACAAAAAAGTAAGCCGAGCTACCCATTTCATCTAAGAAAGCCCCAATAGTCGTAAATTCGTATCGAGTCCCCAACAGCAGAAAATACGAAAATAAAGTCTCTCATCAATGCTAGAATAAACATAAGTTTACAGTAATACTATACTGATAAGCAATATCGTCTGTTTCCAAAACCAATATTATTCCCGACTTAATGAGATGTTTTTATCCTTTGACAATAAATGAATAGTCCATTTATTGTTAAAAAATATGTTAGTATATTATGTCAACACTAAAAGACTTTTTTCAATTTGAACCCGTAATTCGATTAGCGCGTTCAATCAAACAAGCTTTATAATTTTAGTATTTAGACTTAACATTATTTTTAACTGATAGTATTAATGTGTACATAAAAAAATTCACTACATTTTACAATTTTCTTTTACTATATATTACTAATATTAATACGTTAACAGATACGAGACCAGTGACGGTACATCCCGGCAGGAAGAAGGCAAACTCGACAACCCTCAATCTGAGAACGCAGCCTTAACTGTCACAGGACAATACGCTTACGTCGCCCCTGATGGCAAACACTACACGGTAACCTTCACAGCTGGCCCCAACGGATTCCAACCTAAGACATCCCTCGGACAGAGGAAATAAACCGTACAACCAACTTTGATCACTGTATATACTCGTAAAATGTAAGATCAAAGTGTTTAGGTACAACCTTTCAACATACTCTATAAACCAGTGAACACTCGATCTCAGTTACTTCGAGCACACAGAAGGGTTTCATCTAAATTCTTGTGCCATAAGATTGCCTTTTCTATTTTTTTTTTAATTTTGTAAAGCCTCTTGTGATTTATATATAATAAATAAATGATTATTACTCTATATTGTGTTTGTTATTCTTTATGTACTGATATGAGCTATTTTGGATTGATTATGTTAGAAAAAAATACAAATGTGTTATAAAATATTTTCTTTGTGAAAAAGCTTAAAAAACATATATAATATGATAACTAAAATATATTATTAAAAGGGGTCCCTTTAGGCAACGTTAGAAATGTACATGTATGTAACCAACAAGACAAAAGTGTCTGCGATTGATATACGTATTAATATGTATGACATTTAAAATTGAATGGTAAAACAAAATTGATATATCAAATCAAAAGGAAAAAATGTTGAGTTTGACAAATGTTCAACTTTGAAAACCATTATACCTAATCAGGAACTAAAACAACAAACCTGAACAATATGCGCTTGAACTCTAACCTCAAACATGCAATTAAATATTATATCCAATTATCATCACGATACTGCACAAAAACTTTCGCAATAGATTTGTAAAACAAAATATAATTACATACCTACACAAATAGTAAACGACGTTTTTGTGATCAGTAATAATAATTTTAGTAATAATTAGCTATTAGGTCTCTTTTGTATTTTTTTTAATACTTAAAAACAATATAAATTATTTTATTTTAATAATTAAGGTATTTGTAATAGATTTTTATAGTAATGGTAGGTATTTCATGCATTATGAGTACATTTCGTTACAGTCTATTGTGATAAAAATTTTATTCGCACCACAATACCAGATTGCAAAAAGAATTAAATTTCCTTTTAGGAATCCAATAACGAGTCGTACCTTTTGATGATACTATTGAAATAGTGTCCTTCTAATGCACACCCTTAATTTATCTCTAACATTTAGGCCTTGATTTAGCATTCCAATGTTTCGCATTTATATGGTATGGTGGACACTGCAGGTACATTGGCTGTAAATTTCCTTATGATTAATATTATTTCCAGTAAATGACGCTTGTAATATAACGCTTGTAAAAACATCGAAAAATTAGCAGTTCATAAATAAGATGATAAATAACAATCATTACATAATCAGCTTATTTATGATATATGGGATAATTATATCCCATCTGTATCAAGTATCTTAGGCGTCTTCAGTTACAACTCCCTTTTATCCACGATACCTATTTTAAATTTATTGTTTGCATGAAGTATAAATGTTGCTTATAAAATTTGAATGCTTTTTTGTAGAGTGCTTGCTTTGTACTGAGCTTGCTCGCGCATTCTGCAAACATTCATTATTTCGTTTGGAGCAACATACGTTCCTGTCGAATTATCTGTGACAAACTTTATCTTATATCTTTTTGACAAACTTGAATTAAAACACTCTCACAGAGTAAAGCCTATTATTATTTACTAAATGATGACTATATAATGTGTATAGCATTATTTGTTCTTGTAAGTTTCAGTTGAATGTTAGACGTATATTCCCAATTAAACACATAATAATGACGATATATTTTAAGAAGAATTGCAACTTCTTGCCTGTACATTTCAATTGATATTGTCCTCTAAACTGGACAGAAGGCTTACAAAATAATATTATATTAAATATTGATGTAATACAATATGTTAATATGTGAATAGATATACTAATTCTACCGACGTAGTACCGTACTATGTACAAAGTCGTCTACTAAGGTACTGCTGTCTGAGCTATTTCAACCAACAAACCACTTTTTTTGTTTATGGGTTGCGGTTAAAGAGTCCAGTTATTTATTAATGCAGTAAGTGAGTTTATAGGCTAAGTTTATAAGACATTTTAGTCCTCCGAAATAGTGTAGTGTGGCGAATTAATTATAATCGCGCGGCAACACCGTTGCCTAGTTACGACAGAAGAATAAAATAACAGGCCTGTCTTTCGAGACCGAATCACTTTCTTGTACATACCTATATACTAATTGTAAATACTTCTATATTATAAATATGTAAATAACCACGACTGGTTTCTCTTCACCTCCATCTTCCTGAAGCTGTTTCTACACGAACAAAAACATAAATAATAGCGGCCCCATCTTACCCGCTAAATTGGTGACCCCGACGTTCCAGCACTGCAGCCATGGTGAAGTACCTACCTATTCCAGTCCAGATGTCCTTTTTCCGCCTTCATATCCATACCGGAGAACATACATCATCGTTTCAACTTCATCACCGATGATAGCACCGGCACTATTGACTGACCATTCTCTTATTACCCGTCGTATCTGCGGTTGCTTATTGAGAAACTACGACATGGGCCAGTACGACGCAGTCAATACACTACGAGTTGGACTTCGATTCCCGGATGGACAACATTTTCAGTTACTCATTGTGTAAATTTGTATATTTTTCTATTTGTAAATTTTGATTTATTTTTCGTCTCGCAATGATCAATTCGGCACATTCAACGTAACCACATCATCTGCCCCGGAGGTTAAATATTTTATTTTTTTAATTACCTCCCTCCTGACCTGTACGGCATTACAGTTCACACAGGTTGAGATAACATGGCTGAGTCTATCACATTTAATTCATTATCAGTCATCTACCACCAAGCTATTAATCGTGGGGGAAAAGAACAGTGATCAGCCGGGATGCTGTGAGTCCTGCTCATCTCCTACATGAGCCCTCACTACGATCCACACTTTCACTTCTATTTCCTTCCATTTTATCTGGAATGGAACGGAACAGATGATCAGCCGGGATATTGTGAGTCCTGCTTATCTCCTACATAAGCCCTCACTACGGTCCACAGTGTCATCTTTTGTTCCTTCCACTTCATCTAGAAGAAGAACAGAATGAGGATAAGCCGGGATGCTTGAGTCCTGCTCATTACTTACATGAGCCCTCACTACCATCCACCCTTCCTCTATTCCTTTCACTTCTTCATCATTTATATTCATCACAATTCGCCACCACTTCATATAATCAACCTGCCTCAACGCAAAACCATCGGTTACCAGGTCAGAACGGAGAGTTTTATTTGATGATATTTTAGATTAATAGTGTCTTTTCTTTTTCTTTCACCTTTTTCTCTCCGCGGGGGGGTGGTGTGGCGAATTAATTATAATCGCGCGGCAACACCGTTGCCTAGTTACGACAGAAGAATAAAATAACAGGCCTGTCTTTCGAGACCGAATCACTTTCTTGTACATACCTATATACTAATTGTAAATACTTCTATATTATAAATATGTAAATAACCACGACTGGTTTCTCTTCACCTCCATCTTCCTGAAGCTGTTTCTACACGAACAAAAACATAAATAATAGCGGCCCCATCTTACCCGCTAAAGTAGCATTAGTCCACGGCACCATCCAAGTCACTGATAACATTACATCTTTGGTACTTTTCAAGTACAAATCAAGAGTACCATTCGCCTCAGGTAGACTCTACGCTTGTTTGCCATACCAATTACATAAAAAAATGTTACTGAGTTTGAGCACCACTTGATACAAAATCTGCATAAAACGATCACTGACTTGTTTACACACTTGAATATTTTTGTACACATATATTCCAGTTTATAATTTATTTTTAATTGTTAAATAAACAAAAAAGGAAGCGTGTAGGGTTTTTGTTATTAATTTTAAATTACCGTGTATATTTATTTACGCAACAGAAATACAATTACAGATCATTAATTACATACCTACCGTGTTCACATAAAATGAAGCATTAAATTTCGTAAGGTCAAATATAATTTTGTATCGTAATATGAATATTTATTATTATTTGTACCTTCTTGTAAAGTTTAGATTCCTATAAAGTCATTTGTAAGAGAATTGGGTATGTATGTGACTATTATTGTTCAATGATGCAATTAAATATGCAAATAATATTGTATTACTTAGTGTACACATACACCCACTCCGAGCCATTAAATAACATTTACACTTCAGTGCAATACGTTAGATCTCAGTTACCATACCTCGAATGTAGGCATTGTACCTACCTATTACCTGTAGATACGTTTCGTAAACCTAGCTAAATGCCAAAGCACGTATGTCGTCTACTCGAAGCACACAGTAAACCACTACATATAAGTTTTTATGATAAATCTTATAACCTTCAATATAGTACTTTATTATTATTTATAATTAATCATCATTTTCGACGACTGTCATTAGGCGTGTCGAAAATATTTGGTTGCTAAACACATAATGCGCACTACATAGCGAGTTGTTTGCTTAATAACGATATTATGATATAAAAAAAATACATTCTAGACTAGAATATTGAGTCAAGTACATAAATACATATATACCTAAGACGCATTACCCAAGGATAGATCTCCATTTTATATATTACGCAATAGCTCAAGTATTGTCGCCGGCTTTGTCGGTACGAGTGTGTTTGAGAACCTTCGTTATGTCAGATTTATTTAAAATGATTACAAAATAGCTGTGACGAAACGAATAACCTTTTGTACATTACCAGTCGGGTCATTTGACATATAGTTATATCTTTACTTTACCGAACTGAAGCGCGATTTCATTGTAATGAAGCACATTATTTAAGAACTTTAATGTTCTTTATACGAATGTGTAATAAATTAAGAATTAGTAAGATACATAATATGATGTATCTACTGTGCACATAGTTGCCTAAACATATATAACATTAATATAATCTGTCATTACAGGTGAAATTTAGAAATTACCGAATATATGCTCAAGATACTTCTTGATTGTTTCCTTTTGAGAACATGCAATGGTAAACCAACAAAAACCATTGTTTTTGTTGGTTTTTCTTGACTTTAATATACGATGTACATAATTTATAGGTATTTTACGTATACCACTATTATTTATTTACTTAACGTCAACGCACAACAATAAAATGTACATATGGTGGATTTAACACCTTGCGGCGCGGCGCCGCGGTGTTGCGGCGTTATATACCAGCACCAGTTAAACCAGAGTTAGTAAAAGCCGAAAGCCAGTGATAGAATTAATTAACATCAATCAATGTAATCATGATGATTAGTAACATAAAATATTTAAAAAATTAATAACGGCGCAGTTACATTATGTATCTATAATAATTTGTTGTCCTTTGCAGATTAAGGTATATCTAATGGTATTTTATAGGTGACATTTTCTATTAGGTAACTTATAGACAAATACTGAAGGACAATAATTATAAAACGCTTTATACTTCCTATATATGATAGGTATGATAAAATATAAAATATTGTTGTTTACAGAATAGAAACAATATACAATAGAGTTAATGTCAATTCTTGCAGTTTTTTAGACACATCTCAAGAACCGTCGAACAAATTCTCACGGTTTGCAAAACTGTCGTAAGCATTTTTGTCAATATTATCTTGTATTTACTTAATGACAAATAAATTATAGTTTTTACGGTTTTATGTAAAATTTAGGAAAATAAGATGATGACAAATATGAATATTTTGATTATTTTATTTAATTAGTATTAATATTCAATTACGCTAGATATAGCATTTTCTTCAGATTATTAAGCAGCTGGAATCTCAACTGGCAGCACTACGGGAATCACAGGTTCAACCTTTGGCAACTCTAGTACGTCTGGCTCTGGAGCTTTAGGTAAATGGTCAGCCTCTACTTGATGCCCGCCATTGATATCTGTGGTATACTTCGTTGTGTAAGTCTTTCCATCGTCTCCAATGAATGAGTATTCTCCGTCATAGACAAGGACGTAATCTGTACCATCAGCGTTAGGTACAAGATGACCGCGTTCGGAGACTACGATACCCTCAGCCGTAACGTAACGTAGTGCGTATTGACCGAAGTCATCATGGATTTCTTCGTGATGCAAAGCTGGTAAAGAGCGTCGAAGTGCATTCTCAGCTGGATTCGGGGCAGCCAACACAGATACGGCACAAACGCATAGTAGTACGACCTGAAAAGTTTCAATATATATAACTTAAGCAAACCTGTGTCGTGATAGGAAATCTAGAGGGGTCATAACATCCTACTGTGATAAACATAATGCGAGTTGTCAATGATGCTTATCGGTTTACATTAACATATCGTGACTTTTTGTGAAGGTGTATAATTGTAATTTATTTCTACTGAATAAGTAGGTACCCAGGTAAAATCGATTTGATTCTCGTTATAAACTTATAAGTAGTGTACAACCTACACAACTATGTATATACTTAGTATACTATAACTAGATATATAACTTGTGATAATAATATATGTATCCTTCAAAAACATAATTAGATAATTTTATGACCATTTAAAATGCACTACTATAGTATCGCAAGTTAAGTAAACTGATTGCAACCAGATATAAAGTGGTTGTCATCGCCGATTAACTTGAACAGCGCCCACAATATCATAAAATATACTATGGTCCAAGATACTATTTTCTCCATTCCTTAGGATTAACCTTGTTTGCTTCCGTACCCTATAAATACACTAGAACTTATAAAGCAAATTGTAGAGAAGCAGCAATTCAAATAACACAATAATATAAATCAATGACACAATATTTATCTGATATAAAGTAAATTAATATAAAAAACTTACTGCTTTCATGATGCTTGGATGAGATCAACCTTCGTTATCAAACGATAGTAACTGCAATATGATAACAATCCACAAACTCAGCTTTTTATATTATTTCTAATAGCCTAATTAATTTATTTTAGTAATACATCATATCAGTTTAACACGAAAATCTAGTCATACTGATTACCAATCTAATTAAGGTAATTTAAGTGTATAATGTCTGTAAAAACAATTATGACATTACAATTTACCTGAATGACAAGTAGAATAATGTTGGAATTCTGCTTTTTCGGAAACGTCAATAGAGCTCGAATATGTGATCTGTGATTAAATTAATTGTATTTATTTACAATTTTATTGAACTAAAATATAAAGTCAGATAGGTTCAAATGGCTACATTCATACAAAACTCCTAAAATATAAAGTTTAGCAGATTTTTTAAAAACGAATATTTGCAAAGATATGAAAAACAAAAGTTTAATAACTGTGTACAAAATAAAGTCAACGAGGTTTTGCATTAGACAATAAAATTCAGTTATGAACGCTCGTAGTTTCTAATTTGTAATAAAATACGAATTAAACCTTAACTTTAATAAGTAATTATAGCCTAAAATCTGACACACAATGCACATATAGGTACATTATTTTAAGAGAAATAAAACCCAAAATCACCGCGGTTGATAGTAGTAGGTCCTTCGTAGAATGCTACTAGTGCTCATACTTGCTTCTCTGCTAGGAGAGTAGGGTATTGCTTGCGCGTTACCGACCCTTAACCAGATTACAATTTAAGTGTAAATTATTTTCATTTTGACTGCGCTTAGTGAATTTATTTTTCTTACTTAATTACCAATTTTATCAATCGCCTGTCACAAATTAATATTTATGATGTCGTTTAGTGATATTGCAGAATACAATTGTAAGGAGTATATTTCAGCTCGAGGCTATTCGACAATCGCAATTGAAGAAAAAAGAAAAATATTTTAACTTGTACGCATTTTTAAAATATAAATACATTTACATTAATTTAAAATTACTATATAACGATAGATGTATTCAAAATATAAATCATATGTATACAATTTGTTCGACGGCGTTGTTTAGTTTAGTATTTTTTTTGGATTATAAGTACTTCTGTGTATGACATACATATGACAAAAAATGAATTTAAGTATGTTTACCAGTTGTCAAATATAAGTTATTCTTATTGTGGAACCATACCATATTATTACCATACGTTGTCTACTATGTATTTATAATATGTACAAAAGAATTTGTTACTATTTATTAAAAAATAATAACGTAGGTGTATCTACATACTTCTGTTCTTACAAAATAATATAAATTCAAATTAATTCAACGACATTTAAATACAATAGTTGTGTTAACTTGAGATTTGCTCTAAAGTAAATTACTCGTATACGTAAAGGTGAACCAGTATCTTCGAACGTGACTAAGAATTCCTGTACTGCATCAATTCCACATGCATAGGCGATGTCACGCATGGTCTAATAAATAAGTATAAGCAAGCACATATAATATAATATATAAAATTAAAAAGAGGAAGAATTTGTTTGCATGTGTGATTGCTAACGCTAATCTAAGGAATTTCTGATTCAAATTCAAACAAAATTTCATGTTAGATTTTCATGTTATTTATCGATCTATAAAATATCACACAGCGACCAATAGAAGTGGAAGCGGAGTGTTAATGTAAATATTGCGAAAACTCTAATGGAGTGTTGAAGATGTTATGTTACTGAGCCACGTTATAGTATGTAGTATTTTATATGAAGTAAATTATAAGTAATGATATTTTTGATAGCCTACTAATAATATATGAGTTATATTAGGTACCCTATTGCCTGCTACATATGTATAATGTGACGCAGTTTTTAAAGAGGTAAATTCGAAAACAGATAAAAAAATATTTTGCATTGCAAATATAATTTTAGAACAAATCGTTTCGCGCGGTGAACATAAATTAGTAGCATCTGTAGTAGAGATCGACGTCATATAAATATCGTCTTGTATGCGAAATGTACCTTTAGAAAAGGTACATTTCGCGTTCTAAATTAGCAGTACCGCATTTTAATAAATATTATTTATCAAAATGTTATTTCTTATTACAATCTAATATACTATCTTTGAAAATGAAACTAAAATTGCAAGCAATTTAACGGTCCATTGTAAGTGGTGATTCCACAGAAAGTGATAATCCTCGCCTGTCATAAGAAGCACCGTGGGCGTCATATGAGGACCTGATATCTGAGGTGCTGTTTATAATAGGCGACACTACACTTAATGTGTTGTCATTCAGATAGTGAAGTGGTATACCTCCTAACCATGTAATTTCATTGCCATTATTCACTCTTCAAACAGGTTTAAGGTAATAAATTCAACAAATGGATGAAATAGATGTCTTTGCACAAAATCACCCTTGAGCTGCTTAAAATATTATTGAGTGCAGTGATGGCTCACCCGTTATACTCGTGAACTGGTCTGCTCTGATAACTATTTAGTTTGTTACCTTAGTATCTTTTCATTTATTTAATTTTATCAATTTTGTGTGAATACAAACTGCAAAATAGCAAAGTAGACTTTGCTAAAATTGATAAAATGTTGATAAAAAAATTATAAAATGTAGGTAATTCTGAACAACATTTATTGAAAGGAGCAATACGTAAATTTCTATCTCGTTCCTAATGAGTGATAGAAAAATTGCTTATTATAAATTTAGTTCAATAAAGATTATTTCTATACCTATTTCTATTCCTTAATCAATTCTCGACACAAGGATTACTAGCAATATTTTTAATACTTTTAGTTTTTATCCCAATTACATAGATACAGCTTAATAAAGGCACCCGCCTTGATGCAATTATGTGAGAGGTAAACGATCTTACATTATAAAAATGCGTAGACTCCGTTCTGGACATTATCCATCGACAAAGTTTGCATACATGATGATATAAAAAATAATTCACAAAATTGTGTTAGAATGTGGTACAATAGAGGATGTATATCATTTGCAAATGGACACTCCATTGTCAGGAACCAGAAAGTCTACGATATAGAATAACATCAGACTATAGAATTATGTATTGGATGTTGGTGCCATACAAAGCATTTTAGCCGATCCTTCAGGTAGTGCGGTTAAGGCTACTTGTTCACTTGTGAGGTAATGTAGTGATTACTTTTAGTTTGTACAAAAATCCCTAAATTTCAAAAGAAATATAAAAAAAACACATCTGTATTAATAATTTCGTCAAGGGGTACGGTAGACTCGAACAAATGAAAATCCTTATGTGAATAACAAAATATAAAAAAATATTGATTTCGAGTGGACAACATATTTCGTGGCAAAATTCGGATTATGGAGTATTTCGTTAAATTCTAATTACAAACACTGACAAACTAACTGCAGTCGCCATCTTTTCATGTCACTAGCTAACAACCAATCAACACTACGCGTGCGTTCGCGCCAAAGATCCATCACAAAGAACTGTGACATATGACATGTGTCGTTGACGTTTCGCAAAAATATAGTTTTTGACACTTTTTTATGATAAAAGAGTATACAGTTATGTGTTTTTTCTTTAAATTGGCCAATTGCGAGACAAATTTGACAATATTGTTTTATTAATTTGTTTCACGGCTCTGGATACAAGTTCTTTTTAGCCCAACTTAATGTTTTACAATATAAATTACAAAAATTAAAGTCAATGTCCAATGTCAAATGTTGTTTCTCTTTTCTGATGAACTTATTAAAAAAAAACTTAATAACACTCACAATTTCTTCACATTTTATTATTACACACATAATGTCAGGTATTTGCATTTTTTAAATAAGGTTGTGGCACTATTGGAAATTAATGTTATTTACCCATTTTTATAGGTTATACGGAAATAATATGTGGGTGTTTATTTAAAAAGCATTAACACAAAATGAATAAAGTATAGGTAGGTATTAATAAATATATGGTTGTTGTATCAAAATAGATTTTGTTATTTTTCACTAAAATAAAGACTAACTGCCTTTTTTTATAAAACAAATGACCTTTTCATAGTGTCATATATTATTTAACTGATTGTAAAAAAAAAATGTTGGTTTGTAAATTAATACTGTAAAAATTACTATTTGTACGGAAACGACAAAAATATATTTTTATTCTGCATAACACTACGACAGTAATGGAAACATTAGTATATGTACGTAAATTATACAATTCTGTTATGGAAACGTCATATTAAACTTTAAAACTAATTTATTAGAATAAAAGTTTCCGATTAAACAAATCGGTATGGCTACCCCGCTACAGGTAGTAACATTTTTTTTTGGTTTTGTTTATCCTCAGTCAGAAAGGCAAAGGGAACTGCGCTCATACAGCCAAGGTGCTAACATTATTTAAAAATTTGACATTTAAACCTGTCAATTTAGTCTCCCGGATTAAAAAACAAACTATAACCAAGTATGGCACTTACAAATTAATTACTAAGCTACTTGGTGTCCCTGTAGCCCCAAACCCCGCATGTTTATGGGGGCTCGACCCCAGAGTGGGAGCATAGCAAATGGCTAACGCGGGGCGAGAGGGAAGGTTGAAAGGAAGAGGAAATGGATAGGAAAAAGAGGAAGAAGGGGAAAAGGACGGTGGTGGACCACGTCGTCGAACTGAAAGAGCGACAAAACTAGGAACTCGGCAAATCCCGGAGAGTCGCGCGGACTAAATAAAAAAAGAATGAAAATGACGATCAAGAATGGGAAAGCTGTTTGGATGAAGCAATTGGTTTTAAATATCTGCCAAAGTAGAGAGTACTTAAAACAAAGAGGTTAACAGAGAATAAACCTTAAAAGTTATATGTTTTGTTAATTTATTTTGAATGTTTATTTAAAATAAAAATTATTTGTAGAAATACTTTTGCACTTATTATTTACTATAGTATTTATTAAACAGCTTTACGAATCTATGCCTTGCTTACCTTTAATATTCTTTGAGAACCGACGACTACAGAAATATCTACCCGAGCGAAGCCGGGTTTTCATCTAGAATTAAAAAAATTGTTGCTGTGTTTAATA